CCCCAACCCCAACCCCAACCCCAACCCCAACCCCAACCCCAACCCCAACCCCAACCCCAACCCCAACCCCAACCCCAACCCCAACCCCAACCCCCAACCCCAACCCCAACCCCAACCCCAACCCCAACCCCAACCCCAACCCCAACCCCAACCCCAACCCCAACCCCAACCCCAACCCCAACCCCAACCCCAACCCCAACCCCAACCCCAACCCCAACCCCAACCCCAACCCCAACCCCAACCCCAACCCCGTTAAAATAAATATAGGATTAATTTTTGATTATTAAAAATATAATTATATTTATCTTACACTTTGCATTAAATTTCAATTTTTTGCAAATTAAAATTTATAAGCTCTATTTAATTTTGCTAAAAATTAATTAATTAACGAGAGACACACACAAAATTTGAATTGTAAATAATATCTAAATAAATTAGTTATAAGCGACACAATTTTTTTTTTGTGTATCAAAAAAGAGTGTGTCACTCACTATCTTCTAAGTAATATTTAAAGTAGTCACAAATTATGAAGATAAGAAACAATTTAAAGATACAATTATTATAAATTTGCTAGTGATTAACTTTGCGGGAAAAATTAGAAATCTTAGTAATTAGATAAAAATAATTAATAATTAAACAATTAATAAAGCAAAATATCATAAAATATTAAGTAGCAACACATAAGTCAAAATGGATAAAAAGTCATTCGGTCAAACTTTCTGCGGAGAATACTACGGTGCTATGATGAAGGATAAGTCTCAAAGAGGAGCTATGCTTAACTTCTACGGTTAAGACTCCTAAATGATTTACAATGGTGAAGAATGCAACGGACTCCCATAAATTGCCAGAAAAATTGAATCCCTCGGTTACGAAAAGATTATTTACAAAATTGAAGACTTAGACATCATTGAAAGACCTGGTTGTTACGTTATGCTCATTTTTGGTGCTCTCTAAATGGATAACAGCGACGAATTTAGATTTACCCAAACTTTCAATGTCGTTTAAAACTAAAACGGTGGTTTCTACATCCAAACTGATATTTTGAGACTTATTTTCTGAAATTAAAGATATATATGAATATTTATTTAGTATGAATTGATGAATTACGTCATAGAATTAGCAATCAATTCTTCATAATTTTAGTTAAAAATATATTTCTTTCTATCTGGATTTAACTTAAGCTATCTGTATAGGATTTTTATATTAGTATTTTTTTTTTTTTGAAAATTTTATTCAAAGCCTGCCTTACTCACTTACATACATTTTTACCCATCTAATTGAAACATAAAATAAAAAGCAAGAAGCAAAAATGGTTTCTAAAACAGACAGACTCAGTTAAGCTATTAAATTATTTTACTAAAAATAAATTTTACTCACTTAAAAAATTTTTCAAACTTAAAGCTGACCACCAATAATAATTTCTTATTTATTAGTTTAGTTTGGTGATAAAAATTTCTATTTTTAAACTCATAAAATAGCAAAGAAATAAATAAATAAATTATTTTGAGTAAAGCTCAAAGAAAATTAATTAATAGTTTTAAAAAAAATATTTAGTAATGTAAAAAAAAATAAAATTTTTACACTCAATCAATCAATAAATATTTGTTAATAGAAATTTTAGTTAAATTTTTATTAGATAGAATTATTTATTATTTAGTAATTAATTATTTCATTAACTCAAAATTTTATTTTGATATTTTAAAATATTTTTTTTCCCTGGAAAAATTGTTTCCTTCTTCCTTATTCTAAGTGCTTGTTTTTTCTATGATATTTTTATCATTCATTATTTTCTTCTTGATGTTTTGGTTCTGAAAGAAGCTTGACTTGAGCTACTACAACAGTAATATCATCAGATTTACCTCCTCTGTAATTGTAATAGGCTTTCTTAGCTCTCTTTGCGAAAGGAGAATTATAGACAGGATCGACAGATAATTTGAATGCGTACTTTGCAATAATTTCTGATAGGAGATTTACATCAGTGATGTTGTCATTATATTCCCAGAAGGGCTTGATGCAGTTTAAAATTTGATTTTCATCGATATTATCAAACACACCATCTGTACCACAAACAATAATATCATTATGTTCTATTTAGTGATCAAATGTCCATGCTTTAGTAGGACTATCTCCTTCTGAACCAATTTGGTATGGGAAGTTAAATGATTTAGTTTGCTCTTCACTGACAAAAATAGGATTAATACTCTTTTTTTATTTTCTGAAAATTGCATATCCACTATCCCCAATATAACTTGTGTAAACTATGGGTTTTTGCTCATCAATAGTGAGGATACAACATGTTGTTGAACCAGTTGCTTTTGTTTGACTATGTGAATCTATAATTAATTATTGTGGATTTAACAAATATTCGCTTTATTTATTTTTAAAGTTCTCTTCAATGTGCTTAACTAATTCTTTGCTGTAGAGGCCTGGGTCGACTCCGTACTAAGCCCAGCCGCCAACACCATCTGCAACACAGAGAATCTAATTATTACAAAAGCATGCATCTTCACCTCCTTTAAATGCCTTTTCGGGATGAGGAATCATGTAAGATGCAGCTAAAAATTGATTGATTTTCTTGCTTGAAAGTTTGCCTGCTGTTGCAAAAGAGTAAACACTCTTTTAATTAAGAAATTGCTTTGATAACTAAGCTATTCTAGAAGCCATTTTAATTTAAAAATAAATAAGCGTATATTTTAATTTAAAGAAAATTTATTATTTTATCGAATGAATATTCTTTTTAATTCAATCAATCAGTCAGTCAGTTATTGTAAAAATTAAAGTTAATTTGAAAGCAATTGATATACATATATACATACTTATATATATATTTATATCCTTTATGAGTTAATTGTGTTTAAAATTTTTTCCCCTTAAATTTGATTAACTAAAGATTTGAAATTACAAATAAAATTTGTATCACATTTATTAACGATACGATAGGATACATGCACACATATCAAAAAGATTATTAAAACTAATTAAATACACATGCGGATAAAACTGGGAGTTAACCAAAGCTTTTCCTTAATTACATATTCAATTTGCAATACAAATTAATTTCCTTCAAGCAGCGAATCAATCTAACTTACCGTAGGGAAGAAGAGGATTTGCCTTGATGGAAACTTCGTTGTAGCCACTGGATTTGGATGTGAATTGGAAACTCATAAAAATAATGGCAATACATTACATCAATAATGTGCCAATAGTAATAATTCTATGTTAAACATAATCAGCTATGAAGGATGTAATAAACAAAATGACTGGGAAGGCAAGGAAGTAAAGAGAACCAACAATTACGAATTTGTAAATAAAGACCTTAACCTTTTCTCTAGCAGTCTTAAGAGTATCCTTAATACCAAACAAGAAGTAGATAAACATACCTAAACGCAAAAATACGATAATCCAACCAACAAAACCACCGTATTAATGGAATTTGTGACTTTCATCATCTGTCAATTTGCTTAAACCAACAATCATCATGTGGACAATACCTAATAACACCTATTTATTTATAAATAATTTTAGTCATTTATTGATTGATTGATTTAGCTAGCTGATATAGTATTAAAAAATTAATTAATTAATAAATAAATTACTGCAAGTGGAATGTAAATATCGAAGTTTTCAAGTTCAGAATAGTTGATAGTCCAACCCCAAGAAATAAGAATGAACAAGATAGCCATGGTGAATTAAGCTGCGATACCGAAAAGCTAGCCGAATAATTGTAGGACGAATGAACCCTTACCATTGGAAGAGTAAATAAGCATGTGAGTCCATTCAAAGAATATATTTAAAATTTGCATAATCAGGGTGATATTAGCAAGCAAGAATGCCCAATCTAATTCTTCTTCCTTATTATACAACTTAATTAAACGCTACATGTTTTTAGATAAAAAGACAGAGCAAATAATAAGGAGGAAGAAGAAAGGATAAAGGAAACCTTCTTCTTCAGAGGAGAAATGGGAGTTTTCAATATTGAGCATTTCAGTTTAGATATCAATCTTTAAGCCAGCAGGGTTTTTACCATTAAGAACACCTTCGCAATCTAAAATTGTGAAAAAATAAGTTCTCCTATTAATTAATAATACAAAAATGATGATTTAATATTTATAGAATGCATATAAGAAGAAAATTAATTTATTTACCTTCTGACTATCTAAACAAGGGTGAAGGTTTAATCAGGACCCCATGTTCTACCGTCGTTAGGAATTACAAGTTTGTCACTGAGTCTAGCAATGTCTAATTTTTATTTACAGGTTTCAGCTGCTTAATATTCTTCCCATTTATCATCAAGGACGACTGCAACAGTAAGAGTTGAATTATCTTCTCTGTTGGACTATATTAAGGGCTTGTTAAACTTAGCACGACCAACAAAAGTTCCTTAACCAATGTCATAACTAAACTTAATTATGTAGCTATTATTTTATGCTTTCTTCATCTTCTAGTAGGGAACACTAACAGTAGTAATCTTACATAAAGAAAGACTAATAGTTGCTAATAAAATAATTGACAAAGATACAAGATTCATGGCTTTTCTTTTTTAAATTATTAAATAATTTAATTTCTTTTTATTTATTTAATTAGTTTATTATTTTCAACTTTAATTTTCTTTTTTATAAAAACAAACAAATAAATAAATGGGCTCCTGTTAACAAATGTAAGATCCCGAGAGAAATAATTAATTAATTAATTAAAATAAATCAATTACTTATTTATTTATTTCATTACGTATTTCATAAAATCAATCATAATTTTAAGAGATTTAATTAAAACAAAGAGTTGTATAATTAATTTTTTGTATAAAAAATTCTTAAGAAACCAAAAATAAAGTAAAAAAAAAGAAAAGCTATTAATTGATAAAAAAATTTTGTTGGAGAGATTAATTATTTAGTTTAAAGCCAATTTACTATGTTATAAACTTTAATTAAGATATTTATAACTTTGTAGACTTCTTTTGTCTTACGTGGCCCCAAATTTTAACTTTCAAAACTTAACTCTCTCTCACAAAAAATAAAAAGAAATTAAAGCATTTCTTAATTTAGAGATAAATAGAAATACTATTAGATTTAGATACCCTAAACAAGGTGCATAACCGCTCTTTAAAAAAAATCAGATTATATTGAAACAACCAGGAAGTTTTTTATTTTCCCTTCTAGCAAGTTTTTAACATCTCAAGATGCACTCTGTTTAGGCTAAATCTATTCGTACTCTATTTATTTTCTTGCGTTGTCACTATTAAAAAATAATTTTATATTTACTCTTTTTAATAAATAAATAAATTAGTAAAATATTTGTATTAAAAAAATAATAAATATCAGTTAGAAATAAATTAAATATTTGTAAATTCAAAAAAGATATGAAAAGATAAAAAGAATTAAACTTGATCACATCGCATAAGCAAAAAAAAACACTAGTAAACATGCAAGCAAGCAATCAAACAAATAAATAAATAAATATTCTTAAATTGTTAAAATATGAAAAATTAATTTGAATTTAATTAAATAAGAAGGAATATAAACGAAGTATAAATAAATTAATAAATTACGTGTTTTTAATTAAAATCAGTCAGTCTGTATTCTGTTTTTATATTAATTCTTACACAAAGTTAAATTAATCTCAAAACCAAAGATATATTTTTTATCAAAAATATAAAAATAGTTATTATTACTTATTTAGTTAGTTATCAAATAAACAAAAATTTTTAGGAATGGAAGGCATTAAATCTATAGTCGAAAAAATCCCTCTTTGCAAGGTCAACGCTGGCCCTAGAGACGAAAAATGGTTGGATAGAGTTAAAGAAGAATACTTGATATTAATTAAGTACATCGAATTGAATAAATAGCAAGATAATGATTGGATTAAAATCGCTTCTGATAAGGAAGGCAAGGTTTGGAAAGGCAAATGTTGGTACATTCATAATTTAGTTCGTTATGATTTTGATTTAGAATTCGAAATTCCTGCTACCTATCCTGCATCACCTATTGAATTATGTTTACCCGAACTTGATGGTAAAACTCACAAAATGTACAGGTAAAAAATAAATTATTTCATTTCATATTTCTTTATTTTGATCTCCCTTTTTAACTTCTTTATTAATTAATTATCAAATTAGAGGAGGCAAGATTTGTTTGGATATCCACTTTGCTCCTTTATGGGCTAAAAACAGTCCCAAATTCGGTATTGCTCACGCATTGGCTTTAGGAGTAATTTCAAAATATTCTAATATATTTATCAACTTAAAAAAACTCTTTAACATAAATATTTAGTTGGGTCCATGGTTAGCTGCTGAAATTCCAGTATTGATTGATTAAGGAGTCATTAAGAAAAATTGAATTATAAAATAAGTTAATAAATACTACAAAAAATTAATTTCTTTATAAATCAATAATTAATTAAATAAATATTACTTTGTTTGTTTTTTTGTTTGCTTGTCTGTCTGTCTATATGTTATATTTTAAATTATGTATCAATTTATCAAGCATTATAATTCAAATTACAAAAAGAAACTTACATATTTATGAAGAATTTATTTTATAAAAAAGTCTAATATAGCAAAACCAACGAAGTTCCTCGCATAGAAGAGGGCGTTTCGCTGGATTATTTAATTGATAGAAATAAATATATTTATTTTGGAGGTGTTAAACCGAAAGAAGTTACAAAAGATACCAAACTATTTTGTAAAATATAACACAATTACATTCATTTATATTGATATTCAGATATTATAATTAGAGAATGATAAAGATAAAAATGAAGTTAAAACAGCAAACACTATCAATTTAGGTTAGGGAAAAAACGCCCCTACAATTAATACAACAAATAGCATTTAATTTAAAATTGCGGAACTTGATAATCCATTTACATTAAATCCTGCTTTATAAAATAATACAATCCACTACTTCGATCCAAGTACGTACATACATACATATTTAATTAAAATTTTAATATGATTGATTGAGTATAAAATTTACAGTTAATTAGGATTGGACAGAATATGAATGTACTGGAAAAATTCCATCAAAGAGAATTTATCATTAGAGTTGGTACTAATCTCCCTATTTGTTTATTTATGGAGGTCTTTCTCCTGAAAAAAAAATATTGAATGACATGTATGTGCTTAATTGTGATACAAGAGTTTGGAATTCTTTCTTTTGGTATAATGGTAATTTTTTGCTGATTGAAATATATTTGTAATACACCTAATTTATAAATTTAAATAGGACCTAATCCTCCAAAAATATACTCTCAGCTTGTAAATATGGGTGATAGAAAATTTGTGATAGGAGGTGCATCTATGCCAGAAAATCTACTTACTAATGAAGTGTGGTCTTTTTCATTAGATAACATGGAATGGGATTCTGGTTTCGATGATTACAAACCTATTAAGTGGGAAAAAATAGATTTTTAAGTAGGATATTTTATATTAATTTGTATTTGAAATTATAAATTATTTATATTATTAGGATCATCACTTGTTTCCACCAACTAAAGCTCATAGTGCCATTAAAATATCTTAAAATTAAATATTCATATTTGGTGGGTTTAACTAAAAAAAGTAGTGCACAGATACATCAATCATTATGGATATTGAAAAAAGGAGAATTTTCCACTTTGAAACTAGAGGTCAAAAACCTTGTCCAAGAGCCTTCCATGTACTCTTAATTTATTAATTAATTAAGAATAATAAACAGTTATTATTTTTTAAAGAAAATGCTTCCTGTTAAAGAAAATATTATCTGCTTGTTTGGAGGTATAAGCTGTCCAGAAGATGCCATTAAAAGCTTGACAGCTACTTATCTGAATGATTTTTATTTATTAAATTTAAGTAATTTTAATTCAAAAACTAATGATTTATCTATGATAATCAATAAATTTTTTAGACGAAGGCTATTGGTCAAGACCTAATTGTGGAGGTTATGTGCCAACTCCTAGATATTCATTTGCTATGGCATCTAACCAAAGCGAGTAACAAGGGGAAATTATAATTTTAGGAGGAAGAACTTTAGAAAGTATAGGTGACAAGCAAGTATACATTTTGTGTGAACTAGAGTCAAATAGTGAAGAAGCCTATGGAATAATAGATCACGAAGCTAAATTACAATATGATGAATTCAGAGAAGCAAATAAAAAAGATAAAAATAAAGAAAAAGAATTAAAAAATGTCTCGATGGTTACTCTCGAATTCAGCTAGGCAGAAAAATACATCGTTGAGCAAAAGAGAAAAATAGGAGAATTAGAAACAGTCTATAAAAAACTAAAAGATTCTAACAAATAAACATTAGAAAATCATAAAATATACTCTGATAAAATTTTATAGCTAGGTTAAGAACTTGAAGACCAATCAATAAAGCTTACAAAAGAAATTTAAAGTAAAACTAGTCGTAATTAATAAAGTGCTTAATTGCTCACCAAAGTTAAAATGATTCTTGCTCAAGAAAGAAAAAAAAGAAAATTACTTGAGTTAAAATCCCATGCTTTGCAAGATACATTTAAAAAGGCAGAATCCTTTGTTGTCACACTCGATACAATTTACACAAGAGGCTAAAAAGGTACATTTTTATCTATTTAAGAATTTTATTTTAGAATTTATAAGTTTAGTAAAAATTTTTTATTCGAAGAGCTATTTTTTTAGGAAATTCAATTAGAAAAACTATAAAAGAAATAATTATTTCCATAAATTCCAATAATCCTCTAAATAAATTTTAGTATCTAAAAAAACATTTTTGCATTTTATAGTTAAAAGCTTTAATATTCTTTTTAATAAGTAATAATTTTTTATGAAAAGAAATCATTTAAATTTTAGTAAAATAATTTCATTAATAAAAAAAGTTTATTTTAATTTTAATATTTTTAAAAGAATTAATTAATATTTTTTAAATTAATTTTATTTGCAATAAATAGACAACTTGTTCCAAGGATTAGTTGGCAATGATGTTCTTGAAAAAATTGAGAAGCAAAGAGAAGAGCATAAAAATTAAATGTAAGACTTTAAATAAGATTTTGAAATAGGAATAAGTAGAGAAGAACGTATAAAGAAAAATATGAAATAAAAGGTAAAATAATTTTTTTATTTTATATTTTAATATATATAAATAAGTTAATTTATTTGATATATGGTAGTTTAATTAGCTAATTGAAATATATTTTATTAAATAATTCAGAAAGAAAGCATCAAATAGTTCTACAACGTATCTCAAGAGTGGAAAAAGCTTCTCACTAGTGACGAAAAATTGCTTTTCCCTTAAAAGATACCTACTAATTAAAACATTCCTAAGCAGTGATAAAAATAGATAGATAGATGGTTAGATAGTAATTAATTTAGTAACTAAATAAGTATGTTAGTCTAAAATATTTTAGATTAATAATTCATATATAAATATTTTATAATTTATTTATTTATTTCACATAGTATAGCAATTAATTTACACTTAATTTCTTTATAATATTTTATACACTTTGTTAATTAATTTATTATCTGTTTATTTATTTATGTCATTTTTTCATTCATTTTAATTCATTATTTTTTAGGTGTGTCTGTAAAAATTAATCAAAATTTGTTTTCTAGCTACTTCATCCAAGATTTGCATTTTTGTAAAAATTCAACTTAAAAGAAATGCATTTCTTCAAAGTTTTCCTATTCAAATTAAAATCTTTCTTAGTTAGTATTTGTGCTACTCAATGAAATTTCAGCATTCTAATTATCTTTGGATTTTGTTTGCTATTCTGGTAGGTTTGAAATATAGGGTTAGCTAATCTTATTACTATTGATTATATTTGTTGGAGTTTGCTTTTTTTATAAATTGTTGTTTGTAACTTCAGCTCTTGTTGGTTTTAGAAAAGCTTGCTGAGTATTTTATACTTTATTTTAAGTACTTTTTGGGGATGTGTTATTACTTTTAACTTGCTCACCATCTATATATGCTTCTCTATCAATAATACTAAAGTTATTCGTATTTTAAAATTCCTTTTTTTGAGTTTGCATTTCGTTAATAAATATATTTTCAAATTATTATCTTTTTTTTTAATATATCTAAGATCTGATTCTGTTGTTTTTATTTGGCTCAACAACTACTTTTTAGCTAGACTAAGGCTCTATCTTTGGGGATTAATTATTATTATTATTTGTTTCTATTTAATTATGCTCTAAATAATCAATCCGTTTATTTTGATAGCTTGATATATTAGCTCTTTACTTGCCGTTTTGAGTCTGTGGATTTTACTGTTATTTATCTATCAATTAATGTATTTAAGGTTAACTTTAATAAACAACTTCATCCCTCTAAATGTTAGCTTGATTTAAAGGCTAACTGCTAGTTTAATCATAAAATTGCTTAGATTTATTATATGGTTAATTTTTTGATCCCTCCTCTAGTTTTTCTTTTGCTAATATTATTGGAAAAGAGTACTCTTTAGAAGTAACCCTTGATCTTAAATAAGTGTTATTATTGCTATTAATATCTAAAAATTCATTTTCGTATTTAGTTAATTTGGCATCGCTTCCATTTTACCCATTTTATTCCTTTTGCTTGTATTCGGTAGAAAGCATCTGTCGTGAAGTTTCTGCTTTAGAATTACTGAAACAAGATTAATCATCAAATATAAAACTAAAAGAAGAGTTTTTTGTTGACTAAGAACCTCTTGCATTTGAATAGTAATCCATATTATTGTTATTATTGTTTAAGTGTTTTTTAAACTAAGTAGCGACTTAATATTGCTGTTAATTTTGCTAATTTACACTCTATATCCTCTACTACCTAACAACAGCTTTATTGCCATGAATATTCTACTCAAGCCATGAATCCATTTCTAATAAAAATATAATACAAAGTAATTTACTAAAATTTTATTTAAAATATTTACCTTCACTTGAACCCTAAGACCTTATGCCAGTTTTAGTTGATAAATTATTTGAATTAAAGTGTGTAGAAATATCGTATAAACCTATCATATCCTCCTAAAATATATTATTTTGTTAATTTATTTGTTTAGAATCAATAAAAATTGGTTATAATTTTGCAAAATATTTTGTATAATAACTCTAATTTAATTAAAAATACAAAGTATAATTTAACTACATTTAACTATAGGTTTTTTGTGCCATTGCTAATAATCTTTTTTCTATCTATTTTTAAATAATGTTTAAAATAAAAATTGATAAAAGTAATAATACTTGTTCTCATTTATGGAACTACGACTATTTTGCTCATCTCTGCTATTGTATTTTCTAGTTTTTATGAGCTGAGACTAACACAAAGCTTTACTACCTATTTATTTATCCCTATTATCAAATAAATAGTTGGCTTTGAAATTAATTAAATAATGTGGAAGATTGAATATGATTTATAATTAATAAATTGATTGATTAATAACTAATCAAAAGATAAATAGATATATAGATAGATAGATACTTATTATGTATTTCTAAACACTAAAAAACTTACTTTTTCATTCAGATTTCTTTGAAATAATCAAATTTCATATCAATTTTTATATAATCAATAAATCAATCAATGACTCAGTCAAACATAACAAACAACTTATTCTTAAACTAAAAACAATCAACTAATTAAACTTAATAATAACCATATATTAAGCCATAACTCAGTATTTACCAACCTGAGTAGATAGATCATTCATATTGAAAATATAAATTTATCCATTAAAAAAATAAATAAAAAATATTGATGATTAATATTTCGAAATTAAATACACCTTAAATTTATTGCCAAAATTGCTTAAATTAATACATTTTTTATTTAATAAATATCATTTTATCTATTTTTTTATTATTTGGGAATTTTTCTTGAAATTTCAAATTTATTTAAATAAAATATTTGCTCATTTTTTAAATAAATAAATAAAAATTAATTTATCTTTTTTAAAAATTAGTAAAATTATTAAATATATTAAAATGATAAATAACAGTAAATGACAAAAAAAACTTTATAATAAATATTATTAATTCAAAAACATAAATTCTTTTTTAAATATTACACTCATTTTTATAAATATTTATTTACCAAAAATTAGCAATATGTTTTAATATTCTTAAAATAACAAGTTAAAACTAACAAATAGAATTAATTTTTCTTTATCAATTCAACTCTATTTGAATATTAAAATTATAGAAAAAATCAATTTTTTTTTAAAATTAAAAATTTATAATAAAAAATAAATTTCTATCTTAAAATTTGAATTGGATTTATTTTATTTATTATGAATAATAATATTTTTTTTAACTTAGTAAATATTTAATAATTTAAAATCTTACATATTTGTTAAAAATATTTTATTTAGGCAAACAATTTAGTCATCAACAAATAATATTATATAGTTTTTGTAATTAAATTCCTTTAATTTTAAATTCAAAATTATATAATGCAGCATTTTTTTCACATACTTTTGTTATTTTTTAACAAAAATTTAACTTGTAATTTCTCAAAATTAAAAATAAATGAAAGTATTTTAAAATAATTAGTAAAAATATTTTATAAAAACTTAATTTTATGAATTATTTATTAAATAGATCTTTTTTTTTAAATAAATTTTTAATTTAGAAAGTAAACTTTTGAAATTGTTATTGATAAATTTATTTTTTTGATTTTTCTAAATTAATAATTTATAAATTTTGTATGGATATCTCAGAAAGATAGAATCGATTGAATTTAAATTTTTGAGGTTTAAACACAAATTTTTTGATATAATTTAAGAAAGCTTATTTGATTTACTCTTATACTTAAAATTCAAACAAATATAACTAAGTTATTAGTATTTACAAATTATCAATTATGAGCTAAGAACAGCAATAAGGATAGACACAAGGAGAAAACTATCAAGATATTAAAGAAGCTCTTGAATACCAAATAGATATAGTTTTAAGGCTGGAAGAAGAAAGACTTCTTTTGATTAAGGAAAGCAAAATTTAAAAGTAGGTCTTATTCTTAAAAATTAATGAATTTAAAAATATTTTAGATAAAAAATTAAGGAACTTCAAGACACCATTGAGAAAATAAATCCTGATTTATAGAATAAATAAAATAAATAACAGGATGCTCAAACATAAGCATCTATTTAGATTTACAGTGTTGGAATAGATGTATAAACTTAAACAGAATAAGGAGTTATTTAGAGCTAATTAAATGAAAAATATATGATCAATTTTACTGAAAATGATGAGGATTATAACGATTCTGTGCTTTAATATTCATAAAATTAATCAATTATGACTTTAGAAGATGATATTGATACTTTTTCAATTCAAGAAGGAAAAAAATCTAATACAAGCGATTTACTTTAAAAGGCCCAATAAATTTTAAAAAAGAGTGAATAGAAAATATAAAATTTCGAAGAAGCATCACAATAAAAAAAAAAGACTACTTCTTCAGCAGCTGTAAATTAATTTAAAAATATTTAATATAAATTAATTTATTTTAAATAAAATAAAAGTAAAAGAGTTTACCAATTAAAAGTCTCAATTTTAAGAAAAAAGATGGATCATCCAACTCATCACTGCAATCTTCTCATTATCAAAGCACTTCTGAAAAGTTACCAACAGAAAAAGAAAATACATCAATATCATTAAATACAGAAAAGAAGAAGGAATAGAATGATATCATAGCTTAGGAATTAGTAAAACTAACTCGTGAGAACAATTCTATGAGAGTAAACTTATTAATTAATTTTTAATCTTTTAGTAAGAAATCTTAAAATAATTTATTAATTTATTAATTAATTTTAATTAGAAAGAAATGCAAAAATTGTAGGAATTATGTAAAAAACACTAAAAAGATAATGTCGATATGAAAAAATTGATTGATGTAAAAAATGAAATGCTAGATAAATTGAGAATGGAAGTTGCTGAATTATCTCTTGTATTAAATAATGATAAATACAAATCAATTAGAACTATAGAAGTAAAATTTTAGTTTGTAAGAATAATTATTTAAAAAAAATATTGTGTAAAAGGGTGAATTAAAAAAGTCAAAACAGTAAAATGCTGAGTTAAAAAAAGAATATGAAAGGGTATTTGAAGAAAAAAACGAAATTAAAGAAGAATTATCTCAATTTAAAGTTATACTCTCAAAGATTACTGAAGAATATGATAAAATTAACAATAAAAATTCAGAGGGAGATATAAATATCAAGAAAGAAAATGAAAAACTAAAAGAAAAACTTTAAGAACAAGAAAAATAATAAAAGTTTTTAAAAGAGCAAATGCACTATAAAGAAGCTTCTGTACAAGAAATAAAAACAGAAAACCAAAAACTACTTGAAGAGATAGAATATTACAAACATGTTTCAATTAAGAGCAAAGAGTATGCTTAAAAGGCTATCTAAGACATAGATTTCTATAGAAACATATTAAAATAACACAATATCAACTTAAGTTGATCATAAATTGATTTAATTAATTAATAAATAAATAAATAAATTATTACTATTATATAAAATTCATCTTATATTATTTTTGTAATTACTCTTTATTGTTTTCATTATTCTCTAATTATTCTTTCTAATAATAATTTTTTTAAATTTAATTGAATTTCTAAAACAATAAATAGCCTTTTTTTAAAATAGTTATTGTTAAATTGGTTCAAAAATTACTTTTTACTTATTTTATTTATTAAATATTATAAGTTATTTTTTATGCTATTTTAGATAATTTTTATCATAAAAGTTTTTTTAGATTAATAATCCTCAAAATAATGAAAGATGAATTATTTTTTATTTTTTTTAGTTAATGAATAAATTCAAGAAATATATTTAAATCTTTAGAATAATTTATACAAAAAGTTATTAAACAATTATTCATTATAAATAACTTGGTTATAAATAGAGATGGAACTAGGGTTAGATTTTTCTTAGATTTTTTCATAATTTGAAGAATTTTGAAAGCCATTAGTAATTTCTTTTTGCCAATTTTAATTTTTTTGTAAAAATTTTTTGAATGAAGTGGCTTGGAAAAAAGCTTAATTTGTATAATTTCTAAAATTTATCATATATTTAAAGTGTTTATTTTCAAAGACAAGTTAGTTAAAAAAGTATTAAAAATTTAATTCAAACATTATATAAAATATCTTAAAAATAAATCAGCCAATTAACTTGGAATTTATCACACCTTATAATTGAACATAAATATTATAATACATAATTTTTAAAAAATAGAATTAATTAATTAAATAAATAATTAAGAAATAAATTATATTTGAAGAATTTATACAAGAAGCTTTTGATTAATTTATTCATTTTAAAATATCAAAAATTTCGTCTTTAGGATATTTAAATAAATTTTTTTCTATACTTTCTTATAGTTATTGAAGATAAGGTCTTAATTTATATCTATTTATATAAATTTAAGATTGGTTATCACTCTCATTCGCATAAATAGGATTTAGTAAATTTTCTACTAGAGAGAGTTTACTATCTAATTTATTAATAACTAAGATTGTTTGGTTTAGTAATTTAATCTGTTCATCTAAAATTAATTTCTGATTCAATCTATAAATAACAGCAAATCTCAACCTGTAGTTAATATCTGGGTTAAGAAGTGTTTTTTGATCTTCTTCAACAGAAGTTGTATATCTATTTTATTTATTTTTTTATTTATTTATTTATTAGTTAAATTGATAAGGTCTTTTAAATTATTTTAAAATAAATTACTTATTTCTGAGATATTATAGTAATTTAACAGCAAAAGATAATACAAAAGATTCATATATTGGGGAAACAGGCAAACTAGCTATAATTCTCTTAAAGTCAGGTCCTTTGTAGTGCATCATGAGATAGAGTCTTAAATATATAATTAAGTCTATATAATATAATTTTAATAAGGTACTTTAATTTATTCTTAAATTAACAATATATATGTAAATAAATTTATTTACCAATACAAATTTCATTTTTCTTTATTCTAAATTCCTAAGTTAAATCTTTTAGATCGACCTTTTCTTTTTTCTTCCATACAAAACCTCCAGAGCATGTGTCACTGGCTAAATACTCCTAAAATACAATCTTTTCAAATAGAATGTCATTAAGTTTCTCTACTTGCATATTCATCCACAGCTAATAATTAAAATTGTTAGTTTTATATTTTTAATTTTATTTTTACTCTAAATGAATAAGAATCGTATCGATTTTTTAAGAAGGCAAAACCGTACCACATAAGTAAAAATCTATTTGTGCGCTGTCCATAGCAATTATATAACTATTGTCCCTTTTTTTCTCTTTTTAATTAATTAAATATTTATTTAATTTATTAAATTTATTAATAAAAAAATATACGGTTATCTTGTTGTGACGACAAAGTAATTTTCTTCATCTTCATCATCATACCAGCTGAAATCAGACTCATCACTAACATCGCTAAAATCGCTTGAACTGTCACAACTTTCCCAATCCTCTTGTTCAACCTCCTCTTTTTCCTCACCCTCTTTCTTATTTTAGTCATCTTAAATTGCTTTTTTGGTAGCTGTGATTTATAAGAAATAATTTTTTAATAAAATTAAACTAACAACTAGTTTACTGTGAATTGTGAGTTATTTAACTTGCATTATAATTCCATCTTCTTCTTTTTCTAGTAAGACGTCTTCTTCCCATTTCTTCTTCTTTTATTTTTATGGCTTAGGTTCTGATTTGAGGTTAAAAAATTTTTCTAATTCAGCTTCTTTAAGCTATTAATTTTATCCCTTTCTCTCTGTTTTTTCATCATCAGAGGTGTCATTGTCTTCAGATTCAGTAGTAGGGTAAAATTTAAATGTAAATAAATCTTATTCCTTGTATGTTTATAAAAATTTATTTTATTTCCAAAAATGTTTATTATTTACTTACTTTTGTCTATTTAAGCTTATTAACATTTATTTCAGCACACAATTGCCTTAGCTCGTCCCTAGGTATCCAATCAATACCTTTTAAATCTAAATTTTTTTAGCTTTCCTCACTTAGATATTCTCTAAATTGATAAACATATTTCAATCTCCTGTTTTGATATCTAATTAATTAATTAAATACATATTAGACTCATATTGAATCAATTTAAATTTAAATAATCACTGATATAGGTTGTTTTTTATTTTATCCTCCTCTGTAAATACTAAAAGAGGATCTTTCATTAATTATAAATTTATTTTGTGCTTTTTAATTCTGTATTTTTCATGTGCCTTTTTGGGATGCTACTCAAATTCTCTATTAATTATATAATGAGTTGTAGTATCGCAGTTATGGTTGAACATATCTGCTAAAGGAACTAGGCAAACACTTGGAAGAGTCCATCCATACCTAACAAAATATTCTTAATAATTATCATAATAAAACCTTAAATAAATAATACCCTCTAGTCATGCAAAGCTCATAGCAGTAATAAAATAGCTCTTTGTTTACTTTATCTTATGGAAAATATTAAGGGTATAGCTTAACTACTTTATCCATGTTTCTCCATTATTTTTCCATCTCATTTTTAAGAGATTAAAGCTATTATATTTTTAGTTGTTAAAATCAAATTCAAATTATAATTAAAAAGCATAATTTAAAGATATTAATGATTTATTCTACTTTTCTTAAAGCACATTTAAGACAGATTATTATAAAAAAAATATTTAATTTGATTGATTTACTTCTTGTAAAATATAGGAGTCCTCAAATTATGCAAGTTCTTCAGTACTCCAATCTAGCAAGGTATAAGATTTTTAGTTGAGTTCAAAATATGGATGCCAAAATGATTATTCTCCTTTTAATTTCTCATACATTAGGTAGAGTGCAAGAATGTTAAAATCTGCATCCCCGCACTTTTCTTCGTCAAATAATTCAGGAAATCTATTTTATTTAATAATTTATTACTAAATTCTATTTTAATTATTTAATTATGAATTAATTACTTTTCTAAAACTTCTTCTAAATCGCATCCATAAACCTTGTCTTCTGAAATAATTAATTTGTTTGGAATAGCTAAAATAACCTAATTATTTTTATAATAAATGAGCTAAATTTTTTATGAAGAACATGCTTACCTTTTAGGGAGATATATCCTAATCGGCTGCAATTCCAGGAACTCCCAAAGGACCAAATGCTGCAGGGAATTAAATCTAATATATATTATAAATTAATAAAATTTTATGTGAGTAGTAAGTAATTAATTAATTAATTACTCCTTCCATAATAGCTCCATTATCAATGCACCATTGTTTAAACTTGATATATCTTTAATCACTTTATAATTTGAGGGTCTCCTCTATGTTTAACTCGTCTTCTTCTATAAAATAATTTGATTGTCACATTATGATAAATGTTAATATCTTAAATATTAATTGACTAAATAAATAAATAAATACCTATCATATTATATTGGTTCTCCGCTATTTTAAATTTTTGAAATTTAATTAAAAAAAAATACAAATTTTGCGCAATATATCTTTGTTAGTTAAATTATATATCACAATTTCAACAAAATCTTATAACAATTTACCACATGCAAAAGCTATAAATAAATATATTCATTTTTGTAAAAAATATTTAATTAATATTTCATTTTGAAACTTTTACATTATAAATTTTAATTTTTATTAGTAAAATAAAATAAGCTTTTTTGAAGTAAACCAATAAAATTTGTTAATAAACTGTTTTTTTTCTTCAAAAATTTATTTTATTTCTCAAAATAAATAAATCACACACAATCTGTAAACTCTTTTATGACTTTACGTGTTTCTAACTTACTAATTATTAATTTTGAAAATTTTAATAAATTAGCAAGTATATTTAGAGGTTGAAAGTAACAAAATTGTTTACTTAAAGATTCAATGTAAATAGGCAAAAATAAATTTTTTAAGTTGAATAAATTATAACAAATATAATAAATTTAAATTAAATTTCTAATTTTTGAATAAATTGAGCATAATTTAAAATTAACTTAATGTAAAAATAAATGAAGCAAGTAAGTAAGTAAATAAGATGAGCATAATAAAAAGTTTCATTTTTTGAATTTGGAAAATTTAACAGAGCTTAGTAAGGTTTCGTTAGCTTTTTTAGGAGATGTTTGGCCCATTTCAGATTATTTTGATAATAACTTAATTAATGGTTATCCTTTCTCAGAAAGAGGGCTTTCTAAATTATTTTTTGATCCCAATCTAGATAATGTATTTTGGGCCTTGATTTTGTTGAAAGATTTTGCTAATTTCTTGTGAATACTTGAACCTAGGTTTTCCACATTAGAGGCTAAACTATTATTGCTATTGATTGTGTCTTCATTAATCACTACAGTCTAAGCTTATCTCAAAGACACATTTTATAGATTTTTTTCAATAAATGGCGATATAAACTATTTTTATAATTTTATCATTTGGAAAAATGAGTTTTTAAGCAAATCATTAAATTCATTATCAGTAATCTCTGCACTATTATTATTAAACACTCTCTATTTAATTGAAAGCTCCTCTTAATACAAGTACAAAGTGTATTGAACAAAGTTTTGATGCTTAATTTTGAATTGCTAGCATAAATTTATGAGATCAGGGTTATTTATCTTTTATTGGTTTGTAGAAAGATTTGGGAATTTATTTATTACTTGATTGATTTGAGAGTTAATGCTATCTTTAACCTCTTGTTGAACAATTTGTAAAAGTTTACTCAAAAAAGTAACTACAGAAATTTAATTTAACTGAATTTTTTGTTTAATTACATCTATAAATTGGAAATTAAAATCTGATTATTCAAAGGCTTTAATCACAGTGTTCCAAGGAATCTCTTCAAACACTGTATCTAAAGGCATATTAAATTCTAAATTTGAATTATTTTAGTAGTTAAACTCTGAAATTGGATTATAGATCTAAGTATTATTAACATTAATTTAGTCAAATCTGACTTGGTTCATGCTTGCATTTTAGTTATTAGCATATCTTTCGTTTTAGAGAGTTATAGGAGATATCTAGCTAATATCCTCATTATCTGGATACAAATTCTTTTTTTCTTCATTTAAATGCTGTAAACTCTAAAAAATTATTATCAATAACCTTACCTCTTCTCTACTAGGTAAAGGTTATTCAAATATGCCGAAAAGCTAACTAAAGAAATAGCTAAAAGTATCCTTTTAATTTCTTTCCTATAAATAGTAAATTATATAACCAATCATCTGGCAAGTATCTTCATAGTCTTAGCAAACATCATTTTAAAGGTACTCAATCAGCTAATCGCAAGGGTTAGATTCTGATTTTTAGACTGCTAATTGTCTTTGAAAAAATTAAATTAGAGTTTATTTGGCATTCCTTTTATTATTAGGAGATTTATCATCAACTAAAATTATATTTATTAATTAATTAAATAAATAAATAAAAATATCAAATAAGTGTGAATTTACTCTGCATTGTTAAGAAATTTATATGCTACAAACACTTAGTGAAGGGATGATCGCCAAACAAACTAATAAAAATTTTTACTTTTTTAATAAAACATTAAAATTTAATAAAATAATTACCGACTAACTTTGCTGTTAATGAAATTGCAAAAATTATTTTTTTGACTAAAAATATCTGAATCATTGAATTTAGATTTGCTAATAGAAAGGAGAACATTTGAGAGTGTAAGCAATTAAGATTCTGTCTTGATTTCAGCTTATTAAGCTGCAATAGACTCTTTTTTAATCATATTCGTCATTTTACTTGTAGTTTTAGCAAGCTTTGAAATAAAAATAAATCACTTAGTTTTATCTAAAAAGAAATTAATATTATTTTTTAAATTACTCCTTCTAGTTGTGTTGGAGCGAAATCTAGGTTTTGCATGTCTTCTAGATTGAATTTCATCTCTTAAATAGTGGTTTTGAGGTTAATTATTTCCTCTTTTAACTTTCCTTCAATGTTTAAGGTATTCTTTTACTCCTCGTTTATTTTTTTCATCAAGTTTAGAATTTCATTCTAGTAATAAATTTGATTAAGTTAAAAAAAATGCAAAAGAAAGAATTATTTATTTATTTATTTACATTCAAATCTTAGATCTGCTGTTTTTGATCTTAGATCAACTTTTCATTTTCAACATACTTTTGATTCATCTCTCTTTTTATTTTATATTGAAGTCTTGATTGTATATTATCCATCAAAATTATAAAGAATTTGTAAAATCCTTCACAAAATATGGCCAGATGACTGTCTTGATCAGAAATTTATCTTATTACTGGTGGGATATTATCATTCAATATAACAATCAATTCATTTATTAATCCATCATGGAAGCGATTTTTGCTTTGTTCCAAAATTTCTCTCTACAATTTTTCCAAAAAAGAAAACAAAACTGCTTTTGTTTAGGCATTTATAACACTGTTAAAGCTCATATTTTTGAACTTTTCTTTGTTATAAATGTTTAAAACATCAAGAGTCTATTTAATCTATCAAAATAAAATAAAATAATTAAAGAAAAAATATAACATTTTATTTATCTTTAAATTTGATTAAAGAGAGTTTTGTTATTTTAAGAGAGAATTTTATTAAAAGTAGGTTTTTACATCATCAGGTATATTTTCAAGTGATTGGACAACTTATTGATGCTAAACGAAGATTGGATTTTCATTTATATATTTCTTTACAAAGCCTTGAAATTTTTACTCATGTATAACATCATTTATAATAAGGCGACTAGCTTGCTAATGAATTTAGTTTTGTTTAAGATTAAAAGGGTTAGGAGATTATTATGATTGCTAAATAGATTAATGAGTTTGAATTAATGATAGTTGCATAGGAAATTGCTACTAATCGTTTTAAGGAGAAGTCATCGACATATTGACTTACTCATTGTTATTAGTCATTTAATAGAGCTACTAAGATTGATTTCTAGAATGAGTTTGACTTTATAAATTTACATTTGGTAGAGAAGAAGAATTGCTTACAGTAGATCTAACAACCTTTCTACGTAATGTAGAAGGAGTTAGCATCGCTGTAGATGCCCTATCACTAATTGGAGAAGCTCCAAAAGGTTTTATCTTAAATTTATCTAACTAAACCCAATTTTAAGAGTTGAAGTTGATATCTTTCACATTATAGTTGCTAGAAATCTTTAATTGAGGTATCTTGCTAATATAAATCTTTCCATCTTTGGTCTAGTTTTTAATTTGTTATTGAGGACTCTGCGTTACAGAATTAAAATATTACTCCATTTAATTTTTAAAAACTTTGAATAAAATATTAGTTTCCTTTTTAAAATAATTTATTAATCAGATAGATTTTAGAAGGTAATTTTGTCTTTTTAAAGAACTAACTCGCTAATATTGAACAATTATTTACTGAAAAATTGCGAAATTAAGTGTGAATCAATGATGCTAAATAAATAAATAAATTATAATTTAATTTAATATCCATAAATTTCAAGGCTTGAAACTTTTGCTTGTAAAATTATTTGTCATATTTATATTAAAATTTTTTATTTTCTTGATTTAAATTTATTTTTAATACTGATTGATAATTTTTTCTATAATAATTGAAACAAAACAAACAATAAATAAATAAATGAGTATAAGCATTATCAAATTTGTTTTTACTCATTTGTTAATATTTAACATAAAAAATGTATAAAACTCTTAAAAATAAATAGCTATAATAATGAAAATAGATATCAAATTTTTTGTTCTAAAGAGTAAAATTAGTTTAATTTTCTAAAAAGAATATTAAAAGCATCTGTAATATTTTTAAATTAAATTTTTAAGTATTCAGTTTAATAACCAAGTACCTTTGTTTATTTTTTTGTAATATTTAGAGAAAGTTAGATAGAGCCATCTAGTTTAAAACAAATTAAGGAATAAAATCTTTTAAATTAAAATATCTTATATTTCAAATTGAAATTAGAGCAATTAAATTATCACAGTTATTGATAATTCAATCAATATTTTAATTTAATATCAATTACTCTTTCTAAATGTATTAAAATTAAATTATTCTAATATTTTAATGTTTTATTTATTTTTAAAGAGTATTAAAAAAAATATTTTTTATTAATTTGTTTGCTAATTGAGTGAAAAGTGATAAATACTGGTTTTTAAAGTTGTTAATAATAGATAATATTTATTCAAAATTTACATTTACTATAAAAAAATGAAATTAAATAGAAATAATCATTAATTAATTAATTAAATTTGCAAGTAGGTTTAAGAGGTCTGAAGAGAACTCATTAAAAAGATTTGCTTTTTAGTTATCTAGTTAGCTAGCTAATAGATAGACTTAAAATGATATGTAAAGAAATAATTAATTGATTTTGCTTGTTTGTTTATTGATTATTTGTTAATAATACAAGTTAAAAGGTTAAATTGAATATATAAAAATAATAAATAAAGGCAAATGAATCCCATTTAATTTTCATAATTTGTTGTTAACTCTATTACAAAGCACTACTTTAAGGAAGTCGCGTAAATATTATAATCACAAGAATTTATTTTAAATAAGCTAACTTAGGCTTAGCTGAAGCTTTTTTGCAAGCAATACATTGTATTAAAACTAAAATAATCTTAATTATTAATAGTTAGGGAGCCCTTAGACCTGGTTAAGTTAGACGTGAAGTAAAATCAGTTTACAAGGACTACAGTAAAAATCATAAAATAATTGCTTTTTGAGAAAAAATATATTTATCTTTTTATCTATAAATTATAAAAAGATCCCTTGAAGATCCACATTTTTAAATACAAACACCCAAGAATGCTTGAAGTAATTTACAATTTATTTAATTATACATTTATTTGCACATTGTTAGAATTTCTAGAAATTAAATATTTACTGTCAAAAATGGTCTAGAATGAAAATATTAAAAAATTATTTTATTAAATTGTTATTAATCAAAACTTCATATATATTTAAGATTCCTATGCCTGGTCATTAAAGAAGAGCTGAAAGAGTAGAAGCACAAAGAAGAAGAAATAGAGAATAAATTAATTTCTTTTGTAGATATGTTCTTGCTAAGCAAGGAAAGACTATTCCTTATAATTGAAAATTAAACATTTTTCTAAATATTTAAATAATTTTAGCTAAACTAACTAATTAATTACTAATATGCTTATTTTTTCATTTATTGCATATCAAGTTTTGAATATTACAATTTAAATCGAATATAAAATCTCAAGGATTCTATTTAATATTATAATTATTCCGATTCATATTCATTAATAATTTTTTTAAAATTAAATTAATTATAAATTATTTAATTTAATAAGGATTTTTTACAAAAAAAAATCAATTTAAATTATATTTTTTTGCCAAATTTTGTATTAAAATTGAAATCCTCTTCAATTTTAAATGTTATTAAATTCATTTTAATATGATTTTTAAATTTTAATTAAAAAAAACTATCTTCATCACATCAATAGCAAAATCTTAAAACAAAAACTAAAAGAGAAGCAAATATTTCTAAGTAAATTGATTTAAAATTCGCAGAATATACAAATAATATCTGTAATCATTTAAAAATATTTGGGTTTAAATTTATAAATTTATTTTAGCTTGATAGAATTTAATTTCTAATAATATAAAAACAAATACTTATTGAATATTAAATAACTTATTAATCTGTGAAAGGCTATTTTTTATTAATTAGCATAAATTCAAGATATTTAAATTTACTTTAAATAAAATATAAGAAATATATTAATGAAAAACCTTAAAATATATTAATATATTATAAATGTTAAACTCATTATTTTAATTTCATTTAAAATTCGCAGAATATGCAAATAATATCTGTAATTTTTAAAAAATATTTGGGTTTAAATTTATTTTAACTTGATAGAATTTAATTTCTAATAATATAAAAACAAATTACTTATTGAATATTAAATAACTTCTTAATCTGTGAATAGCTATTTTTTATTAATTAGCATAAATTTAAGATATTTAAGATTACTTTAAATAAAATATAAGAAATATTTTAATGAAAAACCTTAAAATATATTAATTTATTATAAAATTTAAACTCATTATATTATATATCTATCTTGGAAGATGATATTTTTATTACATTACATTATATTATATTACCATATTTTTGGAAAAAACTAATCTTAATATTTTTAGGTGATTGCCTAAATCTATTTTTTTTAATATGTGATTGATTGATCATTCAATTTTAAAAAATTATAACAAAAAAATTAAATTTAGATAAATCACAATAAGATTAAACTGTTCAATAAATTTTTTAGATATTTCATTTATTTATTATTAATGATATTGATTTGTTTATATTATTTATATATTATATGAATTAATCTTTTAAAAATATTTAATGGCTTTATTGTAAAAAATTTATTTTTTGTTTTTTAAAGTTTTAGAAAAATGGTTTGTTTGTTTTTCAATTAATAGAATCATTTTTATGAAAAATAAATTTAAATGATAAAAATTAAAAGAATGTAATAAATATCTATTAAATTTAATTTATAGTTTTTATCTATCTAACTTTGATTGATAAATAATCTATTTATGAAATTGAAATTTAACCACTAAATTAATAACTTTTTAGGATATATAAAAATCAAAGATATTTACAACCACATTATTTATGATTTTAAATAACTATTGAAATGCATAGACCATTAAGAAATACATATATATTTGTATAGTTGATATTTTTTGTAATAAAATGTAATTGGAGCTTGCTTAATATTTAAGCTAAATCAAGCAATTAAATAAATTATCAAAGAATCTATATAAATCAATAATTAAATCAACTATCAAACTTCTTTATATTTTTATAATCTCCTTCTAAGTGAGTGAAATATTAATTATGAAAATAAAGACTAAACTAAAAGAATTAGATTTTTCTCAAATAGCTTTAAACAGCAATAGAAACTCGCCTTCTCAAAAATCTCCTAGCTCAGCTAGCAAGAGGAAGACTATATTTCATAAATAGGGAGTCACACTTAAGAAAAGCTAATAAAACAATACACCATATTAAGGAGTTATTTCTCATAAAAATAGATATTAAAGTTTAGAAAAAGTATAAAAATTAGAGTAATCGCCTAAATTGAGATAAATTAATAGGGATTAATAGACAACAATATTCGATGGATATACAGTAAAAACTCTTGAAGAAAATTAAACTTCGTTAAATAACACATTTTTCAGTACTAAAGCGAGATTAAAATCTTCATAATTAAGGACAGCTACATAAAGTTCAAATACAAATAACAGTAATACTACTGCATCAAATGACTCGCCTATATAAAATAAAAAATAACCATTCCTACAGTAATTAACTTAAAAATATGGCAGTAGCACAAAAACAACTTCTCTGTAAGATTATGTCGATTCATTTGAAAATAGTCCTACTAGATATAGGCTATATTCCTCTATACAATAAGATAAAAGCATAAGAAATTTACATACATCTATAGATTTTCTTCCTTCTAAAACACCTTTAAATTAGTCAACTTCACTTACAAGAAATGAGCAAAGATTAGATCAATATAAATTACCCTATTTAGATGTGGATAAACGTAAAGAAAATAGGATTCAAAGTACGAGTTTGACATCTAGAAATAGCTCTTCAAAAAGATTCAATTTAAAAAAGACTTTTCTCATTCAGTCTTCCTACTAAGCTCATATGAATAGCTCAAAATAAATAACATCCCCTCATTCTTTAAACACAACTTCAAACACTTCTTTGCACCGAAAAAGTTTGTAATTTATCTTAAAATACCACAAACACAATTAATTCTTCATTATATTTTAATGATAAAATTTTAATTTATCGAATATATATTTTTTTATGATTTAAGTAAATGTTTTATTTTTTATAATTATAAAATAGATAAAGTAGCTTCTTTTTAGGAGGAAAAGACACTGGAAGATAGAGCATATTAGATATGGCAGAAGAAGAATTGTAGCAAGATAAATTTTATTAATTTCTGGGATAAATTATTTTAAGTGAGAGCGAGTTCAATATTTATTTAGACAGTTTTAAAAACAATACAACGGTTTTTTCATTAAAGCACTTTTTAGACACTTTTTCTAAGCAAGAGAGAAGATTTAACAAATATGTTGAGGAAATATCAAAAAAGGTGTTGGCCAACAAGTTTGATTTATTTTCTTTGATTAAATAAAAAGAAAGATGCATTAAGCTTATTGAAGAAACGACTAGAATACATTCTTCTATGCTGCTGTCTGCAAAAACAACTCTTGAAAGGGATGAAAATAATTATTTTAAAATGGACAAAATAACTTAAAGAGCAATGTAAAATTTTAGAGATAATTTTAATATTAAAACATAAATATGTTTTCTTAAAAAAAGTTTAAGTATCAAAGAGTATGTTTATTTATTTGAAAATTTAATCAGCTTTATTGACTAAAGGATAAAACTTTAAAAGTATATTCAATCTACTTAAAACGTAAATTAATTAATTTAGTCAAAAATTATATTTAGATTAAAATCAAATCATTAGGAATTCAACACTAAGAATCAAATTCTAACTAAAAAGCTAGCTCAAAATGTTTTAGATTAAATGTCACATTATGAGCAAATATGGAAAAACATATTATAAGATTTTGAACATGATTTTTAATATATCTAAAGCCTCTCTTTATTTAATGTTATTTAGTTATAAGAGTCTCTCTCAAGTGAAATATTATCAATAACTCATACGCCTGTTAATTAATTTTAAAATATACTAAGTAATAACATTATTTAAAAATATAAAAAGCTTTAAATAAACTTATTTTTAAACTTAAAAAATATTTCAATTATCATAAGTTTGATTATAGAAAATTGAGGTTTAAAAAATAATAATTTAATCTAAATATTCAATAATTAAGACGTTTTCCACTTTATTTTTAAGACTATTTTTATGAGCTCGTTAGATTTTTTAGAGAATATTTTGTCATTAATAATTGGAATAAATATTTAAGAATTTTAGCAAAACTTTTTAATTTAATTTAATTATTTGTTTTTTTTTTAAACATTTTTCTTTTTAATTAACTTAAATATAGATGAATTTATAGATTCAGCAAGAAATTTTCTATTTAGAGTAAGCTCTTTGATGCTTTCTTATTTTTTAACAAAACCTTTTCTCAGTCGTGTAAAAGAAAATAAACAGCAATTAAATGAGGTATTAATGATATTTAGAGTTTTTATTTGACTCATTTTTTTTAATAGGAAAAAAAATAAATGATTAATGATGTGAGATAAAATTATTTTAGAATGGTAAACTCTTTAGAGTTATATTTTTATGAAAAATTATCTTTGAAATCAAGTTAAGAAGTATATTAAAAAGAAGTTGTTGATTTTGGTCTACCTAGTCTTTACTTATTAATGGAAGTAGCTAATTTAACTGGGCTGAAAGGATAATAGATACTTTAAAACATAGCTAGTCTTTTGGTAGATTTAAAAAGTATTTATAAAAAATTTAATTTTTGCTCGAGATTTTATATTCTTCCTGCAGATAAATCTTTTTTTTAGTAAATGCTTGTCTTTCTTGAAACGATAGAAAGTTAAGCTATAATATAATTAAGTAAACATTTTGCTTTGCTCAAAGCTGAGCTTAATATGCTTTAGCATCCTGTTGATTATTCTAAGTCTTATAAGTTTAAATAATAATAAACTTCTATCTAAAATTTAATTTTTATATCTAACAAAATTGAAGAAAACTAAAAGCTAAGGCCTAAAATATTTACTTCTTGTACTCCTGAAAGTTTGTTAGCGAAAAGTCAGGAGTTTGTAGAATAATTTGAAAAGGAAATAAATATGTTGATACAAGCTGCATAACCTTATGAAGATGAAATAATTAAGGAGCAGTAAGAAAGAGATGTCTCTACACTAAGCAATTTCATTGAGGGTATTACATTTGTTAAACCTAGCTATGAAATATTTTTGCATTTCTTTAGAGAGATTAAATAATATTCCATAACTGATATTTTTGAAAAGCTTAAAGCAAATAAAATTGATATCATTCAAAATCATAACTTATTATTTGAAAATTTTATGTTTTATTACCTCAAAAAGAATATAGATTTTTAATAGATTAATAAATTAGAATGGGAAATTAAATAATTTATATCATAAATATTACAAAATAGTTTTGAAAATAACAACAATTTTATTAATGCATACCAAAATGCAAAAAAATTGAACACATAAATTAGCTTAATATAGGATTAATTTAAATAACAAAATTATGCTTTTACTCCTTTAATAAATGTCTTCGAATAGACTCAAGGACTAGTTGAAAAGTATGAATTAATGATTATGATGTTTAACATATCGGAAAACATTTGTAAAAATGATTCAAAATAATCGGTAATGCCTAATTTTTAAGATTTTAAAGATCTAATTAATTTTGTTAGCAACTACTCTCAAGATTTAAATATTGATGAATTCAATTTATTATTTAAGCCTATTTCTGATAAAATCAATTTAGGATTATCTTAGATTTAATAATTAGATAAATTCTTAAGCATTCCTTGTCCTGAAAACTAATAAGTAAATTTATTTATATAAACCATTTAAAAAATGTGCAATAAAATAATAGATTAATAATAAATTATAGTAAATAATTCAAATTAATCTCAAAGAGCTAATTTAATTAATTTCATAGGTGAATATCTTGCTTTTAAAAGGGAAAAAATAGTTTTGTTACAATAAAAATCATAAACAGTTTATATTTTTGATTATTCATAATTTCAAGCTCAAACTATTAGTCTTGAAAATTAAAACAATAATAAAATTAATCAATAAGATCTGAATAAAATTAGCCATAGCGTCTAATACAATAATTTAGCTCTTCTTTAAAAAATTGATAACTAATTTATCAAAAAAGATAATAAAATAACACTAAAGCCTCTTCAAAAAAAGCCTTTGATTTCATCTGATTTATAAAATACAACTGAAAAAAATACTTATTAAAAAAATAATGTAAATTAAAACATGTTATAGCTAAATATTAATAGTATAACTCTCTAATAACCCAAAAAAAGCCAATAACTATAAAGTATTAATACCTCTTTAACATACTCTAAAAATGATGGAATCTAAAATATTGAAACAAAGCAAAAAGATTAAACTGCTCTATAAATTCAAAAGACAAGTTAATAAAATTAATAAATAAGTATGCAAGCTATTTTATAATAGATAAAATAATATGTGATAAATTAATTTGGTATTATAAAAACATAACCAACAAATTTAGAGTTAGTTAAAGAGACTTTAACCAAATAAATATAACAAATAAAAATTATCGATAAAAAAATAAAAAGCATAAATACAGAAATTTCTGAAATCTATTCTCCAAACAAACTGAAAAATCTTAAACAAGAAAGAGTACTACGATTTTAGACTAAAAAATAATCTATTTTCATTTATTTTGACTCTCCCTTTTAGAGCTATGATTTAACTATTTTTGATGAGCAAAATTAAAAGCTAATCTGCAAGGTTTAAGATTTCCAAAGCGGTCTTTAAGAAGCTGAAATTTACTTAGATTAATTATGTAATTAAATTTCTATTTTATTTTACAAGACTTAGCTGAGTGACTAATTTGATAGAATTCATTTTAAATTACAAGCAGTAGCATATAGCTTTTTACCAAACTTTTTAGACATATCTCTTGTCCCACTAAATTTTAAACAACATGAATTTATAAATGTCTTCTTTGTAAGTAGAAAGCCAGAAATGCTAGAACAAATTTTATAAAAAGACTCAATTGAACTTATAAAATTTAGAGATTTATAATCTCAGTAAGATATTTGTTTTAGTTAATCTAAGTTATCTAAAGAAAACATATGTTACCATTTACCTCATGATATTTAAGATAAACAAATCTTACTATATATTAACGCACTTAACTAATTATCTTAAGAAATTCTTAATCAGCTAGGAATTGAAATTTACATTTATATGAGAAAGGAATTTATGAAAGCAGGTAAATCAGTTACAAAAATAGAAATCTCTTAGTGCAACTTTGAAAATCTAAAATAAAAAAACATCTAATTGAATAAAAATAATTACTTCGAGTGGGAAATTGCTGAATACGAAAACACATCTTCATCAATAAAAGTTTTAAATAAAATCTAGTTACAATAATGATCTACTTTACTTTAAATATATCTGTACATATTTATTTATTTGAGAATCACTTTTTTTTATAATTTCTACTAACAATTCTATTTAAAAAAACAACTTAAATTCTGAAGTTTTTTATTAGTTTCTTTATTTATTTATGTTATTCAACACATATTTTAATTAAATTTTACTATCCGTATTTCAAAATTTTACTGATACATTAATATTTACAATACAGACAAATAAAATTTATAAAAAAAATATTTTTAATTCATTATTTTTTGCAATTAAAATTACTAAAATAAGTTTATCAAAATTTTCAAAACCTGATTGATGATTTAAATTGATTTTATTTTATGTTTATATTTAAGTAAAAATAAAATAAAAAATAAATAAATAAATAAATAGGATAAATTTGTTTTTTTGTTTTGATAATTAGTAACATTTAAAGAAAAATTTATTTTTTTAATCAATAATTTAGAATAATTTTCTAAAAAAGCTTAAGTTATTAAGCTTGATATTTTGAAGACTAATTAAAATTAATTTAGAAATAATAATATTCATTAAATTCAAATGAGTATATTAATAAATATATTTATTTATTTAACATATATTTTATTTATGATATAAAAAAATTTTATTTAATTTAGTGAAATGTGATTTTTGATAAATTTATAATAAATATTTATGAATGAATGAATGAATGACTGATTTTTTAATTTAATATGAAAGTTAAAATTTGTTCATATATTTAGAGGTTATTAATATTATTTCAGTATAGTCATTCATGAAGCTGTTTACTCAGAAGCTTAATCTAAGTCTGTTTCAGTAGGATTAACTATTTTTTAGATGTTGTTAGGTTTAAATATAGGTTGTTCTTTTTTTCTTCTAAGTGCATAATACTATTTTTTCATAAGCATTTTTTATTTCATATTGACTTATTTTGTTGAGAGTAGAGGCTAATCCTCTATTATATTATCCTTGTTAGTAAATACAGATTCTACAGTTGAATACCTTTTAAAGGGCGAAGTAGCATTTTATATTAGAGCCTAAAGACTTTCATAATAAATGGATTTATTTGCAAAAATCTTGTCATTCTATTTATTGTGATTTCCTTAGTTTTTAATATCTACAGAAGATTATGTTTACATGTTTTAATTAGCTATTTCTAATTGTCTATTGAAAAAGCTATTCTTAGGAGGAATTTTAGGTAGTTAGGGACTGAAGAAATCATTTATATTTGACTAAATAGACTATTATCTTACTTTTTTTATTGGTGATTCATTTTACTAAGATCTACTTACTGAGTTGCTGTTAAAAATTCTCCTAATAGAAAAGGGAAGCTTATAATTTTCTAGATCATTTTTGAATAGATTTACATTCACAACTATTTTATCGTTAAATTAACTCTTCAACTAAATATCATTATGGTACAGATCTTCAATTTAAAGATTAGAAATTTATCTCTCTTTTTGGTTTATATCATTTATAGGTTTTTCAGATCTGTTTGTGTAAATTAACTCACTTGATTGATCTAATTAAAAATTGTAATTTCTTTATGTAGAAATAGCATTTAATAAAGAATTGTTGTGCTAATCATCCTCTTAGTTATTTTAATTTTTTTCTTAGCTATGCAAAGCCTAAGCATTTTAATTTTCTTAAATTTGATCTTTTTCAAATTTATCTTTCTTTTGTACACCGAAAGTTATAGTTTCTGATTAAGTTTCGTCTGAATCTTTAATAAGATATCCTGACTCTTCATAAGACTTATTTAATCTGCTACTCCTAAAAAATTTTTTAAATAAAGTAAAACTTATAAATATTTTTTTTATTATTAATTTGAATGATTTTTTATTTGAATCAATTTAAAATAAAATAATTAAAATAAATACATTTAATGATTCCTTAAAAAAATAAAATGATAATTAATTTTAAGTAATTTTGTTTCCTCAAAAAAAGTTTATTTTAACCTTATTGCAAAATTTAAATAAGTAAGTAAGAAAGATAATTATTTTGATGAAATATTTTTTTATTTATTTTTAAACTTTAATAAATTATTACTTTTTTACAGAGTCTGAATTTTTAACTTCTATAATATTAGTAGCAACACTTAAATGTCTGTATGAGTTTGAATTTACTTCACTTGCTGGCTAAGAAAAATTGATGCTGTTTTGATTTGGGACAATCTATGAACTATTCAATTAATAGCTATTATTTACTGAATGATTTCTTGAGCTTGATTACTAAATTTTTTTATATATTTTAATGCTGTTTTTGCTTGCTTGGATATCAATAGTAGGTAATTAAAGTCTTGGAATATGCACAGGCTCATTGTCAAAGTGCTTACTTTTCTAATTTAAATCATTTTATTCATCATCTTCAAATTAGCTACTACCTAATAAGTATGCCTGAGTCTGCTCTCTCTTATTTTTTATATTTTATTAAGAATTTTTTTATGAAATCCTCCTCATTTATTTATATTTTCTTTTCTGATAAATTGGAGTTCCCTAATTTATTATTTAGAACTCATATTCTTCATCACTATAGTCTTCATCATCCGATCCTTTTTCTTCTAAGCTATTGAATGATTTAGAGTTTTGCTTAGTTTTATTTCTTACAGAATCTGTTGTAATATTTTTTTTTATCAATATAGTGGAGGATGGAAGATCGAATACAGAGCTAAGTTGTTTTTTAAGTATATTCTAAGTCTAAGAAATATGAGCGTCTTCTTCAATTTAGTTACGGGTCTATATATAAAATAAAAAATTAACCAACAAAACAAATTTAGATAATGTTAAAGCAAATAATATTAACGAAGGAAGAAATTAGGTATAATTTTAATGGAAGCTATTCAATCTAAGTATAGGATTAGATAAATATATTTCTTATTTTCATTTTAATAAAGATCTTATTTTCATTTATTTTAATAAAAATCTTATTTAAATTTTAATAAAAATTTTATTTTAATTTTAACAAAATCTTATTTTAATTTAAATAAAGATCTTATTTAAAATTTAATAAAAGTCTTATTTTAATTTTGATAAAAATCTTATTTTATTTTAAATAAAAAAGTCTTATTTATTTTAACAAAAGTCTTTTCAAAATTTTAATTAATAAAATCTTCTTTTAAATTATAATAATTTTGATTTGAGCTACAGAAACTAATAAAATTAATATTTCAATAATGAAATAGTTCATATTTTGTTACTAAATTTAAAAATGAGCTTATAGAAATATGAAGCTTAAATGAATTAGCAGATTTTAAAAGAGAAATAAATAAATAAAATAATTAAGAAAAATTTAAGTGAAATAAAATATAAATTACTCCATGAAGACTGTGAGAAAAAAAAGAGGCTCTTTAACCAAAATTTACTAAAGATGGTACTCTGTTGACTATAATAGAATTTTTAGCTTTTTGCTTTTCTTGTTATAAAATGTCTATTAACCTTATTCCCATGTAAGAAAATGCTTTGTCTTCGAATTTATCTTAGTCAGTAATCTGAATTTGTTAAAAATTTGAAATGAATAGTTTTTGTGTGATTGTTTATTTATTTATTCTTACATTCAAAGAGGTAAATATTCTTTAAAAGTTCTAAATAATTGTTTTCTCTACCCTAACTTTATTTTCTAAAAGTTTATCTTTATCAGGATGATTAAAAGATTTAAAGAAATTATATTGAGACCAATTTATATGCTCCAAAAAAGTTCTAGCAAAACAGTAAATAGCATCTTAGTGATTCAAGTTTATTTATTTATTTTTCTTCAAAAAATGCTCATTGAAATCTTTAATATCTTTTCTAAGCATGACTAAAGTGAGATTTTCGCTCTTTAAAAGTTTGATTTTCTTTATCAAACTCTTTTATTTAAAATAATTTTTAATTTATCTAAAATTAACTTTTTAAAATATTAAATATAATTATCAATTTAAATAAATTGAACAAGAATAAATATAATTTATTCATTTATACATGTTAAGCTTTCTATATCTTAGAATATACTAAATTATACATCAGAGGAACTATTTTAACCAAGAAAAACTCTTTTATATCAGGAGATCTTAGCTGCTCCTTCATTACACTTTTTTCTAATTCTATAATTTGATTGCATATTTCAGTGATTTAGTCTCTTAATTCTAAAATTTTGATTATTTTTTCATGGCAGATTCTATTGGCATAATACAGTTTCTTGAATATTCTACCAAGGAACTAAATGTACTAATGTATTTTTTATAAATAAATTAAAAAACAAAAAAAGAAAAATTTATTATTTATAAATTCATTTTATTTTTAATTTTAACAACAAAAAATAAATAAATAAATAAATAAAAATTTACCTTTTGCTTTTCCTCCTCTTCAACTAAATTTTTTCTTTTAAGATACATGGTAATTTCTTAAGCAATTAATACAGAGTGGTTATGCATTACTTTTAAATATCCAACTTCACGTGCTAAAGCTTATTTTCCTATAGTTGGTTCTTGGTGTTTTATTCCATTTGATTTACTCTTATATGCCCATTGTACCTCTCTCACAGTTCTCATAGAATACTTTAAATTTGAGTCAATAATTTATGATCTAGTTTTTAAAATAATTAATCATACTTCTAAATGTCCAGAATAAGGTGAAACTGTTCCAATAATAAATGTTTTTGATTTTCCTCCTAGATATTCCTTAAAATAAGAAGTAAATGGAGACTGTTCGTAATGAACAAAGTTATCTTCCCTCATTTTCATGTTAATTTCGTAAATTGTTCTCATGCAATTGTTAAAAGAAAGCATTGCATTATTAACGCCTTTGCTATCTATTTTGTCTAAAGATTCGTATGATTCAGTGTCTATTATATACAAATCAGCAGTGGCTTATTTTTACTCTGATTCCTTCCCTCCTTCAACAGTGTTTATAATAGTAAATTTTATTATAAATATTTCTTTATCTGGTTGACAATTGAATAGTGTGAATGCTTGAGAAAAATCCTTTTAGTTTTTAAAATCAAAGTAAATTTTTTCCTCAAAACCAAAATTTATTTATTTACTCTATTTATATCCCTTTTACCATTAACCACCAATGCTGTTTTGAGGAAAGTTAAATATGTTTACATATCCTGACACTCGTTAAGCGATAATCCTGGTAGATATGCCCCATTATATGTTGACCTATGCTCTAAACTTTCCCCTGTGTATGCAAGAAGATCCTTGAAATTATTTTAAAAGCTAAAGCAACTGAGATATATTCTTGCATTAGCATAGTGTTTTTATTTTAGCTGGAAAATCGTATTTGGTATCAAAAAGCATAAACCTATTTAAATTAAAATTTAATTTAAGCTAGTAAATAGTAAATGAGAGCTAATTGCTAATTTAATAATTATTTTGAGTCTATCAAAAATAAAATTAAAATTGAATATTTATTGAAGCTGAAATGCTAATTTATCAAATAAATTCACTTAAAATGTTTTATTTAATTCATTTATATATTTTTTTTGAAGTTTTAAAGTTTGGTAAATATATATTATTTACCAGGGTCACCAACATTCCCAATGAAAGTGTGAGTTTTTCCAGAGTCTTTACCTCCAATCACAAAAATTGCTTAATTTAACCCTTTAAATGCATCATGTGCTAAGTCTAGTATTCCTAATTGAAGTAACTGGTTTGTTTTTCCACCTGGTGGAACTGTTTTAGAGCATCTATTTTAAAAGACCATAACAATAAATTATCATAATCGTTTATTGAGAATTAAAAATAAGTTCACTAAATAAATTTATGTTTACCTATAAAGCTTATCTTTTGTTAATGATTTCAATCCTTGCTAATGCTCGTGCCTAAAAATAACCGATTCCCTATCAAGTACTTCTATAGAATTTTAAGGATTCCTCATTTGCTCAGGTAGGAATAAAGGCCTAACTCTTAAATATGCCTCAAAAGGAGTACTTCCTGGTTTATAATTAGAATGATGCTGATTATGATTATCAAGCTTTGACTTTTTGGTATTCTCTGTTTACTCTTACTGATTAAGATACCTATTGAGTAGCTTCATTCTTTTTATGCCTAAAAAATGGATTAAAATTAATATTCTTAAGTGATTTTAGCTTTCTACTTTATTAATTACTTCTCCCAAATAAGTATTCTTAAGTTCTATTAACAACTTATGTGCTATTTTGATTAAAATATACTGATTTGCCAATTATAGTTTTATTTATTTATGAATATGACTTATATTACAAGCATTTAACATTCTTTTATTAAAATTTGCAGACAACGCCAATCAAATTACTTTAATTAAAGGCTTCAAACAAATAACTATCTTCCTATTTATTACTGAAGGAATTTCTCATATAGAGGATATACAAAAATAAACGCATAAATAAATTGCTTATTTTTCTATTTATGATTAGCTGAATCAGCTAAATAAAATAGAATTATTTTTATTTATTTTAGATTTTATTTTAATAAATATGAAAAACATTTCTGACAACATTATTAAATTGAATTCTTTTGAAGAACAAGCAATTTATCATTTCAATTTATATTTTAGTATTTTTATAAAATAAAATAATCCTACAACCCGATTCTTCCATAAATACAAAAAACGATGATAAAATCTTGACATCACAATATAAATTTAACTTTAAAAATTACATTTATTTTAAATAAATTTCTCAAATTATTAATTAATTGATATTTTTTTCAACTAGCCTCTTTATTTTACAAATTTAAAATATCATTTTTTTTTGTTGATCGTTTTCAATCTAACACATTCTAATATTTTAATAAAATACTCTCAAGACAAAGAAAATAATTCATAATTTGTTATGAAGAAATTGAAAACCATAATAAAAAATAAAATAAAAAACAATCTTTTGTAATTAAAAATTATATTTACAGAATATCTAATTTCAAAGTTTTTAGATTAACACATTTTTTTAGATTAGAACCTAAATTTATTGCCCCCTAACCCTAAACTAAGTTTTAACTGTTATTTTATAAAAAAAATAATAACTATTTATAGAATAACTCTAAATAGATGATTAAATTAAATTTTAATAAATATATTCAAACAAATTTCAATAATAAGGAAAAATTTAAGAATAAATACGAGAGATCTAGAGTTAAATGTGAAAGCTAAGCACACCTTGATAACTCCAAGCCTAAATTCAACGCACCCTGATTTCCAATTTTATTTCCACTAAATAGTAATATATTTTAATTTATAAGTAATTGTTTTATCATTTACTTTTCATAAATTTGAAGAAAAATAATTATATAATTACAAAAGATCTAATCTTATAATTGAGAGATTACTGCATTTTACTAAAGCAGAGCCTAACTCTTATAAGCTCTAATCTCCAAGTTAGGTTTTACTTTTTTTAATTTCATTTTAATTTTATAAAAAGTAAAAAGTATTAATTCTAAAAAAGAGATTTAAAGGCTAAATAAATAATGAAGGAATTAGTAAAATTTATTTTTCTTAAAATTAAAAATTATTTTTATATTTATATTATTAATTGAAATAGAGACTAACTTTCTGATTAAGTCAAATTGAAATTAAATTTTACCACAATATTAACACCAAAGAAGATAAATTTTTATTTTTAGCTAAACCTTAGCATAAAATTTAAAAACCTTAAGCACCAATATCATTATTATACCTTTTAATTTTTTAAAGAAACTGAAATTGAAGAGAAATCATAATTCATCAAAAAAGTAGTTGAAAAACAGCAAATAATTGCAAAACAAATTTAAATTATTACATTCAAATTCAAATGAATCAAAAAATAATTTAATAGATTTACGAGAAATTTAAAGCTAATGTATTTAGTTTTGTACAGTTTTAAAAGATTATTGCTAAACCTGAAACACCTATCTACCCAAAATTATTCCTACTATTAAAATATAAACATTAATAATATTTTTAAAAATAAATTTATATAAATTATTTAAGTAATTGCTAAATTTTATTTAATAAGTAGAAAGTAATTTGTTAAATTTTATTTAATGAGTAATAGATAGATAATTAACTAATCAATCATCAATATAAATTTAAATCAAAAAAGCTTACTCTAAAGATAAGTTTAGACTTTAAAGATTGTCATAATTTTAAAATGAAAAACCTAAATCTTTGACCCCTTAATCTCCAATACTATTGTTACTATATATTAAAATAAATAATATATCTTATCTAAAGTTTTAATATTAAAATAATAATTTAGAAGAAATTTTATTTTATAAAAATTCTTTTTACCTCAAGCCTAGTGTCAGATTGGATAGAACTTTACATTTAGACAAGCCAGAACTTAAAAGTGATACACCTTTATCATCAATATTATTAAAGCTTTATTTTAAATAAAATCTTTTTTAGTATTATGCTAAAAAAAACATAAAAAAATTCAAAATTTAAAGAAAAAAATATTTTAAATAATTAAAATTTGTAGTAATTATTGATAATACAAAAATGAAAAAATGTCTTTTACTAAAGAAAAAGGATCAAAGTTGAGAGTTTCATACATTTAGCTAGATTTAATCCTAGAGATTATGCTCCAACAGTTCCAATATTTGTGCAACTTTTATTATGATTCAAATAACCAATTTTACAGTTGAAAGAAATTTATTTATTTAAAAAAAAATTACCACAGATTTAAACATAAAGTTGAAATTTTAGTACAATTTGCTAAAGCTAAAGATAAAGCCTAAACACCTTCATCATTTATCTAGTTTTCACTAATAACAAAACAATTAAAATTAATATTTTATTTTCAAATTAATTTTATTTTTAATGTTTTTATGATGATTTAAGAGATATTTATTTTTAATAAAAGATTGTAAAAATATAAATTAATTAATTTTACTAGATGTCTAATTTGAAATTTGAGATATTAGTACAATTTTTTAAGCCAGAGCTTAAGCATTCTAATCCTCTTGCTGTGATTTTACACTCGCTTTTTGTTTTTAAATTTAATATTAAAGTTAAAAATAACTAATAAGAATTATGTTAATAAATTTTTACCTAAGTTTAACATTTAGAATTTAAAGATTATCACATTTTCCTAAATATGAAAATAAATTTGACATATTTTCATAGCAAATATTTTTTCCACTTAAAAATAAAAAATTTATTTTAATAATTTTGCATAAATAAATAAATCCAAAAATAAAAAAGAAGAAAATAATTTTAATTTTAAGATTAAATTAGAATAAGTGCAATCAATATTTTAAATATCTCAAATTATCATTAATTAAGGTAAGACCGTGCAAAAAGTTAAGCTCTACAAAATAAAATAAAATCGTTTTTGTTTTTTTATTTATGAGAATAAAAAGTATTTAAAAAGAAGTTAAATAAATAAATGTTTCTTAGATAGATATTGGAAGTAATTTTATACTTGAGTTCAAAGTTAAAAGTTGAAAGCTTAGAGCAATGCATTAGACCAGAAAATAAATCTAAGATTCCTTAAGATCCTATTTCTTTGTTTTATCTTTTATAAAAAATTTAAAAAACAAAATTCACTATTTTTTTATTAATAATTAAATAAAATATTTTATGATATTATAAATCAATATAAAATAAAATTAATTCATGAAATATAAGTTAAAAATACCCAAGTTAAAGAGTTAAATTTGAAAGATCTCTGCATTTAATTAGTTATTATCCTAAATTTTCTAATCCTTAGTCTTTGATTTGAGTTTATCTTTTCATAAAACAATGTTTAGTTTTGCTTTAAAAAAATATTAAACATAACAACAAACAATTCTTGATTTAAGTAGTTAAAATATTTAGCAGGAATTAAGGTTCAACATATTTTTTTTTTATTTTAGTGGAGTATTTGTTAGTTTTTTTTAGAATAATTAATGCCAAAATTACATCATTTAAAAAAAAAATTATTTGAAGAAAAAAATTGAAAATTACTTTTTAATTTTTGTATTTTTTTCAAATAAAATATTTTAAAAATTAATGATTAAGTAAAAAAGATAAATTTTAAAGATTTCTTTAAATTTATAATCAATCTTACATGAGCAAAATTGTAAGAGTTTAGATATTAGTGCAATAAGCTAAGTTCTAATAAAAAAGTTGTAAATCTTCTTCATTATCTTTTATAATTCTATTTAAAAATAACAAATATATTAGCTTATGAAAAACAATTAAAAAATTGTTTTAAAGTTTATTTTAGGTTTAATTCTTAAATTATTTTAAAATTAATTTATTTTAGTAATGTAGACCAAACAATAGAGTCAACATTAATATTAAAAAATTTATACTGAAGACTGATATTTAGATAAGACTGAAGCAATTTTGATGAGCTTATAAACTTTAGTTATAAAAATAAGATATTTTTTTTAATTCTTATTTAATATTTTATTACATCTTTTAGACTACAAAACAATTTTGTTTATTATATCATTTATTTTTTTTCTAGCTTTACACTAATAATAAATTTAATTAAATTTCTTTTTCAAAATACATTGCAATTTAGTTATTTGTAATATCTCTTTTTATTTTACTAAATTTAAATAATATATTGATTAATTAATTACTGATTCATGTTCTTGTAAAAAGTTTTACTATATTCAAAGGATGAAGAGTATTATTTCATTTTACATGAGTTTTAAAATAATTTTATTTTAGATGAATGATTTAAACTCATTTTTAATTAAAATTTAAATAATTTTTTTAAATTGACAAATTATTGTAAAAATTGCTATTATCATATTAACAGTTGTAAATAATTAATTAAGCTAATTAAAAATAAAAACACTTAAAAAATATACTTTAATATTTTTATCAAAGATCATATTATAGCTATTTTCAATATCTATTAAATAGGACCTCTCATGATGTTTTATAATTATAAATGTTGGTTGAATCATAAATAATTAAAAACTCAATAATAAATAAAATATATTATTTAATAATGTTCTTTTTATTTACCTATTTATTTTTTGATTTTTGTGATTTTAGTTCAATTATTTAGATTAAATAACTATTTTTTTGAGTAATAAATTAATAAAATTAAATATTTATTTAATAAAATATTTATTTCTTTTATATTATGTTAAGAAATTAATATTATTATATTAAAAGCAATTTATTTACTAAAATTTCCAATTAAATTTTTATAAAGTAGGAGTTAACTTACAAAGAATTTAGGAAATGAATGAGTAGTTTAGAATATAAATTGGAGATAGTAAGTAAATAAATAAATATATTTATAGTTATTTTCTGGCTTCAAGAAATTTAGTTATTACAAAGAGATTTTATGTTTTGAATAACTTAAAATAAATTAAGTGGTTTTTTTAATAAAACTTAAACTTTTTATAATTTTTTTTTGTTAAACAACCTTCACTAGAATTTTTTACAGCAAATAAAAGTTGAATATTATCGTATTTAGTTTAAAATGCTAGTTAGCAAGATATACTCAGCTCTTGGTAACAAAAAGAAAGCTGAGGCTTAAAAAGTATAAGAATAAGAACTGTTGAAGGCTAAGTAAAAGGAATAGGAGAATTAAATTTAAATTTTCACTAACCATAATTAAATCAATATGTTTATAGTAGAAGTTATGAAGTTGATGAAAGATGTAAATTATTTTATTTAATTTAAAATGAAAGTTGATTTAATTTAATAAAATTATTAGGGTAGATACCGAAGTGCAATTTCAAAAATTTATTCTTTCTTCAATTCAGATTAATGTATTCAAATTAGTAGCGTTTAAACACTAAAGCTTATTAGGAGGTATTTTGCTTGTCTTTCTTACATTATAAAAAAAGCGAAAGCATCAGAGGGTAAACCTAGCGAATCTAAATTAAAAACACTATTCTTGCTTCTAAAAAGAGCAAATGAGTTACTTAATGAACAAAATAGGATAATATTAACATTAGTTTTAAAAGGCCAAAGTGTTCACAATGATAAAAATCCCAATATTAACAGACTTTCAATTTAGATGGAACTTAGCTTGCAAGATATTGTTAAAATGTCTTAAAGATCTGTGTTCAAAGGACTTATTTCTTATGATTCTGAGCTAAAAAATGATCATTTTGATTTTTAAAAACACATCTCACAAAAAAATAATCCAAATGCTTAGCAAGAGATAGAAAAGGAAGAAAAGAAATTTGATATTAACTTATTTGACAATCAAGAAGATGAATTAACTTCTACTGAAAGGGCATTTAAAAATTAATCCTAAAAGTAATAAGAATAAGAAGAAAGAAAGAAAAAGTAAATTCAAAAAAAAAAAAGTAAAAACCAAATAACTTTTGCGATTAGTAAACACTTTTCATCTTATTTACTAAAAATATAAAAATAGTCTTGTTTCAAACAAAATGTATGATAGTTTATTCTTTGAAGCTCTGCTAATTTTGGGCATTCTACTTTAAATAAAAAAATATGATCAGCTAATATGCTCTTTCCTTAAGGAAAGCTCTTGATTTATGCAATTAAGTCTAAGGATGTTGGGTAATTTCAAAAATTGATAATTAATTTTGTTTAAAAATAAATATTTTTTAAGGAAGACGAATATTAAAAAGAAATGGTAAATATCAAGATAGAAGTTTCAAATTTTTACTTTGAACAGCAAAGGTAATTAATTAATTTATTTTTTATATTTTATTATTACAAGTTAAATCTCAACAATTGTTAAAAATTTTTATTCATTTTTGTTTGAATTTTCATATTTCTTATTAATTTTTAAATAAAAAATAATTTAAAATTTTTTAACTTTTTTAGGAAAAATATTTAAATAATAATTTTTTTTTTACAAATTTTTTAAATAGCTTTAATTCTTGCTAAAAAATGATGAATAAAGTTTGGGATAATATTCTTTAGCAGTTCAATATCAAGCAATATATTTTACAAAATTAATATGACTTACCATAGAAACAAAAAATGAGAATAATGCATTCATTTCATGATTATGTAACAAATTTATTTTATTTTAAAATAATTTTGAAATTTATTTTTTAAAAAATAATTTTGAAATTTATTAATAGATTTCTTTAGTAATTACTGTTTTGGGAAATATGGCTTTGTTGGAAGAGTATTAGGGAAATTTCTCTAGGTTGACAGAGTGTATTAAATTATAATTTTGGCTTGCACATAATTATTTAGAAGGTATACACGATGATATATCTATTATATGCTCTAATAACTTAAAGAATGCTTAAAAAAAGGTAATAATATTATTAAAAGTTAAATTATAATATTTTTTGAATTTATCAAGTATGCAGAGTTTTTAACTGAAGAAGGTGAAATTCTCAGAGTTTTAGATGAGGTTTTTGGGATAAAGCAGGAAAAAAGAAATAAATTAAAATTTAATACCTGTGAAGATTAATTTTAAGAGGAGTTGAATTACAAATTCTACAAAAAGTATAAGATTGAGAAGCTAAATAAAGCATTAGTAATTTTACATAAAAGGTCTAAATCTGCAACTAAAGAGGATCTTATGAAAGCTTATCACCTTGACTCGCCAAAAAATAGTAAGAGATTTTTATTTTAATTTTACTTTTTGTTATCATCAAAAAATAAGAGAGCATTTTTTTATCAATTTTTTTGTAAAAAATTTTAAAAAAAGAGTTGATGAATCTGCTGAAATCAAACTAAGAGGAATAATAACTAGATGCTGAGTTGTAATAAGAAAACTAAGTGAATTAAAAACAGATTTCTATTTAATTATATGAAGATTAACTAATAAAAAATAATTCGAATAATACCACTTTAAGCACTCGGTTATCAGAATCTTTAGGTTCACCTTTTTTAACAAATATTTCTTAAAATAATGATTTTCTAAAAGAATCATTTTTATCACCTTTATAAGGAGCATAATTTAACACTCTAGGTGATTCCTAAGAAAAAAAGATAATGATTGATATAATAGATAATATTAAAGAAGAAGAGGATTTTGTTCTTAGTTAATAACAAGCTGAGAAAAATTAAATGTAAAAAATAGTTTCTATGAATAACTTAACTCCTAAAGATAAATTAAATGATAGCTCAAAAATAACTGATAAGCCATCTTACACTATTAAAAGGAGGCAGTTAAGTTTTGTTAAAAGACCCCCTAAATAAATCTAAAAAGTATAATTTTAATATGGTGTTAATTAACCAGTAGTCTTAACAACTAATAAGTGTAATAAATATTTTTTTATTTAATATTTCAAAAAAATCATTAATTTTTACAAAAAATTTTAATTCAAATTTATTTATTTATTTTCTACATTGAACAAAAATAATTAAAAATTTTAAAAGCAAATAATGATTATGCTTTTATTTTTAGCTCCTCAATTTAATGGAAAAAAAATAAATAATTTGTGAAAGATTTTTAAAGTAAAAAATATTCGTTCTATGTTATTAAAGAATTTAATTTTATATTAAAAGATTGGGAACCGTAGAAATTATATAGTGAAACCCCTATTATAGAAGAAGAAAAAAAGAAATAATAAGAGTCGTATAGGAAGATTTAATCGGAAAATAATCTGGATGAAAAAGTAACAGAAGTTTCAAAAAAATAAACAAATCAACCCTTAGGACTGATTAATATCGATAAATACTTTAAGGAATTTGTAGAAAAAGATTTGAATAGCAAATAAACTAATTTTTCTCTGGATTTGTAATTTGAAATTATTAAAATTAATTTTTAATTATATTTTAATTGTTAATTTAGCATTAAATAGGGGATTAACTGTATTATGGAAGATGAAAGATTTGATAACAAGGAGTTTTATGATGCTAGGAAGTTTATTGAATTTAAGCTTAAGTTTAGATAGGCTGTAAAGGATGGGGATGAAGAATTAAATTTTAACAGAGGAAAAATTGGATTAAGAGAATTAGTGCACCGCGAGTTTTTGGTATTTTCCAAAAGAATTTTCGACAAATTAGCTAATTATATTTTTATTAATTGAACAGGATTTACAAGACCAAGAAGCAATTTATCTAGATTTTCAAAAGAAAAAATAATTGATTAAGTGTAAAATTTATTTTATTTATTTATTTTATTAGTTTAAATTTTATTTATGTCAATCAAAGAAATGTAAGATTACATGATTAGATAAAAATAAACTCAGAAGCAGACTTTTGCTCAGCGATTTATGAATCATAGATAAACTCTTAATTTGCACAATGTTTATGATACAAAGCAAGAAAATGAAAGAATTTTAAGAATAAAAGAAAAGAGGGAATAGAAATTAGCAACTTTGTTTAGTTAAAAATTAAACAATAATAAATTTGAAATGATGAAAATGCAGCAAGAGCAAAGTTCCCAGAATTAGGAATAAAAATCTATTTAGCACTACAAAGAATTTGCTAAAAAAGTATTTTAATTAATTAATCTCAAAGAGAATTTTAATAATAGTATTAAATAAAAATAGGGAATAAATTTAATAGCAGAATCTACTTTTAACAATATATAAAAGAGTAGTTAGGAAATCAAAAAGATAATCCGAAAATCAAGTCAGTCTTTGTAAGTTCCAGACTAAATTATCACTCCTTAACTTAAAACTTAAGAATCAGAATAAAAGACTGAAAAAAGATAAAAATCACCCTAAGCTATGCAGTTATCTTCTATATCAATAACAGCTTTAAGAAAAAATTCTGAAATTAGTTATTTGAACATCAATTCTCCTTCCTCTGGTTAAAAGTAATTTTATCATACTGACAGACAAATAAATGGTAATTTTTATGAAATTTAAATTTAAATAGTTAAAATTCCTTACTTTGGAGTGATTGCTTCTATAATAAAGTCTATTATAATTAGCTCGCTTCTAGTTGCAATATGTTTGGAACTAAGCAAGCTGCAAAAAAAGCTAAAGGTATAGGTGATATAGCTTCTTTGGCACTAAAAATGAGAAGATAAAACGGTTAAGATGCTACAAAAAAACTTTTCAATGGGTAAGAATAAAAGAGAATAAGGAAGAAAACAGTCCACAGAAATATATTAGAATTAATCAAAAATAGCAGTTCAGTAATTAAAAAAATTACCGATTAAATTTGATGAGATATAAAATTTAGTTAAATTAAAAGTGAGATATTTTTTATTTATTTTCATTATTCTATTAATTTTAGTAATTTTTTTAAAATTTATATATAGGTTAAAATATCTAAATAATGTATTTATTTACGTTTCTTTTTGCTTTTAATTTCTTTTTTCCCTAAAGCTTAGTCTATTTAAAGCTCTTTTTCAAATAATTTAATATTAAATAGTCAAATTAACCCTTTCTTTTGGTATTATAAAATGCTATTTTATCTAACTGCTTTTATTTAGATCTTATTTATTTATTTTAAAAATATGTGATATTTATATCTACTATATATTTGTATGAATAAATATTATATTTTTATATGAAAATTTTGATAGTATTTCATTCTAATAATTTATTTCAATTATATTTTTTGAACCTTTTTGCCTTAGTGTGTATGTTTTATAATATATATTTACAAAAATAAATTTAAATAAAATAAAGATAAAATGTTGGATTATAATTCAAAGTAAGAAAGCTAATAATTAATTAAAAATTTAACTATCTTCAAAGATCACTGCTCTAAAAATTAAAGCATTTTACAATACCTTATTGAAAAATTTCAAAGTTGGGGTAGCTTGCTAGAAAGAAATAAGAATCTACCTGTTGAATTAGAGTATCAAAAAATAGTTTAAACCTCGAAAAAATACATTAATGATATTAAAAATAATTATTAATCTTCACTATAACGGTTAAAAAACAAAGAAACTGAGAAACAATAAGAAGTGTAGGTAAGTGAAAAATAAAATCAAACTATAGTAGAAAAAAACATTCAAAATTAATAAGAAAAATTAGATGATATTAGTTAAAATAAAAATGATTTGTACAAGATTCAAAAAAAAGCAGTTTTTAGGATAAAGCCAAAAAAAGAACCTTAAAAACTGTCAAATTATGAGAAAATAAAAAAATCACTTAAGAAGTTTGTTTAAACTAATTATAGGATCACCCCTTTATCAAACTAGAGAAAACCTAAAAGAAAACCAGTAAATATTGATTAAGAAGAAGAATAGTTGCAAGAGAATAATTCTTTTAGTGGATCTAATGAATAAAATAAAGACTTAAAAAACTAAAATCAAAAATCCATAATTACTCCTTAGGCTAACAATGAAGCTGATGCTAATCAATCAAACTAGAGTAAAAAGATTATAGATGAAAGATCTAATATTTACGAAATAGACAACACTCTTTTAACTAAAAATGATATGTCAATTTAAAAAATTTCAAATTTTTATATTGAAAAAAGATTTAGCTTTGAAGATTATTTGAAGTAAATTGTAGAGTTTGAGGACTACTTTGAAGTCAAAGTTCCTGATTTCTTTAAAGATAAAGAAATTCATCATTATAGAATGATCATGAATAATTATCAAATAGGTCATCTCAAAATTGATGAAGTTCTCGGAATTAAGAAACTTGTTGAGGTGTCTTAAAATTAAAGGTTAGTTTCTGCTCTTTTGTTAATTTCTGCTTCATTTTTAAGAGAATTAATAAAAAGAGCTAAAAGAATAGAAAATAACAAAGAAGAAGAATTGCTAATTGAAAAAGACATAAAAGAATCCAAAGAAAAAAATTATTTAGCTTACATAGAATAAGTCAAATTATTCGAATAGAAATATAACGTATCTTTCCCTGAGTTTTTTGTAAGTAAAAATTCATTCATGAGAAAAGAGTATTACGAAAAGAGAATAAGTTTGGCTGTTTCTGATGAAGATTGTATAAAAATCTTTTAAATTCATAAAGCTTATACAAGTACAAGAGGTCATTTACCAAGAGAACTCAGCTCAACCATACAAATAACAGAATCTTAATTACAATGTATTTTTGCCAGAGCTTAATATCTTTTAAAATGAGGGGATTGATTTTCCTTAAAATTAATATTTTCAAAAAGAGATATTTTCGTTTAAAATATATGCACTTTATGTTAGTTTTAACAGTTCTCAAAACCATTAAAATTAGATTTTAAAAATATTTAATTAATTTAATATTGAATAAGTTTATTTCATTTTGTAATATTTATTGTCTGGCTTAAAAAGTTTCGAATATTTATTTTTTTTAAAAAAGTAATCATAATAATAAGAATTATAATATTCTATCAAAATTAATTATTGTGCGTATATAGATTGAGGGTGCCTCTAATTTTTAAATATATACTACACCGTTTTTTTTAGCACTTATTAGTTATATGGTAAGATAAATTTTTGAGTTATTCAATATTCCAAGCTTATTAAGCCTATTGAGCAGACGATTTTTAATATAAACAAGTTATTAAAAAAGAAAAAGCTTTGAATTTAAATATAATTAATACATTTTTTCTATGGAGCTTATAAATTTACTTAACTAATTTATTTATTAATTAAAGAAAATTTGATTTCAGATATAAAAAAAGATGTTGCAATAGATTAAATTATAAAATTGATACTGAATAAAAGATTGTTTAAATAGCTTGTTACTGATCCTTTTTGATCCTTACTTGCTTTAAGAAAAATAAAATTTATATGAACAGTATTTGGTAGCATAAAAAAAAAAATATATATATGCTAAACTGAAGAATTTAATGTAAAATTTAAGACATTAAAATTTATTTTGTTCTAGTTAAATATGAGGTAAAAGTTAGTTTTCTTCTTTTCAAAGAACTTAAAATTATTAAATATAGTTAATATAAAATATAATATCTCGAAGTTGTTTTTATATCATAATAATGTAAGGGATTTTATTATCAATTGATTGCGGTGATAAACAAGTAGAGATAACTTTAATTACTGTTCCAACAATGAAAGCTTGCAAATATTAAATTATCATAATAAAAAAAACAAATTTTTAATTTTTTTTTTTCTATTAAATTAATTAAGGAAATAAATTGTATACTAATTAATAATTTATCTTAGTATGGGTTGCTCTAAATCAAAAGAAAAAGAAGTCCATAACCCAGAGGATCAACAAAATCCTAGTTCCGTACCTGTCAAAAAACTCTCTAATAATAGTTAATACAATAGTCCTTTTAAAAAAATGAAAACAAAAATTTAGTTCATACCTCCATTAGTTTTTGATGAAAATGGGGGTAGAGCTCATGATTAATATGTTCAAAAAGTGAATGTAATTAATTTTTTAGATTTATTTTTTTATAAATGTAAATATAATTAAGGATGGAGAAGGCTCTAGTTAATTCAAATTTGTTAGCCAAAAAAGTGGCATGAGTTAAGAAGGAAGCAAAAAGCACAAAAGATAGAAAAAATAATATAAATTTGTGAAAGAAACTATTGATGATAATGAAAATAAGCATAATTGTTTAGAAGTAGAAGAAGATGCTAAATTTGATGAAAATGGTATGACTAACTTTGAAACGCAATAAAATGATGACTTCACTACTTAAGTGATCAAAATTGGAAAATAATAAAATAATTATTAATAAAGAATATCTATTGAAAACAATCATTTTGCTGAAAAGAATAAAGAAAATAAAGTTTAGAGGCAACAAAGTAGAAGTTATTCTAAAATAGACCAATCTAACTCTAACAAAGAAGTTAAAAAAATGGGAAGTTCCATTTAAAGGAGATAGAAAAGTAGTAAAATGAGTATAAGTGAGAGTAAAAAGATAATTTCCCATAAATCATCTTTGGTGAAAGATAAAAATGATCAGATAGTTGATGAAAAAGAAGAAAATCAGCAAGTTGTAAATAGCCTTTCTAAGGCGTCATCACAAAATTTTGAGTTGAAAGAAAATTAATTTTTCTTCTAGCAAGCAAACATAACAAAATAATAAATTGAATAAGACTTGAAAGTGGAAGAAATAGAAGATGATTAAGAATTAATTAAATAAAACAAAAATAACAATTAATTAAACTGTGATATTGAAACAAGCAATGCAGATATTTTAAATTAATTTTAAATTAAAGAGGTAGAATGTGACAAAAAATCAGATGAGTAACAATAAAATAATAATAAAATTTGCTAAAAAAATGAAAATGAAAATACTAATTTAGAAAATTAAAATAATTTAAAAAATAACCATTTAATTGAGAGCAATGTAATTTAAAATAATCTTTTTTCTAATGAAATTAATGTTGAAGATTCTTAAAACAAAAAGCATGATTATTAGCAGAAAATATCAGACTAATCAACACTAAGTGATAAAGCTATTCCATAATAAAATCAATAATCCAATAGTTTAGCAAATAGCTCTGAATAGAATATAATTAAGAATGTCAATACCATCAAAAGTTTTAATATGATTGATGAATAATAGGCTAATAATAATGATAATCCAATTATTGAATCATAAATCCCTTTACTTACTAATCAATAACTTAGCAAATGTGAGTAGTTACCTGAATTCTATGTAGATAAATGTCCAGAACCTAGCAGTATTGGATCTTTTATTAATGATAGCAGTCCAATTAATGGCAGCAATAATGATAATATGATTGGCTGCAAAGACAGCAGCATCTCTTTCGAATTAACTGCTTAGGCAAATAACCAAGAAAAAAATAGTAGCAACAACTACTTGGCTGTCCATAAATATAATTTTAAAGAACCAAAACACAAATTTAATGATAAAGATGATAGTAATTAAAATAAGTATAAAGAGGCAAGTGATATTGAGAGCAAAGGATTTACTTTTTAAAGTGATGAATCAAACAGTGAATAAATACTTGTTGATATTTCGATTAAATAAAATGATAGTACAGACAAATAGACTTAAGACTAAGACTAAGATTAAGATTAAGAGGAGATGAAAGAAGATGATATTTTCTAACCTATAGTAAATAATTAAGCAGATCAAGATAATATAGCTAACTAAATTTAAGAGGATGCCCAAAGAGAAGAAAATTAAATTGACAAATAGAATAAAAAATAATAAGATAATAATTAACCTAACAATGAGCAAACTTAGTTTGAAAGTTAAATTAATTAAAAAGATGAATGTATGTAAGAATAACAAACTAATTAATTATTAGATATCAAAAAAGAAATTCCAGATGAAATTACCAATTTAAAGAATGAAGATTCCAGCGAAATACAATTAGAAAATAAAAAAGATTTAGATCAAAATACCGAATAGGAATAAAGTAAAGATGAAGAACAATAAGCAGTTGTTAGAAAAAAAAGATTTACTATTCCTCAAAAAAAGTTAACCAAAATGTCTTAGTTTTATAATCATAGGAAAAGCATATCAGTAAGTGTTGATAGCTTAGATAATAAGAATGAAAAAGATTAACAAATACAATCAAATACCTTACAACCAGGCTCAAGTTCTTTAAAAAATATTACAGATGTTTAAAAGTCATAATAAATTGAAAATAAAAATTTAAAAGAAGTGGAGTTTAATCAAAAATCTGACAATGGTTCTAGTAAAAATAGCTTAAATAAATAAAGCACAAATAGACTCAGCATATTTAATGAGGGAAAGAAACAAAATGATCAGTTGGATACAGATAAAAATCTTGAAAATTAAACATAAAAAAAAGAAGAAAATCAATCAAAATCTTCTAAACTTTTAGAAGATTAAGTATTTAAACAGATTCTTAAAAAATAATTTTCTTAGAATAAAGAATAAGCATAAATACTTAGTTAAGGCTTGTTATTGGATGATTGTGAAAAATAAAATTTAGAATAAAAAGTAATGCTTGGATATGAGGATCAATAGATCAAATCTAAATCCTCCTTTTCAAATAAAGAGATAAAAGATGATAAACTACTTAAAGAATGTGACATTTAAAAGTTTAATTAAATAGATACGATGATTGATAAATAAGAGATAGAGAGTATTAGTGAAAATTTAAGCTAAGGAGAACTTTATTAAGAAAATGTTATCGATACAAAATAATAATATCAGTACAATGTAAACTTTAATTAAAATTAAGAAATCAATAATGCATAAAATTAGTTTACTTAGGAAAATATCCTTTACTTATGTGAGAAATTAGAGTAGCTAAAACTTTAGTAAGAGGTCATAATTAATTCTGAAAAGATCATTTTCTAGTAATATGACATCCCTCCAATTAAAAAAACAAGGACATTTTCACCTACTTTTGCTGAATCCTACAATAAATCAAAAGAAAATTTTATTGAAGATGAAACAATTTTATAAAATAATGAATAGAATGAATATAATTCTGAAAATACTGTGAATAATAAATTTCAAATTAAAAATTACCCTATAGAGAGTTTAAAAAAATAAACAAATTGCTCACTTAATCAGTAGTCATTATAAATAGAAGAAAATACATCGATCGGATAAAACAAATCATAAACTTCAATAAGAAATTTTATTAAATAAGAAATAAATAATCCTCAAATAATCGCAAAAAATTCAATAAAAATTAATTTAGAATCTGAAAATAAAACTTGTTTATTTTCCTTATTGTCAGTTCAAGAAAAGTAAGAAAAGTTAAAAAGTAATTCTTTAAAATAAATAGATTGTAATTATCTAAATAATGATAAGTAGAAAAACTAAGATTTAACATCTATTTAAAAAATTAATGAACAACCTATTTCAATAGAAATACCTCTTTAAATATAGTAAAGCAGTTCTAAAATTACATAATAAAATAATGAAAAAATTCAAGAAAAAGGAGTCTCTATTTCCCTTCCTAGTAAAGTTATATCTATAAATATTGAATAAATTAACTCTAAATATTAAAATGAAATCTCAGTTTCGGAATAATTATTCACTGATTAGGAGTTTCCTCCTTCTGAGGAAAGCTTTACCAAGAATTTAAGCAAATTTTAAAGGGCAAAAGGATTACAGTGGAAAAGAATAATTTAATTTTAAGAGGGTGTTAAGAAACACAAATAAATTGCTATTTATGGATAATAAAATCAAATATCAGTCAAAGACACTGTTTAAGGCTGGATAGCTAATTGCTATTTTGTTGCTTCTCTAACGTGTATTGCTTAATATCCACAACTTGTAAAAAAATTATTCAACAATATTCAAGGTAACTAGGACTAAAAGAATAATAATTTGTAAGCAGTTTTAGAAAAATAAGATGGTTCTTTATAAAATACTAAAAATTCCTGCTATTCCGTAAATATGTGCATAGATGGTTAATGGCAGACTGTGTTAATTGATGATAATTTACCTTGTAGAAAAAATGACTCTGATCCTATATTTTGCAAGTTTTCTAATGATACCAAGGCTTATTGGACATGCTTGCTTGAAAAGGCTTATGCTAAGTTTAAAGGTTGTTATTCAAATATAGAAGGCGGGAAAAATAAAAATGGCTCAAGTGATGCAGTTGTGGATATGACTGGAGCACCAAGTAAACATGTTCCTTTTAAAAACTCAAATAAAGAAGAAATATGGAAAATGATCCATGAAGGTAAGCAAAAGGGCTACTTATTTACTACGATGCTAAAAGATGAAATAGAGGAAAACTAAGTAGATTAATTAGATTAACAATAGCAGTAATAATATAACTCAAATGCAAGTTTAGATGGATAAGCCAAGTAAAATGGATTGATTTCTAATCATGCATACTCCATTCTAGAAACAGATGAAATCGATGGTATCAAAATTCTGAAATTAAAGAATCCTTGGGGAAAAACAGAGTGGAATGGGAAATGGTCTGACCAATGCACGCTAACGTGGACAGAGAAATTAAAATAAAGACATTAGCTTGAAGTGGCAAACGATGGAATATTTTGGATGAGTTTCTGCGATTATTTTGATAATTTTTGCAGTCTATGTATAAGCTATGTAAATGTGGATTATTTTTATTCATCTCTAGCATTTGAAAATAATCAAAAAAGTGAAAAACAAGTTAATGTGTATACTGTATAATAGTTAGAAAAGTAAGTAGAGGGCTACTTTATAATATATTAGAACCGAGAGCATCTCATTGAAGAATATGAAAGCAACTAATATGTAAATCATTTAGTTAAAATCAATGAAATGTCTTCAGATGGAAAGGAAATAATTAAACAAGTAGCACAGATATACATCTCTACCACGAAATTTGCCTTTACAGAAATAAAATTTGAGCCTAAAAAGATATACAAAATAGTATTAGTAACTGAAAAATCGAGTAATATAGTTTTAGCTTTCTATACAAGTGACTTAATACCTCTTTCTAATAAATACCTTGAAATAGACTGTTCTTAAGAAATCCTTATTTAATAAGCAAGGCTGCTTGCAAAAAAGGAAAAAATAAATCCTCTTTACCAAGTTTACTGGATTTCTTTTTTTTGTGAGCAGAATCACATCGTTGAAATTGTTAATGATACAACTGATAAAATATTCCAGCAAAATATAAAATTTATTCTTAGCAATATTGAAATAGATACCCAACTGAAAGAAAATGAGTATAATATAATTAAAGTAATGCCTAAATCTACTATCAGATATATATTCAAAAAAATCAACCCTAAACAGTAAGTATAAATTTAATATTCAAAATATGATCCAGAATTTTTAGATTTATGAAATTAATATTCTAACAAATCACCACCTTAATTCAATACAAATAAATCTCACTATTTACTACAATTTTCCACCTAAATTTATATTTTAAAATAAATTTATAAATAAATAAATATATTTAATCTATGAATGCACTTAAAATGTATATATTTCTTTCACTTCTTATATGTTAGAAAGTATCACTCTAGATGATGTTATCCATATATTTATTTAACTAACTATCTATCTATAAAATTATCTACAAATTTAATTAATTTTAATAATTCTTTCTATTATGATTTAATGAAAAAATAAATGATAAATAAATAATTTAAATATGGAAAAGTTAGACTTGCCAGCTTAAATCCTTAAAGAATCAAGAATTAAATGGAAATAATTAAAGAAGATTAAAATTAATTAGCCATGATTTTCAATAAAAAATACTTTTTTAGATTGTTTTCTTTGAGAAATAAATTATTTTCTTCCTCATTTATTGGAAGAATTTATTTGATTCTGATAATGTTTTATTTTATTTTAAAGAGCAGTTTTTTTATTTTTTGTAAAAATATCAAATAATCTTATCAAATCAAAATAACTTGAAATGTTATTAAAAAACAAAATAATTAACTCTTAAATTGTAAATTATATCTTATTATTATTTATATTTTATGAATAAATAGTTTAATTAGCCAAAAAAATTATTAATTTTGGATAAATTAAACTGAATTTAAATAGAGTAAGAGATTAAAAAAATATCTTTTTAATTATTGGTTTCTGTTTATTCTAAAAACAAATACAATTTAACTGATTTCTTGTTAACTAAGAAAATTAAATAATCAAAATAAAGATGTTATTTTAAAACCTTAAAAAAATAACAAAATAATTTTTGGTTATAAAAAAGTTTAGTATATTATTAACGTAGTTAAAATAAAATAAACTATTTGAATAATAAAATGATTTTCAAGATTAAATAAGATTAATTAAATATAAATAAAAATAAATTTAAATTTTTTATTTACAAATCTCTATGCAAAAATACAATTTAGGACTATCAACAGCTCTAAAAGTGGTGAGACATTTGGAAGATTTAGGGATATCTATTTAAAAATAAATAAAAGAGAAGGCTTTTATTATGAATTAAAAAATATTAATTAATTAATTCAAGTTAAGAGAATCTGACAAAAACAATATATTAGAAATAAATAAATAAAATATCTGTAAATATGTATGTAGTATAAATGAATGAATGCTTTATACATACAATTAACATTTGAAAAATAAAATCTTAGGAAGGAAAACAAACAACCAACTATAAAAAATTAAATAAAAATAATAAACAAATTAAGAAGTGAATAGATAAATAGATCTTGAATTTATTGTTTATCATTAATAGATTGAAGGTAAAAGCAAATAAATAAATAAGCAATTAATTAATAAATTAATAAGTAAATAAATAGTTAATACAAAATACAACTAAAATAGCATAGAAATCATTTTTTAAAAATATTTTAAGAATTAGAAAGCAATGTCATCCTGTATTAGTACTGGTATTTCAGCCATCTATATTTTAGATCATAAGGGAAGAGTTCTCATCACAAGATGTTATAAAGGTGATTTGCCTATTAACATTCATGATATTTTCAACAAGAAATTGCTTGAATATGATGAATTCTCAGTTAAGCCTATTTTGCGTGATAAGTATGGTCACTCTTTCTTCTATTTACATCATAATAATTTGATCTTCTTAGCAATTTCTAGAAAGAATACTAACTGCATGATGGTGTTCAGCTTCTTGTACCAACTTATTTAAGTTTTAGTAGATTATTTTAAGGAATTAGAAGAGGAATCTGTACGTGATAATTTTGTTATTATTTATGAACTACTTGATGAAATGATGGATAATGGTTATCCCCAAACCACTGACAATAAGATTCTTAAAGGATTGATAAAGACTGAATCTCATGAGTTGAAAAAAGATTAAAAAAAGCCAAGCAAGAATAGTTCTTTGTCAATCGAAAACTAAGTAGATGCAATTACAGGTGCAGTTACTTGGAGAAACAATGGTATTTCTTACAAAAAGAATGAAGTCTTTTTGGATGTTATTGAAAAATTAAATATGTTAGTTTCTCATCAAGGTAATGTCATTAAGTCAGAAATAGCTGGTTAAATTAGAGTTCGTTGTTTCCTTTCCGGTATGCCTGAACTTAAATTAGGTAAAATATTGCATAAAATTTAAAAGTTAGTTTGTTTGCAAGTTAATTTTGAAAGAAGCAAATATCTTCAAAAAAAAAAAACACGTTTCTTTTTATTTTTGTTGCAGTTTTTAAAAATAATTTTAGTGTTTTTAACTTTCGCATTCTGCAAAATCATTCTTCTGAATTGAAAATTTAGAAAGGCATTCTCCTCTAACATTTCAAATGCTTAAATTTTCGAGAATAAAATAGATTTAGGAATTGTCTTAGTTTTGAAAGTTAAAAAAATCAGCAATCATTAGGTTTAATTATTTATGACTTATAAAATTTATTTAGAGATCAATTAAAATTCAAAATTTTATTTAAAAATCGTCTCTTCAGAAATCAATATAAAGCAGATATGAATTAATTAATACAAGAAACAAAAAAAATTATCTCACTCACAGATTAATGTTTTTCAATGAGGTGAGATAGTTGTTTCTGATATCTTTGAAAAGCTCTCATTTTTAAGAGCAAGATTGAAAAATAAAATTCATTACACTTATATTTATTTATATTTTAAATCAGGTATCAATGATAAGGCCTTTTATGATGCATAAGGGCGTACTTCTAAGAGTAGAGCAATAGAATTTGATGATATGAAATTCCATGCCTGCGTGAGATTGTCGAAGTTTGAAAATGATAGAGTAATTTCATTCATTCCTCCTGATGGTGAATTTGAATTAGCTTCCTATCGTTTAGATGTTCGTGTTAAGCCTCTATTTTCAGTTGAAGTTACTCCTGAAAGAAAGCCTAACTCTAATAAAATTGAATTCACAGTTAAGGTAAAGAGTAATTTCAAGCAAAAATCTACTGCTAATAACGTTGAAATCTTTATCCCTGTACCTGATGATGCTGAAACCCCAGTTTTCAAGGCTGCTTATGGTACTGTCGAATATGTTGCTGAAAAAGAAGCTATGGGATGGAAATTTAAGTAATTCCCTGGCTAAAGAGAATACATGATGACAGCTACTTTCCACTTGCCTACTGTAGTATCTCCTAATAGAGAAAAATTCTAAAGAATGCCAATCAGCATCAACTTCGAAATCCCTTACTACACCGTAAGTGGTTTCTAAGTTAGATATTTAAAAATATAAGAAAAGAGTGGTTATCATGCTCTTCCTTGGGTTCGTTATATTACATAAAATGGAGATTATCAAATTAGAATGTCTTGAAAGAAACCAACCAAAATTAACATGTTTAATTAAATTTTTGTAAAGAATATAAGTACTAGCTAGCTATCTATCTATCTAACCAACTAATCAACCAACTCATTAATTAACTTGTATTATATCTTCTTAAGATTGTGCATTAATTATATGTTTTTATACTCCATAAATCCATAATCTTTCATTTTTTAAAGTGTTTAAGTCAGTATATTTTGAATGAAATAAATTAATTTATATGTCATCAAGTTGAAATAAAATTGAATAAAAAATGATAAATAAGGTCTCAATTAAAAGCAAAACGATAAATAAAAATTAGAATAAACATCCTCTAAAGCTTACTTAAAACTATAATTCTCAAGTAATTTTTAATCTTAATCAATCCTAAAGGAAAAAGACATAATTGCTAAATATTACCGTATTAAGAAACTTTTATTTTGTAAAAAACTTTTCAACAATTTTTATTTTATATTTATAATTTAAGTCACTCCTTACTATTTTTATTAATTTGTATAAATTGAAATTTTTCAAAGCCAAATAAATATGTGTCAGTTTAAATTCTGTGCTTAAATTTTTATGAAAAAATAACTATTAATCATAAAAAAGCTAAAAAAAAAAAAGAAATCTAAAATAAAAAAAGTGATGTAAAAATTTTGAGATTTAAAACTATTTTAAATAGTTAAAAATTATATTTTTATTCAATCAATTAAAAACTCAAAATAAATTAGATAACTTAAAAAATTTATTAAAATTAAAATTTATTAATCATAATTATTATTGTAAGAATTAAGTTTTTAAAAATTAGAAATTAAAAAAAGAATAGTAAATTTATATAAAAAAGAATCATTAAATATAAATCAAACTATTCATTTTTTAAAAATCTTCAAGATTTATTGGTAATATTAAAATATAACAAATATATATTATTATAAAATCAAATTATACTTTATCTAAAAATAGTTATGATTGTTACAAAAACTAAGTAAATTGGTTTCTTATTTTTTATTTAAACTAGATTTTTTTAAACAAAATGTTTCTTCAATTGTACTTGCATCATATTCAAGTTAAAATATTTTTATCATTGGATCTAGTAAATAAGCAAATTGAAACTAAATCTAATAAAAATTTTACTAAAAATCAAAGATTGTTTAAATTCTATCAATTATGTTTAAGGAATATAAGCAATAAAGCTAAACCTTTTATTCTAAGAATTATTATTTTGATATGATTTTGTAACATTATTTCTAAATTTATAATTTTAACTCACTATTTATTTATTTGCTTCAAGTTAGAATAAAATGATAGTTTTCTAAACCTAATTAGTGTTTAATTTAAAATCAAAGTTTAAATAAATTCTTTTCAAGAATCAAATTAATAAGTAATTAGTAAGAAACTTAAAAAAACTTAAAATAAATTGTGGAAAATAAATCATTTTAATTTTTAGAGTTAAAGCTAATTTAAATAATTAAAAAAATTAATTTTTAGCTAAATTAAAAATTAAATTTACAGTAGGTTGCTAATAATTCTTGATGGATATTAATTTAGATTAAAATGTACTACTCTAAATTATAAGTAGCAATTTTTTAATGAAATAAATATAAGATAATAAATTCATTTTCTAACTAAAAAATTAAATATTAATAAAATTATTTGTTTGAAATAAATTTAAAGACTGCAAGATTTGTTGTTAATTTTCAAAAATTTACAAATATTCAGATACAATCCCTTATAAATCAATTCAAAATTATAAAATTAATTTCTATTTAACCCAAAAATAATTTGAAAAAAATTAAATAAATAAATAAACAATGAAATTTTCCATTTATTTTTATTTAACTTTTTTTTTAATTCATTACAAATTCTCTGCCTTTTATTTTTTTTTTATGTAATTTATTGAAAAATGTACTAAGAGGATTAATATAAAACTTTATTGAAAATTAATTCTTTAAATATTTCAAGTTGCTATTTTTTACCACATAATTAGTAATAACCAATCAGATAGAATGAAATTCAGTAAAAAATAAAATTTATGGAGAGGGGATTCAGTAAAAATTTATAATTACTTACTTGTTTTTAATATGTAAAACATTACAGTTTATTAAAAGTAATAAATTCAAAATACCTTTTTTCTTATATATATTATTAATAATCTGATAAGCTACTCAATTTAGTAAGAATAATCATAATTATTGCTTTTGTTACTATGTGATTTGTTTAAATCTTTTTTCATATTACTGCTCATAGAATATTTTATTCATGTTTATTAAATTGTATTTGTAATTAGCATATCCGTTTGAGTATCCAGCAACAAAGAAAAATCCCATACAAATTAATAATCTTAATTTTTGTTGTGATTTTGAAATTTACTTGAAAGGATATGTAGAACCTCCAAATTCTTTAGCAGGGAATAAATTTTAAGCTTTAGGATTTTGTTGTAAAAAAGCTTCATTTTCTATTGCTTTTTATAGATAATGTTTATTTACTTCTTTAAAATGTAAATAATAGCAGCCTCCAGAAACTAAAGATGCGAAAATCCCAAAGAAACTAGGTAAATAATATTTCAGATATTTTAAAGTACAATGATCTTTATCGCGAATGTAAGTTTATGGGTCAGAGCCTATTTAGTTTTCCAAATACTATTCTGACTCAGTTAGCTTTTACTCAAAAATTTTAGATAAAGATTTTAAAATATACCATTTTATAGGTATTCCATCCATGTTTTAATTTTAGAGTGATTCTTTATTCTATTCTAATTATGGCATAGTTGCAAAATTTTGCTACTGCAAATGTTGGTATTATTAAAGATATTTATTTATATTGATTTTTTATTTATTTTCTGATATATTTGTATCTATCTATCAATCTATCTATTTATCTTTTTCTATCAAAAATTGTATGTAATTTAATAAATTAATAGATTCAATTAATGTAAAAATAATTTAATTGTCTAAGATATCTTAAAGTTAAAATAGTACGAAAGGAATGTAAATTAATTGATATGTAACAATATTGAATAAATACAAAGGGTTTATTGGTTTTGGGTGTGTGTGTGTATGAGATGGTTTATAAAATAGAAGTAATTTAATTATTTCAAATGTTAACATTTTTTAGAGAGTTAATTAATTATTTTATTATTTACTTAATTATAGTAAATAATAGTATGTATTTGTATATTTTGAAACAGAACACTTAATCTGAATCAATCATCATTTATTTCATGATATCTCAATAATTTTTTTTTAATTTTATAAGATAAGTTAATTGATAATAGATAGGTAGAGAGGATTAATTTTAAAGTGAATTGAAACAGTGAAGGAGTCATAAATAGTTTAAATTTCATTGGGATATTAAATTTTTTATGAGAGAGTTATTAAATATATTTGGGTTTGGTTTGTTAGGGTACATTTAATATTGTTATTATTGCTGGTTTAGTGGATTTTAATTAATTTATTATTGTGGTTGTTATTGTTATAAATTTTATTACATTTAATTGAAATATTTTATAGAGTAAGTGGTTTGTAATTTTAAGGCTAGATTTTGCTTATATTGTTTGTCTATTTGCTCTATTTTTTGCAAGTATTTTTCTTATTCTTGGTTTTTATCTAATTTAGAAAGCACTTTGAATTTTGTGTATTGCTTTATGGGTAGAGTTGGTCCAAACTTTTATAAATTTATGTCGCTATTTTGGTTTTACTGAGATAGAGTCATCAGTTCATTGAGTTAATACATTAGCTGTTCATGTTTTATTTTTTGCTATTGTTGTTATTGATTTTGGTATTGCATTCTCAAAAGACGAAGGTCTTTACGAAATTGCGAACACTATTATATTAGTTCCTACTTCATTTCCTTTTAGGATAGTTTGTATTGTGTTTTTGTCGAAGTGTGCATGTTGCAAACTAAAACGTTTTCATCAAATTTGACGCATTTCTTTGGAGAAGCACTATTGCATCTTTTACGAACGATTTAATATGCTTTTTTTTAGTATTATTATATGTTTTCACAGAGAGAATTTTTGTTTTCTTGGCTGCTACTTGTTTCAGTTATGTCTAAATCATTAATAAATGGAGGAGCACTTTCGAAATTCTTAGCAATTACTTAAGAACTGTTGTTTTCTTCAAAACTTTCGCTTGTTGCCAAATTATTGGTTTCAAATTATTAATCATGCTGATAAAATTGATCTTAATCAACCACTTTCTTCTTTAAAATAGAATTTACTCTTATTATACGACGTTCTTTTATTAGTGGTTACTGAGAGTATGATGGATTGAAAGCAGCTACGCTATTACTAAATGTATCAGAATTTCTTAATTTTTGAATATCTGGTGTGCTTGTCAAATTTTTTGTATTTTGACTATTAGTAAATTTAGATTTTTAAATATTAATACAATGAGGTGCAGCTATTTGGTTAAAAGTTTGCTATTGATTCTTAGAACATACGTTTTCAAATTATAACTATTTATCTGTGTTTAAATACTAATTAGAAGTGTTATTACGAAAGTGAACACTTTTTTGATTTATGTGTGACTACTTTGTTTGTTTATCAGAGAAGTAATGTTATTATTAACAGTTTATTAATTTCTGGCTGCTATTGATATTAACACTTTTATTTGCATTATTTGAATGAATACTATTTTGATTATTAAAATTTATAGATGATCTAAGAAGAGTATTATATGACATCCCTGAACTGTCATTATTTTAAGATGATGCAGTAGACGGAGTTGAATTTTATCCATAATCCTTAGCTCCAAAAGATTGACTAGAAATTGATCTCTTTTTAGCAAATGACTCCTTTTATTATTGCTGCAAATTTAAAACGGCAGGAAGCAAGCTACCTGTTTATTTGGCATAAATTGGTTACTGATTATTTTATTATAAGAAAGATGAATTGAAAATCTAAATATTCTATTTTTAGTGAGGATAAGGATCTGAATGATAATTATTTTTTAAATTTTCCTACACAGTGCTGTTAATACAATCTCTCTATAAATGAACTGGATTAGCTGATGACTAAGGCTATTGTTATACTCCTAAAGCTGATTTATCCTTCAACATTTAAATAGATTGAATTTTTTCGAATATCTTATTGTAATTACTGACCGAACCACTTATACGACGCTTTGATGCAGACTCGTTGTCTTTTGTTAGACTCAAGCGCTTTGGAAAAAGAATGAAATTAGCCTTGCTATTGTCTGGTTAAATGATTTCTATTTAGCTCACAGACATTTATTTACTAATTAATTAATATGTTTATTTGTTCGCTTTTCAGTGTTTTTTGAATTAAAAATATTAATTAATTGCTTTTGAAATAATAATGTAAACAAACCAATATTATTTGATTAACTTTAATTGATTTTTTCTTTTCAAATTAATTTTTTTCTTTTAGATATCTTTCTTTTTTGATATTGTAATAACTTAATTAGCGATAATAACATTTATATTATTTTATATAGTCTGATTATTCATTTAATAGATAAATTCTTAATATTATTTGTCTCTTTTTAATTAAAAATACCATTTAAACTCTATTTACTTATATGCATGGCTACTAAAATTTTTTTTATCAATTTTTTTTGGTGTTACACTCAAATTACCCTAATATTTATTCTAAAATTCACTAACTATCTAAAGTATAATACATACTTTGCTGCTTGCTCCTATATTATTAATTATATGGTCTCTAATTAATTATTTTTTTATTTACCCATTATATCATTTTGCTTTCTGTATCGCAATTACACATTTTTATTTGGTTGACTCCATATATTTATTTATGTTTTACTTTTATTTCCTACCATAATTAATAATTTCTATTTGCTTTATATTTTCAAGCAATTAAGCGCTTCCTTCATTTCTTGATACTAAAAATAAATTTTAGTGTTCTTGCAAAATTATGCTAGTCTATTTATTCCATCATTATTTTTCGTTTGTCAAATTTCAATTTTATAAAGCCACCTTTTTTAAAAAGAGTTATTTTTTTTTACGAAAAACAAATACTTATTTGGAAATCAAAATGTTATATCATACTTTTCTATAAATAAATTTGTTGGTTGTAAAAGCAAAGTAAATTTTTGCATGAGGATAAATGTGATTAGAAATAATTAGAATTGATTGTTTCAAAGTTCCTTAAATTTAATATACGCATTAATACACGAGTAATTTAAGTCAAGTGTAATAATTTAAGCTGATTGTATATAATAATTTAAGAATTCTTCTTATCTTAAGGTTAAAATACATACAATCTTAACATTTAAATCATATTTTATCCATTTATTTGTTTAATTCTTTAAAATATGATGTAAAAATTTATTTTTTATTAAACAAATCAGTTATATAAAAAAATCTATTTTTATCTTAATTCAATTCTATCATTCATTATAAACAATGATATTTAATAGTCAAAAAAATCATAAATGATTTAAATAAATTAAGACTGTTAAAAAAATTAAAAAAAATGCGTTAAATTTTGATTGGCTTAGTAAATTTATGATCAAATTTACAATTTTTTATAAATTTTGTTTTACGTTTTAATGACTAAATTAAAAATGGTTTAATTTTCGAAAGTAAGTTTTCCTAAATTGGAATAGAAGCAGCAAGTAATTTAAAAATAAATCAAATAAATTCAATTTTTTTTTCAATCAGTAGAAATACACAAAATTAAGCAATTTGAGTTTCAATAGCTTAATTTAAAAAATTAGCTATTCGATCAGATAAATTTGATTAGGTTAAATGTATTTCTTTTTTAAATTAGAGTAGAATGATTTACGCAATTATTGATCTAATTAGAATTTAATTAAAAACTCAATTTAACCTCTAAATATTTGCTTTTTAGTCAAACTTATTTGCTCTTTATTAAATTTAATATTGATATTTCATACTTTCTACTCTTCACTAAATACACAATTTTCAAAACAAAAACAAAGAGTTTAAAATGCTTAACTCAAAAAAAACAACAAAATATTAAGCAACATACACTTTTTTATTAAACATTCCTAATTTTATAGTTATAATTATAAATAGAAAAAAGAAATATATTGATTGTCTACAAAAGCAAATAAATTTATATTTTTAATTTATCCAAATAATTTATACTCTATTTAAAATAAAATAAATTCAAAGCTAGCAGTTTATAAATTTTAGACTGCCTAAATTTAAATAGACTATAAAATATTTAAATTATATTTATCATTGATAAATACGTAAATTATAAATAGTAATAATTAAATCAAAAATTTCTATATTTCTGTATTTACAATTTATTTAAAAATCAATGAGAAAGTCATCACAAAAAATATTATTTTTTTTTGAGATTTTTGTTATTTTAAATAGAAATTATCCAAAATATTATTCTGATAAATCTGATTTCCAATAAATTAAAATGTTTAATAAAAATAATATTTTAATATTCTATATATTTATTTATATAATATAATACATTTTAATCTATTTTTTTCATAAACATTTCATATCTATTGAAAAATAAAATTACACATAGGAATTTCTATCAAAAATATTGAAAATATTGATTATTGATTAGATATAAGATATCATATGAATTATCATTCATATCATAAAAATTTTTCATAATATTATTATCATATCAGCATTAAAGGATCTAAAAAAAACTTTAGGTAATATTAATATTAAATAAAAATATATTCAATTTATTTATAGTGAATTTTCTGCTTAATATAACTAACTTGAGTTTATTTGAATGACTTCTCTATTAATTAGAAGGAAATTGTAAAATCCCACATGATGATAGTATAATTTTTGTGCTTATCTTCAGCTAAATAGATTAAAAAAGTATTATTGTTTTTGCTATTTTATGTTTGTATTATATGATTAGTATTTATTTCATGATGTTAAAACTTGTTTTTACTTTTTCCATCATATTTTTCTGAAATTAACTAAAATTTTTTCTCTTCAAAAATGTGTGAGATATTTTATTTTAATTAAAAATTATGTTAGTTGATGATATTATTTTATTTTTAATAAATAAATTTTGTAATAAAAATAATATAATTAATTTATTGTAATTAAGAGTAGAATATAATTTTAATACAATTTATTTAAATTTTCTATTTTAGCAAGTAAATTTAACTAGTCTTTCATATAAAATTATTCTCACCAACACCACCTTAACTTAGAAAATACCTTAACTTAGAAATCACCTTAACTTAGAATCATCACGGTAAATACTATCATAATTGAATAATAAATAACTAAAATTAAAAAATACTTCTTATTCGCAATAGGCTAGCCATATAGAATAAATTGCATCATATTAAAATAAGATTAAATTTATCAAATAATTCATTTTTACCTTTATAATTTATTTATCTTTAATTTATTTTAAAGCTAAACAAATATCATTCAAATAAAATCATACTTTCTTTATTTTATTTAAATTTCTCAATTGAGTAATTGTAGATGTTAATTTTTTTATTAGCAGATAAAGCCTAATCATAATTTGTAACAAAAAAATTTAATTTAAAATTTAAAAATGACAAATTAGTTAATTAATTAGATAATGTAGAATAGGTAGGTGGCTGACGACTGCCTTTAAATTGTTTTTCCTGGTTATCAATTTTGATTTTTAGATAAATAAATAAATAAAAAAACAATAAAAAATCTACAAAATAATATTTTAATAAAATATAAGATGATTCTATCATTATTTGCTATTGCTGTTTTAGCTTGTTCGATAACCTGCTTTGAAACGTTAAGTACGTCAAGTTTTGTAAGTGACGAATAACCGTAAAGCTTATTTATAGCAAACATAAATTTGGGTACTCCGCCTTAAAATATTCCTGTTATGTTGTTTTTTGGCACTTATCTTCCAAGTTTTGGATAATTCATACTTAACAAAAGTGTGTAAGGCACTAATGAAATGTTTGATCTATTTTAATAATAAATAGGAATGACAAATTATTATGATTTAGATAGTAGCACTACTTCTTAAATAAAAGGTAATTATGAATCAGTATAAGAATTTTCAGGAGCATATGGTGGGAAAATGACTGGAAAATATGTTCAAGATGTCTTGTAAATTGGAAAATTAAAATTCGAATACTACTTTGCTTGCGCATAGTAAATAACAAGTCTAAACAAAGCCTACAGTGGAGGATTGATATTTTTCTAAAGAACCGAAGATAACATATTCGATTTAATGTACCAATAAAAAATTACTAAGACAAGAGATTATATTTTATAAGGAAGTACTTATAAGCTTAATGGATTTTATTTTAGCAATATAGGATATGATTTGAAAATTCTTTACGATTTGGGATCTAATTCATAATATTACAATTATCCACCTAATTAGCTAGTGCCTAATAGTGACCTTTTTGAAATGTATTCCTACGGAATTTACTTAGAAGGTGAGGACGTCTCTGATAAAATTAAATAAAAAAGAATCTAAATAGATCAACTTACAGATACTAGTGGTTTAAGATTTGATCAAATTACAATACCCTCAGATTTATTTTAAATAATCGTTTCCAAATATGATTATGTAGAAAGTTTGTTAATTAGTAATTGCACTCAATGTTAATGTGATAGGGCTAAAAACCTCCCTAAAATTACTCTTATAACTTAAGAATATAAGCTGACAATAGACCCTAGTTAATATACTGAATATTATGAAGAAAAAGACCTTTGTAAAATCAAACTATCTTAATAAGACTGTTTTAATTTTGCAAAATCTTTAATATTTAATTCTAACACTCAAGTCATGTATTCAAAATAAACTGATACTGTAAGGTTAATAGGTGCTTAAACAATAAATCATGCAAATATAGATGCAATCAAATATATTTTCCCTATCTTTACCGCTATAATTTTAGCTGGATTGCTATTTACTTTTTCTTGGACTATTTACTAATTATAACCTTTAAAATTAGAATAAATATAATTAAAAGAGAAATTAAATATTTTTATAAAACTTTGAATTTATATAAGCTATCTTTTGGCCATTTAAGAATTTATATAGTAGTAAATAATATAAATTTATTTTTTAATCTCTTTTTTAAAGCTAAAATTAATTTTATTAATTTATCAAAAAAAAAAAAATAGTTTTACAAGTAAAAATAAATAAATTGATTTTTTAATTGAGTTAAAATTTAGTTACCAATAAAAAAGTTATTTTTTTAATAATTTATATAATAAACAAGTTTGATTTATTGATTGGGAAACAAACAGTTTACAAAAAAAAAATTTATAAACATAATTATCAATCAATTTATTAACGATAAAATAGAAAATTATCAAATAATAAATTTCAATACGATTTTAAAAAATAATTACTTGTTGTCTATTTATACATGCTTCACGCTTTTTTATTTACTCATAAATTAATTAGCTTAAATAAAATATTAACATTTTATTGTCTTAAATTTGTTTTTGTAGTTTAAAATCTTTATTTTGATTTGTAAAAGATTTCTTTAAATAAAGTGATCATAATTCTTATTCAATCCTTTAAATACATTTTATATTTACTGAATTATTAATTTAAAATTTTTAATTAATTTAAATGATAAATTAAATTACTAATTACAAATATAAATGAAGATTTTAAGAAATATTAAAACTTATCTTTCTTTTTTTATTAAATATTTCTAAAAATAAAGTTAAAAAATAAATTATCTGATTGATTTTAAATATTTTTTCTTCCTTTATGATTTTTAAAATTTAACTTTAATACTAAAGAAGTAAGTAAAATCTTCTTTTAAATATTTTTTCCTGAATTATTAATAAAAATTTCCTATAAGAAGTAGCTAGCATCTCTTTAAATTCTAATTAAAAAATAAATTATGAAATTTTTCATTTTAATAGAAAAATAAAGCATTTATTTTTTATTCACTACTTCTAACTTTATGAAAAATTTTCATTGAATTTTATTTCTTTTATCAAGTGTTTCTATGAAAATAAATTCAACATTTAATGATATAGATTTTTTTAGTTTATTTATTTTTTAATTTATCTAATTTCATAAATTAAAATTTCCCATTTAAATACTAGTTTATTTTAAAAAATCCATTCATTCAAATACATAAAATATTTCTATTAATTACAATAAAACTATTAACACAATAAATGATTTAAGCGATTATCAAATTATGTAGGAATTATTAAACAATTCAATTAATATTTTCTAAAACAATTTTATGCAAATAAAGATAAAAATAAATAAATATATTTTGCAATTTGATTGATTTTCATTTATGTTAAACAAACTTAGATAATAAAGCTTCAGTAGCAGAGTTAAATTTGGTGCCAGTGAAATCGGCAGTGCTCCTGTCTTGGTGGTTTTAGAAGAAAGTTCTTACCTACTTAGCAAGTACTTTACCGAGTTCTACACCCCACTAATCAAAACTATTAATATCCCACAAGAAACCTAGTAATTTTTGTAAAGTAAATTAAAAATTAAGTTTTAAATGTAAATAATTTCTTTACCTTCAATAGCAGTTCTATGTTCGTAAAGAGCTAGTAATTAACCAGCAGTGTAAGGATTTAATTCAGTAAATAATAGGGATAAGGAGGGTCTATCTATTGGGAAATATTTATTATTTTGTAAATTTTCAGGAACTTTTTCAGCCTTAAGTTCTTCAATAGTTTTACCACAAGCTAAAGCATCAGGCTATAATAAATAAATAGTTTAATTTGTATAAAAAATAATAATTAGTAAGTAAATAAATAAGTAAGTACTTATGAGAAGAAATTCGACATCAATTCTTCATGACTGGTTACTGGTTCACCAGCTAAAACAACTGTGCCTTAGGATCTGCAGAATCCAATAAATTCGCAAGGAACAATTCTACTTTAATGTAAAAGCTAATAGAAACTATGTTAACCTATAAATTATAATAATTTAAGAATTCTTCTTATCTTAAGGTTACAATACAATCTTAACATTTAAATCATTTATTATCAAAATATATGTTTAACTCTTTAAAATATGATGTAAAAATTTATTTTTTATTAAACAAATCAGTTATATAAAAAAATTTATTTTTATCTTAATAAAAAAATTAAATAAAAAATGCGTTCAATTTTGATTGGCTTAGTAAAAAATTTTATGATGCAATTTATAATTTTTTATAAATTTTGTTTTAGGTTTTAATGACTAAATTAAAAATGGTTCAATTTTCGAAAGTAAATTTTCCTAAATTAGAATAGAAACAGCAAGTAATTTAAAAATAAATCAAATAAATTCAATTTTTTTTTCAATCAGTAGAAATACACAAAATTAAGCAATTTGAGTTTCAATAGCTTAATTTAAAAAATTAGCTATTCGATCAGATAAATTTGATTAGGTTAAATGTATTTCTTTTTTAAATTAGAGTAGAATGATTTAATCAATTATTGATCTAATTAGAATTTAATTAAAAACTCAATTTAACCTCTAAATATTTGCTTTTTAGTCAAACTTATTTACTCTTTATTAAATTTAATATTGATATTTCATACTTTCTACTCTTCAAAATACACAATTTTCAAAACAAAAGCAAAGAGTTTAAAAAGCTTAACTCAAAAAAAACAACAAAATATTAAGCAACATATATTTTTTTATTAAACATTCCAAATCTTATAGTTATAATTATAAATAGAAAAAAGAAATATATTGTCTACAAAAGCAAATAAATTTATATTTTTAATTTATCCAAATAATTTATACTCTATATAAAATAAAATAAATTCAAAGCTAGCAGTTTATAAATTTTAGACTTCCTAAATTTAAATAGACTATAAAATATTTAAATTATATTTATTATTGATAAATATGTAAATTATAAATAGTAATAATTAAATCAAAAATTTCTATATTTCTGTATTTACAATTTATTTAAAAATCAATGAGAAAGTCATCACAAAAAATGATATTGAGATTTTTGTTTTAGTTTTAAATAGAAATTATCAAAAATATGAATCTGATAAATCTGATTTCCAACAAATTGATTAAAATGTTTAATAAAAAATAATATTTTAAATTATTCTATAGATAAAAATAAAAAAATACATTTTAATTTATTTTTTGTAGAGTATTTCATATTTATTGAAAAATAAAAACTACACGTAGTAATTTCTATCGAAAATATTGGTTATTGATTAGATATAAGATATTATATTTATTATCATTTATATCATAAAATTTTTTTCATAATATTGTCAGCTAATAAGCTAGTAGATGAAAAATTATTGTTGCTTTTGTTAAGTATTTTTTTTAATGATTAGTATTTTATGATGTTAAAACTAGTTTTTACTTTTTAGATCATATTTTTCTCTTCAAAAGTGTGTGGGATATTTTATTTTAATTAAAAAGTAAGTTGATAATATTATTTTATTTTAAATATTTGCAACAAAAAATCATATAATTAATTTATCGTAAGAGTAGAATATAATTTATTTAATTAATTATTCTGCAAAAAATTATAATTTAGATTTTTTCCAAAGATATATAAATTTTTATTTCATTTTAATTTATTTAAATAAAAATAAATAGAAGTTAAGTTCACTTTTAGTAAGGAAAATTCTTTCATATCAAATTATTTGATAAAATTTAAGGTTTATAGTATAAGAATACCTAAATATAATTTTTTTTGAAGGTTATTTCCTTGGATTTAGTGTAAATTTTTTTGATTTTAATAGGTAATGTGTTTAATAATTTATTTTATTAAATAATTTTAAAAATATATTTTTATAATAATGAAGTAAATATTTAAAAGCTCTTTTGGTAAATAGTAATATTAAGTATTTTATGTAAAAAGTTAAATTTAAGGTTTAGCCAATAAAATATTAACTTTTTCATTTTTATTAATGTTTTTTTAAATACAACTTTTTCAGAAATAGTTATTTATATTTTAATGATTTACTTTTTTTGATTTACAATTTTTTTTAAGTGATTATTTATATTGAGTGAATAATTGCAATCATCAAGAATAGTAATTTTACATTTAAATGCTTTTAGAATTTAGTTCTAATATTAATATGTTTTACAAAAATTTAAAACTTAGATTTAGTTAAATTATTAGATTTTGAAATTTAAATAATTATAAGAAATTAACAGAATTTTTTAATTTTTGAATTTGGATGAGGAAAATTTGTTTAAAGGAATAGTAATTAAAAATAGCTAGATAAATTAAAATTTTAATTTTAATACACTAAAATACTACCATAATTGAATAATGGATTATTAAAATTAACAAATACTCCTTTTTCGCAATAAACTAATCTAATAAAATAAATTGCATCAAATTAAAATAAGATTTTATTTATTGAATAATATATTTTTACCTTTACACTTTATTTATCATTAATTTGTTTGTTTTAAAGCTAAACAAATATCATTCAAATAAAATCAAACTTTCTTTATTTTATTTAATTTTTGCAGAAATTAACAAATTTAATTAAATTTGAGTATTTGTATATATGTTTAGTTTTTTTGTTAGTAGATAAAGCCTAATCGTAATTTGTAACAAAAAATCTTAATTTAAAATTTAAAAAAATTAAAAATAAGTTAATTAATTAATTAAAATAGACGAGGTAAGTGGACTGCCTTTAAATTGGTTTTCCAGGTTATTAATTTTTATTTTTAGATAAATAAATAAATATATAAAAAAAAACAATAAAAAATCTACAAAAAATATTTTAATAAAATATAAGATGATTCTATCTTTATTTGTTATTGCTGTTTTAGCTTGTTCGATAACCTGCTTTGAAACGTTAAGTACGTCAATTCCTGTAAGTAACTAACAACCATAAAGCTTACTTATAGCAAACATAAATTTGGGTACTCCTCCTTAAAATATACCAGTTATGTTGTTTTTTGGCACTAATCTTCCACGTTTAGGATAATTCATACTTAACAAAAGTGTGTAAGGCACTAATGAAATTTTTGATTTACTTTAAAAATAAATAGGAATGACAAATTATTATGATTTAGATAGTAGCACTACTTCTGAATAAAAAGGTGATTATGAATCAGTATAAGAATAATCAGGATATGGTGGGTAAATGAGAGGAAAATATGTTCAAGATGTTTTGTAAATTGGAAAATTAAAATTCAAATACTACTTTGCTTGCGCATAGAAAATAACAAGTCTAAACTAAGCCTATAGTGGTGGAATGATATTTTTCTAAAGAACCGAAGATAACATATTCGATTTAATGTACAAATAAAAAATCATTAAGACAAGAGATTATGTTTTATAAGGAAGCACTTATGAGATTAATGGGGGATATTCTAGCAATAAAGGATATAATTTGAAAATGCATTTCGATTTGGAATCTAATTCATAATATTATAATTATCCACCTAATTAGCTAGTCCCTAATAGTGATATTTTTGAAATGTATTGCTACGGAATTTACTTAGACGGCGAGGATATCTCTGATAAAATTAAATACAAAAGAATCTTCATAGATTAACTTACAGATACTATTGATTTAGGAGATAATACAATTGGAATCCCCTTAGATTTATATTCAATGCTCGCTTCCAAATATGATTCTGTAGGAAGGTAGTAAATTTTTAATTGCGCTAAATGTTAATGTGATTAAATTAAGAATCTCCCCACAATTACTCTTATAACTTAAGAATATAAGCTGACAATAGACCCTAGTTAATATACTTAACATATTGAATAAATGGATATGTGTTAAGTCCATCTAACTTAAGAAAAATAATTTAATTTTGCAAAATCTTTAATATTTAATTCTAACATTCAAGTCATGTATTCAAAATAACCTGATACTGTAAGGCTTATAGGTGCTTAAACAATAAATCATGTAAATATAGACGCAATTAAATATATTTTCCCTATTTTTACAGCTATAATTTTAACAGGATTGCTATTTACTTTTTCTTGGACTATTTATTAAATATAGCCTTTAAAATTAGAATAAAAATAATTAAAAGAGAAATTAAATATTTGTATAAAACTTTGAATTTATGTAAGCTAGCTAGCTAGCTAGCTATCTATCTATCTATTTATCTAACTATCTTTTTCTCATTTATGAATGTGTATGTATAGTAAATAAATAATATAGATATATTTTTTAATCTCTTTTAAGGTTAAAATTTTAAATTGTTTTTTTAAATTGAGTTAGAATTTACTTACCAATAATTAAAAAGTTATTTTTTGATAATATATATTATAAATAAATTTATTTGATTAGGGTGCGAGCGAGAAAGAGACATATTATTTTTAAAAATTTTATAAAAAAAATTATCTATTCAGTTCATAAATACATTTTTATTTAGAAAAGATAAAAGTGAAAATTATCAAATATTAAATATCAATAAGATTTTGAGAGAAATATTTGATTGTTGTTTATTAATACAAGTTTTATGCTTTTGTATTTACCCAAAAATTAATTAGCTTAAATAAAATGTTAACGTTTTATTGTCTTAAATTTGTTTTTGTAGTTTAAAATTTTTATTTAGATTTATAAAAGATTTCTTTGAAATAAAATAAATAATACATTATTTTATATTTATTATTTTAAAAGTTTTAATTAATTTTAAATGGAAAATTGAATCACTAATTAATTATAAATATAAATGCAAATTTTAATAAATATTAAAACTTTTCTTTCTATTTTTATTAAATATTTCTAACTAAAAAATTAAGTTATTTTATAAATTAGCTCTTTGATTTTAAATATTTTTTCTTCATTTATGATTTAAAAAATATAACTTTATAACTTAATTTTAAGTAAAATCTTCCTTTAATTAATTTTTCTTGAATTATTAACAAAAATTTCGTAACAGGATGAGCAAGCATCTCTTTAAATTCTAAATTAAAAAAAATTATTTGAAATTTTCATTTTAATGTATAAATATAATGATAAATCAATCCTTTTTTAGTTTATTTATTTTTTAATTAATCTAATTTCATAAATTAAAAATTCTTATTTAAATACTTGTTTATCCTTAAAAATTCATTAAAATACATTAAATATTTCTATTAACAACCTTAAAACTGGTAACACATTAAATGATTTAAGCGATTATCAAATTATGTAGGAATTATTAAACAATTCAATTAATATTTTCTAAAACAATTTTATGCAAATAAAGATAAAAATAAATAAATATATTTTGCATTGTTATTGATTTTCATTTATGTTAGACAAACTTAGATAATAAAGCTTCAGTAGCAGAGTTAAATTTTGTACCAGTGAAATTGGCAGTGTTCTTGTCTTTGTGGTTTTAGAAGAAGGTTCTTACCTACTTAGCAAGTACTTTACCGAGTTCTACACCTCACTAATCAAAGCTATTAATATCCCACAAGAAACCTAGAAATTTTTGTATAGCAAATTAAAAATTAAGTTTTAAATGTAAATAATTTTTTACCTTCAATAGCAATTCTATGTTCGTAAAGAGCAAGTAATTAACCAGCAGTGTAAGGATTTAATTCAGTAAATAATAAGGATAAGGAGGGTCTATCTCCAGGGAAATATTTGTGATTTTGTAAATTCTCAGGAACTTTTTCAGCCTTAAGTTCTTCAATAGTTTTACCACAAGCTAAGGCATCAGGCTATTATAAATAAATAGTATAATTTGTATAAAAAATATTAATTAGTAAATAAATGAGTACTTATGAGAAGGAATTAGACATCAATTCTTCATGACTGGTTACTTTGGTTCTCCAGCTAAAACAAAAGGGCACTAGGATCTGCAGAATCCAATAAATTCGCAAGGAACAATTCTACCTTAATGTAAAAGCTAATAGAAACTATGTTAACCTATATGTTATTTAATTTATTATTATTTTTTTAAAAACTATTACATTAACTATTAAGGTTAAGTATATAATAATATGTGCTTTTAAATTAATAATGTTGATTACCATTAGTACCAGGTTCACCAAAATTAACGACTGTACATTCATAATCAAGGGTTTGTCCAGCAAGATTTACTCTCTTACCATTCGATTCCATGTCTAATTATTGTGCATGAGGAACAAATTTAAAGAGAGCTTAGCAGTAAGGAAGAATAGCTCTGGCATTTAAATTCTTAATTGAGGTATTGTAGAATCCAACCAAAGCTAATAACAAAGGTAAATTTCCTTTAATTGAAGTTGTTTTTGCTAAATGGGTATCAATATTGTGAGCACATATTTTTAAATTAATGTTTAGCCTAAATTTATATAAAATTTAATTATAAGCAATCCTTTTTAGAATCTATCCATATAATCGTTGCCAAATTGAATAGACAATGGGGGAATACCTACTGCACTCCAGACTTAGTATCTTCCACTGACCCAATCCCAGAAGCCAAAAACTTTTTCAGCTGAGATACCAAACTTGGAGGTATCAGTTAAATTAGTAGAAGCAGCACACATGTGGTGATTGACTAAATCCTTAATTTTATCTTCATTCTTGCAAACAAAACCTATATTTAAAAATTAAACCATTAATTTATTTAAACAATTAAATATTTAATTAAAATATCAAGCAAAATTTTTATTTGTTTCAAATATGTTATAGGAATTTCTATCAAAAATATTGATTATAAATTAGATATACAATATTATTATATTAATTATCATTCATATCATAAAAAATTTTTCATAATATTATTATCATATCAGCATTAAAGGATCTACAAAAAAAATTTTAGGCAATATTAATATTAAATAAAAATATATCCAATTTATTTATAGTGAATTTTCTGTTTAAAAGAACTAACTTGAGTTTATTTGAATGAATTCTCTATTAATTAGAGGGAAAGTGTAAAATCCCACATGATGATAGTATAATTTTTGTGCTTGTCTTCAGCAACTAATAGATGAAAAAAGTATTATTGTTTTTGTTATTTTATGTTTGTATTATATGATTAGTATTTATTTAATGATGTTAAAACTTGTTTTTACTTTTTCCATCATATTTTTCTGAAATTAACTAAAGTTTTTTCTCTTCAAAAATTTTGTGAGATATTTTATATTTTTAATAAATAAATTTTGTAATAAAAAATAATATAATTAATTTATTGTAAAAGTAGAGTATAATTTATTTAAATTTTCTATTTTATTTTAATTGATTTCAATAAAAATAAATAGAATTTAAGTTCTATTTTAGCAAGTAAATTTAACTATTCCCTCATATAAAATTATTTGATAAAATTAAAGCTATAATGTATAGAAATACCTAAATATTAATTTTTTGAAGGCTCTTTTCTTGGATCTAGTGAATTTATTTATTAAAATCTTTGGATTTTATAGATAATGTGTTTATTTAAAAATATATTTTTATAATAACGAAGTAAATATTTAAAAGCTCTTTTGGTAAATAATAATATTAAGTATTTAATGTAAAAAGTTAAATTTAAGGTTTAGCCAATAAAATATTAACTTTTTTCACTTTTATTAATGTTTTTTTCATTTACAACTATTACAGAAAAAGTAATTTATATATTTTAATGACTTAATTTTTTTTATTTATAATTTTTATAAAGTGATTATTTATATTTAATGAATAATTGCAATCATCAATTATAGTAATGTTTCATTTAAATGCTTTTAGAATTTAGTTCTAATATTAATATGTTTTACAAAAATTTGAAACCCAGAGCAAGTTAAATTATTAGATTTTGAAATTTAAATAATTATAAGAAATTAACAGAATTTTTTAATTTTTGAATTTATATGAGGATAATTTGTTTAAAGGAAAAGTAATATAAAAATAGATAGATAGAAAGATAAATACTATCATAATTGAATAATAAATAACTAAAATTAAAAAATACTTCTTATCCGCAATAAACTAACCATATAGAATAAATTGCATCTTATTATAATAAGATAAAATTTATCAAATAATTCATTTTTACCTTATAATTTATTTATCATTAATTTGTTTTAAAGTTAAACAAATATCATTCAAATAAAATCATACTTTCTTTATTTTATTTAAATTTAGCAATAGAAATTCACAAATTTAATTAAATTTGAGTATTTGTAGATGTTAATTTTTTTATTAGTAGATAAAGCCTAATCATAATTTGTAACAAAAAAACTTAATTTAAAATTTAAAAAATTACAAATTAATTAATTAATTAATTAGATAATATAGAATAGATAGGTGGCTCACGACTGCCTTTAAATTTTTTTTCCTGGTTATTAATTTTTATTTTTAGATAAATAAATAAATAAAAAAACAATAAAAAATCTACAAAAAATATTTTAATAAAATATAAGATGATTCTATCTTTATCTGTTATTGCTGTTTTAGCTTGTTAGATAACCTGCTTTGAAACGTTAAGTACGTCAAGTTTTATAAGTGACTAATAACCGTAAAGCTTACTTATAGCAAACATAAATTTGGGTACTCCGCCTTAAAATATTCCAGTTATGTTGTTTTTTGGCACTAATCTTCCACGCTTAGGATAATTCATACTTAACAAAAGTGTTTAAGGCACTAATGAAATGTTTGATTTATTTTAATAATAAATAGGAATTACAAATTATTATGATTTAGATAGTAGCACTACTTCTTAAATAAAAGGTAATTATGAATCAGTATAAGAATTATCAGGAGGATATGGTGGGAAAATGACTGGAAAATATGTTCAAGATGTCTTGTAAATTGGAAAATTAAAATTTTTATACTACTTTGCTTGCGCATAGTAAATAACAACTCTAAACTAAGCCTACAGTGGTGGATTGATATTTTTCTAAAGAACCGAAGATAACATATTCGATTTAATGTACCAATAAAAAATTACTAAGACAAGAGATTATATTTTATAAGGAAGTACTTATAAGCTTAATGGAGGATAATTTAACAATATAGGATATAATTTGAAAATGCTTTTTGATTTGGAATCTAATTCATAATATTATAATTATCCACCTAATTAGCTAGTCCCTAATAGTGACCTTTTTGAAATGTATTCCTACGGAATTTACTTAGACGGCGAGGATATCTCTGATAAAATTAAATACAAAAGAATCTAAATAGATTAACTTACAGATACTCAAGGTTTAAGATTTGATCAAATTACAATACCCTCAGATTTATTTTAAATAATCATTTCCAAATATGATTATGTAGAAAGTTTGTAAATTAGTAATTGCACTCAATGTTAATGTGATAGGGCTAAAAACCTCCCTAAAATTACTCTTATAACTTAAGAATATAAGCTGACAATAGACCCTAGTTAATATACTGAATATTATAAAGATTAAGACCTTTGTCAAATCAAACTATCTTAAAATGACTATTTTAATTTTGCAAAATCTTTGATATTTAATTCTAACATTCAAGTCATGTATTCAAAATAATCTGATACTGTAAGGCTTATAGGTGCTTAAACAATAAATCATGTAAATATAGACGCAATTAAATATATTTTCCCTATTTTTACAGCTATAATTTTAACAGGATTGCTATTTACTTTTTCTTGGACTATGTATTAATTATATCCTTTAAAATTAGAATAAATATAATTAAAAGAGAAATTAAATATTTCTGTAAAAATTTGAATTTATGTTAGTATTTTTTGATCATTTATGAATGTATAAAGTAGTAAATAATATAAATTTATTTTTTAATCTCTTTTTTAAGGTTAAAATTTTATTAAATTATCAAAAAAAAAAAATAGTTTTATAAATAAAAATAAATAAATTGATTTTTTAAAATTGAGTTAAAATTTAGTTACCATAAAAAAAAATTTATTTTTTTGATAATGTATGTAATAGATAAGTTTGATTGAGAAACAGGCAGGTTACAAAAAAAATTATCAATCAAGTACATAAATAAATAAATTTTATTAATTTAGGATAGATAAAAGAGAAAACTATCAAATAATAAATTTCAATACGATTTTAAGAAATATTTGTTTGCTGTTTATTTATACAAGCTTCACTCTTTCTTATTAACCCATAAATGATTAGCTAAATTGGCATTTTGTTGTCTTAAATTTGTTTTTGTAGTTTAAAATCTTTATTTTGATTTGTAAAAGATTTCTTTAAATAAAGTGCTCATAATTCTGACTTAATAATTTTAATTAAATTCATTTTATATTTATCTGAATTATTATTTTAATAAATTTAATTAATTTAAATGAAAAATCGAATCACTAATTACAAATATAAATGAAAATTTAAAGAAATATTAAAACAAACTAACTTATCTTCTTTTTTTATTAAATATTTCTAAAAATTAAGTTTTTAAATAAATTATCTCTTTGATTTTAAATATTGTTCTTCATTTATGATTAAAAAAATTTAACTTTAATATTAAAGAAGAATGTAAAATCTTCCTTTAAATAATTTTTCCCGAATTATTAACAAAAATTTAGTAAAAGAAGTAGCGTAGCATCTCTTTAAATTCTAATTAAAAAAAATTATGAAATTTTTTATTTTAATGTATTATTAGAACATTTATTTATTCATTACTTACTTCTAACTTTATGAAAAATTGTTATTTAAGTTTATTTCTTTTCAAGTATTTCTATAAAATAAATTCAAAATCTAATGATAAATATATTTTTTTAGTTTATTATTTTTTAATTAATCCAATTTTATAAATTAAAAATTCCCATTTAAATGCTTGCCAAATATTCTTAAAAATCCATTAAAATACATTAAATATTTCTATTAATTACCATGAAACTGTTAGTTAATACAATAAATGATTATCAAATTATGTAGGAATTATTAAACAATTCAATTAATATTTTCTAAAACAATTTTATGCAAATAAAGATAAAAATAAATAAATATATTTTGCACTATGATTAATTTTCATTTATGTTAGACAAACTTAGATAATAAAGCTTCAGTAGCAGAGTTAAATTTGGTACCGCTGAAATCAGCAGTGCTCTTGTCTTGGTGGTTTTAGAAGAAGGTTCTTACCTACTTTGCAAGTACTTTACCGAGTTCTACACCCCACTGATCAAAACTATTAATATCCCACAAGAAACCTAGAAATTATTGTAAAGTAAATTAAAAATTAAGTTTTAAATGTAAATAATTTCTTTACCTTCAATAGCAGTTCTATGTTCGTAAAGAGCAAGTAATTAACCAGCAGTGTAAGGATTTAATTCAGTAAATAATAAGGATAAGGAGGGTCTATCTCCAGGGAAATATTTGTGATTTTGTAAATTTTCAGGAACTTTTTCAGCCTTAAGTTCTTCAATAGTTTTACCACAAGCTAAGGCATCAGGCTTTAATAAATAAATAAATAAATAAATAAAAAGTATAATTTGTATAAAAAATATTAATTAGTAAGTAAATAAGTACTTATGAGAAGAAATTGGACATCAATTCTTCATGACTGGTTACTGGTTCTCCAGCTAAAACAACTGGGCGTTAGGATCTGCAGAATCCAATAAATTCGCAAGGAACAATTCTACCTTGATGTAAAAGCTAATAGAAACTATGTTAACCTATAAATTATTTAAATTATTATTATTAATATTTAAGCTATTACATTAACTATTAAGGTTAAGTATATAATAATATGTGCTTTTAAATTAATAATTTTGATTACCATTAGTACCGGGTTCACCAAAATTAACGACTGTGCATTCATAATCAAGGGTTTGTCCAGCAAGATTTACTCTCTTACCATTCGATTCCATGTCTAATTATTGTACATGAGGAACGAATTTACAGAGAGCTTAGCAGTAAGGAAGAATAGCTCTGGCATTTAAATTCTTAATTGAGGTATTGTAGAATCCAACCAAAGCTAATAACAAAGGTAAATTTCCTTTAATTGAAGTTGCTTTAGCTAAATGGGTATCAATGTTGTGAGCACCTATTTATTTTTAAATTAATTTATAGCTTAAATTAATATTAAAATTTAATTATTAGCAAACCTTTTAAGAATCTATCCATATAATCATATCCGAATTGAATAGATAATGGGAGAATACCTACTGCACTCCAGACTGAGTATCTTCCACCAACCCAATCCCAGAAGCCAAAAACTTTTTCAGCTGAGATACCAAACTTGGAGGTATCAGTTAAATTAGTAGAAGCAGCACACATGTGGTGATTGACTAAATCCTTAATTTCATCTTCATTCTTGCAAACAACTCCTATAATTAGAAATTAAACCATTAATTTTTTAATTAAACCATTAAATTTTTATTAAAATATTAAGCTAATTTTTTATTTATTTCAAATAAATTCAAGTCTATTTGTTTATAATTTAATTAGCAATTTCTGCACTTTTTATTAAAAATAAATGTTTACCTTTCAATTTGTATTGTTCAATGAGCCAGTTACGACAAGTACGAGCATTCAACATAGTCTCAGCAGTTGTGAAAGTCTTAGAGTTGATGATGAATAAGGTTTCTTCAACACACAATCCTTCAGTAGCTCTAGAAAAATCAATAGGATCTACATTAGCCAAGAATCTAGTTAAGTTAGAACATAAAAAGTTAAGTAGGAATATAAACGCTTACAAATGAAATGAATTTTTAGCATTATTCTAAAATTAATTTGAATGCATACCTTAGCTTTCTATCCTAGGCTCTGGCAACTGCTTCGGGATGAGAACGGAGAGCTTCATAAACGAATTCAATGGATAAATAAGAACCACCAATACCAATTACAACAACATTTTTGAGGGTTCTACCAGTCTTTCCTTTCAAATGTCCAGAACGGATTTAGTTAGAGAAGTTTTCGATTCTGTGGAGAGTTTCGTGGACTTCTTCAACAACATTCTTTCCATCGGTGACGATCTTTTCACCCTTTTGAGCTCTCAAAGCAACATGTAAGACTGCTCTTCCTTCAGTGGTGTTAATTTTTTCCTAAAATTAATAAATTTTGATATGAATTTATTCATTTTAGAAGTAATAGTTTTTTAATCAAAAATATTTCAAAATTCAATCCATTTATATTGATTAAGAGCTATTTTTAATTTAAAAAAGGGAATATTTACTCCTGAGAACATCTTCTTGACTCCTTCATAGACTCCTGATTTAACAGCAACTTCTTCTAAGAGGTTTAATGTTTAGTCAGTAATTTTTTCATGGGTTAAATCCAATACAATGTTGTCATGTTCAAAGATCAAATGCTTTTAATAGAATTAGAAAATAAAATTAACTAAAATTTACAATGAAACATCTTTTAAATTGATTTTTATGCTAGTATGAATAATTATTCATGTTTAATATGTCAAAAACAACTTCGGAAATATAAGATACATTTCACTTTAAGTTATTATTCGTAATTTATCATCTTAAATTATTAAAGTAGAAACAAGCTTAAAATAAGTCTAATTCAAATTAGAAAACACATATTTTAAAAAAATGATTACTTTGTTTCTTTCCTTATCAGCTAAAAGGTCTCTAAGATGAGTTTTAGAGAGTTCAGCATCATGCTTCTAGAGGTTGGCCCACAATTCCTTTCTGCTCATTGTTCTTATTTATAAATACTATAATTTTTTTAAATGTATCTTTTAAAAGATTAAAGATTTTATTATTTTTAATTAAAATTTTTATAGAATCAAGAATGGAGAATCTTTCTTTTCTACTGGTGGGTAGGATAAGTAAAGTAGGTATTTAATTTATCATGTATGTATGTATTTTGGATTATTTGCTATTTTAATAAGCGATTTATATAGCACTTATCTCAATAAAAAAATATACTCTACTAAGCAATTTTATAATAATACGCAATTCCAACCGTTTTGGATTGAGTTTTTTGTTGTATGGAATATGATGTATCTTTTATTTATTCTATGATTATCATTTATTTATCAACTATTCTTAAATATATAATATAAATTTCTATTAAAATATTGCAATAAAAGTTTACTTCTATTATTTATGATTGCCTAAAAACCATCATAATAAAGATTATAAAATAACAAACTACGAGAATAGTGTAACAATTAAATTTAATCAAGTATTTATATTATTTCTTATCAAAAATTTTGATTCTATATCAATTTTATTTTAAATTAATTAAGTAATGATGCATTTGAATAATTTAGAATTAGTTTATTCCATTTAAAAGTTGATATTTAAAATAATCTCAAATAAAATTTAAAATACTCATAGATATTTAAACGAAAGTATTATTTACACAAGAAAATGCTTAGATATTTATTAAACCAGGAAAAATAACTATGCTCTTTCCTATTTTTTTATTTATTTATTTATAGTTTAGATTAATTGTTCATTTCTTTTTAATTGAAAGAGGAAAATGATCAATTAATTAATTTATTTATTTATTTAATAGATATTAATTGATAAAGGAATTAGAACCTTAAATTATTTATTTATTTATATTGATTTTGTTAATTTATTAAGTAATTATTTTTTCACTGCTTTTATGGCAAGACCATACTGCCATTTTTTTCAAGTAATTGTTTAGAGCTCCTCCATTTATTTTATAGTTCTATTTCTTCAAGATAGTTTTCGAAGAACTTTTAACAAATTATAATTAATGCATAGAATTCAATATGAAAGAACTTACATATTCTAATTTATTCCTTTTAATTAATCTGCAAATCTCAATCGGAGTTTTCTTATTCTAATTATAAAATTTATATTTAATATTAAATATTTCAAAGATAATTTTATTACTGAGTTAAGGGCATGTAGATTTGCTCCTTTTGAAAGGAGGTATTTTATAACTTTTAAATTACATTTTCTACTTGCCATATGAAGAACTGTATCACCTTCCTAATATTATTTCAACAAAAAAATGTCTGATACTATTAAATACTTTAAGTTAAAATACCTTATCAATAGTATTAATTAAATCTGGGTTCCTATCTAGCAAGAATTCTATTTCTATTAAATCATTTTCTGCAAGTCTTCTACAAAATAATTCCTCTTCTTCAGTTATTTATTTACTTTTAAATCTTTGCTTAAGTTCTTCTAGCTGCTTTTTTTACTCTTGCATAATCTAAAAAAATAAAATATCAAAAATGGAATATTTTATGTAAACAAATAAAAATAAATTGAAATTAATCCATATGAAAATCAATAAACAATAATAAACTGAATTAATAAAAATAAGAAATCTTCATAACAAAAAAAACTTTTTTTGAAAAAAATATTTTCAAATCATATTTTCCAATTCCATTCATTAAAATTGAACTAATTAATAATCCAATATTTAAATTTTTTGTAAAAAATGAATAAAAGGTTTCATAATTTTTCTAAATATTTGGCTATTATTTCATTTTAAACTAAAAAAATAAATTATTTATTTGATAAAAAATTTTCAAAAGTATAAAAAAATAAATTAAATGAATAAAAATATGTTAATTAATTAATTTACTTGGTCATCAGTTTTATTATGAGTCATTTCATAGAAGGGTTTTAATATTTCTTTTTCTGGTAATTCTTGTAATTATATAGCTTGAGTTTCTTCTTCTTCGTCTAAGTGAGATTAGGATTAAATTAATTTATGTGATTATATTTTATTTATTTTATCTGTCTTTTAAATTTGAGGCAGCTTGTCTGTAGAAATATAAGCTTATTATTGGTTTTTAATTGGAGGGAGTTTTTCTGATTATTGAGTTTCAATTTTTTCTTTTATTTCTTAATTTTCTTATAACTCTTTTGCTAACTTAGCTTTCTCTTCGTTTAAGTACTTTAAAATAATAATATTTCTATCTACGTCTAAATCTTTAAATGATAAATATTCTAGAGGTGGTACTATAAGATGGCTATTTTTAATGCTATATTATTATTTTAGCTTTAGGATTACATTTTCTTTAAGATTTTCTTTTATCAAATCAACTTTATCTGCTAAAGTAAGTTCATGGTTTTGCTCTTAAAATAAATCGAAGATCTTTTTTTTTTTCCCATAATTTTTAAGAATTTTTTTAGGTTTGAATGGATCAAAAGCCTCATTAAAATTAAATTTTTTCTTTTTTTCCTTTTAACTGGGAACCTATTTTTCTTCCAGCTAATTATCATCATCATTGTTATGTGGAATCACCAGGTCAGTATAACTTTAATATTTAGTATTTTAATCTTAATTTGCATTATTTTATTGCTACAAAGGTTCTTATCCTATAAAATATTTTTTTAATTATAATTTGCCATTTTAATAATTTATTTTTTAAATAAATAAAATTTTTAATTTACTTAAACTCTCTTTAAAATACTCTTCTATTTTCGCCCTATCTTCTGGACTCATTTAACAGAGAGTGACAAAATTCATTTTATGTAATTTAGGATTGAATTTGAAATTTTCATCATTGAGAAGTGAATGCAAAGAGTTTTTTTCAATTCTTAAAATATCTTTTTATGCCTTTTAGTAAATTAATTTATTAAAATATTAAATACTTTTAAAGAATACTTACATCAATATAATCTAGTCTTTTAGAATTAAAATTTGGCTATCTAGAATTAACTTCATTTTCATATTTCTGTAATTGTTGCTTTACTAAAGTTTTCACTTATTGTTCTGATGATTTTAAAATGATAGCATAGTCAGTGAATTATTTTATAGAGTTTTTCATTTCCTTAAATTAAAATGTTTGATAAATATACTTTTTATCGATGATAAACTTTATTTTACCCTTTAAAAATCTATAATCTAGCTATTTACTTTAGGATTTATTGCACTCAAATTCAATTTACTTACATTTGAAGCATTCTACTACTGCATACTTTCATTAATATTACTTAAATTTTAGCTTATGTTATTGAGATGAAAAGAATGCAAATTAGCTCCTTCATTTAAAGAATTAATGCTCTTAGCTGTTTGTTGTATTAAAAATAAATAAATATTTTTAAAAACCATTTTAGATTTCATTTAAAATATTTTCAAATATGAAAAACTAAAAGATTTTTTGATTTATTCTCTCAATCTTTTTTTACTCTGAAAAATACTTTTCGTTACTAAATGAAACTTAAACATAATATCTTTAATATTTTTTTTAGTTATTTATATTAAATGATTAAGTGCTTATGAAACTTTTTGATAGTTTTTACTTATGTTGTTAGAAGATTAGGCTAGCCTCTAGCTTGCTTCACTTTTTAGGTCAGCGTAAGTTATTTTTTTTTTAGTAAAATTGTCTTGAAATATAAAATTATCAAATCCTGAGTCTTATTTCAATGCCTTGTTGGTCTAGATATTTATTGATTCATTTAAATTATTTGGAATTACATTTGACACATCTTAAGACGCAATCCAAAGTTGAGAGAGGGATTTTAAACTTGCTAATGAATTATTTATTTTTGGAAGCTTTTTAGAGGTTTTAGAATTCCCTATTTATTTCTTAACTGATGAATTTAAAGAACTCATCTGATACTTAAAATTATTGTAGAGGATTTGTTTTAATCCAAAATCAGTCCTAAAAATTAAGATTTATACTGACAAACAAAATAGTCTTTAATTAATTCTTTATAATAATTGGTTCCTTTCAAAACTCCTGTCTTTCAAAAAGTTATCAAAAATAGAAATTCGCTAACATATAACCAAATCAATTTCATTTTATAATGTTGATATTTATTCAAAGTAAAAATGGTTTTATCAAATAATAAAAATCAATGTAAAAAACCTTTTAATTTTATTTTTTCAATTTATCAAAATAATTTTTAATAAATTTTTTTTTTCTAAACTTGAAAAACGAAAAAATAAAATTATAAAATTAGCTTTTAATTCTAAGAAAACTTCTTTTGAAAACGTAAATTGACAAATAATTTATCTTTTAGTTTATATGCATGTTAAAATCTATTCCTACTTTTATTTTTAAGTAAAAGCTCAAGAAAACAAAAGGTTAAAATCAAAATATATTAAAATCAATTTTTGATTATATAAATCAATAATCTTTCTTTTAATCAATAAATTAATTTCAATTAAAATAAGTCAATGAAAATTACTTTTTTTATTTTATTTAATACTAAAAAGAGAAGTAAGTAAGTTTATATGATTTAAGTAAATTGAATACTTTCAATAAAAATAAATTATGGTGAAATAAAATGTTATCATACATGCATAATTTATTTTTTGTGTTGATATAATTTAAAATTGACAATTACTTAATTAATTATTTAAACTTTAAAAATTTTTTTTCTTCAGATTTTATAATTTATTTTTTCAACAGGAATGGGTTCAGAGAGCTTTTGAGTTTCTAAATTGAGTACTTGGTATTATGAATAATTAAAGAATCCTGTATCTTTTTTATAGACAGGAAGATGGAGCATTTTTTCACCTACAAAATCAATCAAATTAAGCTTATCCATCATTTATTATTATTTTGATTACTCTTTGTTGTTTCCATCATCCCCATGAATTTTTACTATTTACAATAATCTTTCACTTGTTTCTATATCTTTCAATGAATTTAAAAAGATATGTTCTAAGAATTTAGAATCTGTCTTGAAAGTTTCTTTATATTATTAAATTAATTCTTTAAAAGGTTCTTCAGCTACTTGGCCTGGTTCAGTTAAATGTCTTTTTGTTAAATTAAGAAAAAACTAAATTAAGTTAAAACTTTATTTATTGTAAATTACTATGTAGAGGTGTATTTTAAAATAAAGAAATCTTCCCTAACCATGTTCACATAATCTAATTCAATTTCGTACTTATCAAGAATACTTAATTTCTTTCCTACTTCTAAAGTTTCATTTAACAAATCTTCAGAAAATTTAGCATCATATTGCTTTAGCAAATTTGCTAATACTTCTCTATCTAATGTATACTCAACGCAGGGTAAAGTAAAATGTTGACATTTTTGGGTATTTACAACAATTTTTCCTTCAATGTCTTACAAAAATAATTTCTATCCAGTATGAAAAGAATTCTTAGTGCTTTTTACTTCTATTTACTTAACTAATTCGCTCTTTGCTAAATTTGCATCAAATACTAATAATTTAGAAGAAGACTTTTTATTTTTTTATGCTTTTAGTAGCTACTCTGCTTGGCTCTCAGGCTTATTTGATACTATTTCACTCATTATTTGTTAACTTAATTATTTTTTGATATTTGTAATTATTAATAATTAATTTTAAGATTTAAAATTTTTATAATGATTAATTTTTTGAAAAAAACAATAAATATTTATTTGAATTTATTATAAATAAAAAATAGAATGATCTAAATTGATTTTTTTGTTTATTTAATTTACTTGTAGAATTTACTTTTATAGTTATAAATCTATTTAAAATAGTAAATTTTTATTTTATTTTCATAAATTTTATAAAAATATATTTATTTTTAAGGATTAAATTTTTTTTATTTTGAATAAATTAAAAAAAAAACAGGGACCTGCCAGGATTGAACCGGCGACCTAAGGATTTGCAGTCCTCCGCTCTGCCACTGAGCTAAAGCCCCTTTCATGAAAGCTTAACATGAACTAAAAATATTTCTAATAAATTTTTTTTAAAAAAAATCAGTAATAAAGAAAGAAAAAGATATTTTCATATTTTATAAACCATTAAGAATATTCTTATTTCTTAAATGATCAGATAATTAAAGACAATAAATAAATCCTTAAAACAAAGATTTATAGAATGAGATAAAAATGGCATTAATCAAAATATTATTTGGATATTTATTCCTTGAGGATTTATTTTATCATTCTAGTTTAATAATTACATAAATATATATTAAAATTAAAACAATTTTTGAATTGAAAATTACTTAAATAAGTAATCAATCTTTTTTAGTTGATTTAATAATAATTAATTTACAAAATTAAATAAATTTATTTATTTAATTAAAAAATAATAATAATTTATTTGTGAAAAAATATTAAGAAAGGATAGTTAGTTATTTACAAACATTTTATTAAAAACAAAATAATTATTTGATATTTTAAATATTTTTTATTTATTTCATAAAAAAATAATATTTTTTTCTTTTTCTTTTAAGTAATCTTCTTAAAAATATAAAATAAAAATGCAAGATTTAATAAAAAATAAATTTATATTTTATTTTGCTAATGAATTAAATTTGTAAAACAATTTTAAAATATAGAATTAAATGAATTTTAATTATGGTTTTAACATAAATAAAATTTAAATCAAATTCATATTTTATAGGTATAGTAGTCTGGGTGAAGAGAGCACTTAAACTTAATACTTTCAGGGTTAGTGATATTTTCAAATCCACTATAAGGCTAGGTTACTTTCATATAAAGGGCATTTTGCTCAACGTGCTTAGGACTGACTAAATGAAGTTAGCTGCATCTTTTGTTTGTGAAGAAAATCTTTTTAAAGGCTTGTACTAAATCAGCTAATTTGATTTTCTTGAGCTCTTCAATCATTTTTTCCTCTTTATATTTAAGTTAAAATGAAATATAATTAATATAAAACTTTTTATTTTACTCAAGTCAAAAGTATAGTGATGCTAAACAATATATTCAAAGTATCTTTCTGTTTGTTTTTTGATGCTAAAGTCTTTTTCTCTAATATCTACCTCTACAGCAGCTCTAATTTTTTCAAACTATTCTGAAGTGAGTTCTTCTAATCTAATTTTCTATTATTCTAAAAAAATTTTACGTTAAATAAGACATTTTAAGATTAAAAATAAATATTTACATAAGAAGCTATGAATACGAGATGCAAGATACTAAGGAGGTTGAACATCTGATTAGATTATGAATCTAACAAATCCAACACCTCTGATGGCATTTGTTCTGGACCAGCAAATATATCCAAGACACTCGTTAGTTCTTAATTAAGTAAAGAAAGATTCTGAAAAAACATTTCCTAGTAATTCCATTATTACCCTGCTTCTTACTGAGACACTTTCTCCATCTTCGTAATTAGCACAGATATAGTTATTTGTTTCTTCTTCTCCTAGAGTCTCTGTATAAACATATACTTGGTCAACTGCAGGTTAGATTACTCTTCTGTCTATTAAGTCGGACTATTATTTTAAAGTTAAATATAAATTTTATTTAAAACATGATTATTTATTTCTTAATCAAAAATATAATTTTATTTAATTATTGAAATATTTTAGTAATTTAAAGACAAACCTTTTTAACAGGCTTTGCTCCTCTTTTCTCAAAAATGTGAGCAGTGCAAATATTGCCTATATTTAGAGCAGACTCGGAAGTTAAACTTCCACCGATTAAGAGTTCGAGTCTAAGTGCTTTCAAGAAATTGGTACTGAATTCAACAAAGGTATCAAATTGGATATTAAGAGACTCTTCTTATAATTGCTTGGGAGAAAAAGTTCTGGTTTAGAGGAAATATTCATTATATGTATTTCCTTGCTGATAAGGTGGTTGTTTAAAGAAATTTTTCAAATCTTTTTAGAGCTTATTAAGCTAAATCTAGAACTCTTTTTATAATTTGGATACATCAAATTCGACTAATTTTTGTAAGTAAAGTTCCATAAAATTAGTAATAGAATCACTAAAACCGTCTACTGTTAAAGTTAATTCTTATTTAAATTCTAAATTAGAGTCAAGTAATGCCATCTCTGCTTAATATCTTAATTCTCTAGTAAATTCATTGAATAAATTAGTCCATAATTTAGTTTAGACTTCAGCTCTTGCAGTCAATCCAAGACCACAGCTATTTTTTAATAATTATAAACATTTTTAATTTAAATAAAACTAATTTTTAAACTTTACTCATTGTTTTTAAAACGTAACTTCAATGTAACCTTAGGAATCTTAAATTAGCTATCTTATTTATACCAAAGTTCGATAAATTCGTTATTTAAAAGATCCTTAGGAGGAGCATCAGTTTCACTTGTAAATAAATCGAATTTTTAGGGAAGTAATGTATTCTTAGGAGGTAAATCCATTTTCTTGCTATCATGAGGTATTTATGGATTTTCAAAGGCTTTGATAATAGATTCAGAGATAGGTTCAATTGAATATTTAGTTTAATAGTACTTTTCTGTTAAATTACACTCTTCGGTTAAAGTTGGAGATATTAAAGTAATCCTTAAATTGTCTACTATTAAAGCATCGAGAGCACTCTATAATAAGTCTTTATCATAAGGCTCTGGAGCGTTGTCTGTTCTCAAAATATCAATATACTCACACTCTTGCATGGCAGTAGCAATTTCATATGTATAATCAATAGGTTCTTCTTTATCTTTAAAGTCAAATTTCAACTATGAAATATTCTTGAATTCATCATAAACCCATTGTTAATTGGCCTTTTCTTTGAGCATCTTAGTGTAGGCAGAAACAAAATTAATTACTTTTTCATAATTTTCAAAACCTTGTTCAGTTAAAACAACTGTCACAGAGAGCTAAGAAAATAATCCCATGATTTAACTTTCACTTGATCTCAAGGCCTCAGCATATCCGGCATCCATGAGAGCACTTAATAAACTGTGTTCTCCTTCATGTCCGTAAAGATAGCTGAACAATTTAGTTGGATTTTTTCTGTAATTCTTTTCATAATTTGGCAAAACCCAAGAGAATTTTAACTTATTTAAAAATTTATATTTTAACTTAAAATCAAAACTACATTTTTAAAATGAATTTTTACTCTTTTTTCTTATTTGCAAGGAACTATTTTTAAGAACTTTTTAAGATTAGTTGAATCGAAAGGGCTTTCTTTGTAAACAGGTTTTGGTAATTTACGGTTAGGTATTTAAGAAAATAGTTCTACAGCCTAAGTTTCAAGTTCCTCCAAAGTTTCATTTGAAAGAATGACAACTTTAGTAAGGTTTGAAGAGTAGTATTAATTGTAGAACTTAATTAGATCTTCACGAGTTGATTCAAAATTCAAAGTCTCGAGATTACCTGTTCCAAATTTATTAAAAGGATTTCCTTCTTTACTTGTGGATCTATTTAATTGATATTCCCTCCATAGATCTTATTACAAATTTTTTTAATTTTCGCTATTTACTGCATTCATTTCTCTAGATGTCAACTCCTTAGTAAATAGTGGCTCAATGAAGAACCATGCAAATCTAAAATTATAAAAATAATTTTTATGAGCTTTGATGTTATTTATTAGCATTCAAGTGTAATTATATTAACATACCTATCAAGAGCTTCTTTAAATCCTGCATTAGAGCAATGGAAGAAGTAGTTAGTTTAATCTAAAGCTGTGAATGCATTAGAATATCCTGAATATTGATTTAAATGCTAATCGAATTGTGAAGCATCTGGATACTTCTTAGTACCTAAAAAGAGCATGTGTTCTAAGAAATGAGCAAGGCCTATTTAATTTATACATTTTAATTCTTCGTATTTTATAAAAAATTTTATTTACCCTATCTTTCAATTGGATCTTAAAGTTGGCCAGCATTTACATTTACTGCTGCTGAGCTCTTATCAGTAGTAGGATCTGAAATTAATAAAATTTCAATATCATTAACTGGTAACTTAATTAATTTGTATTTTCTATCATCTGATTTGGAAGCAACTGGTTGCTAAAGTGTGACACTCATTTTAATTTTGTTGGCTATTTAGATACTTTTGAGAATAGATATGAAAAAGTAAGATATTTTTTTATTTTAATTATTGAATATTAACTATATTTGACAATAGATTTTATATTCAACAGAAGATCAGATATCTTTTGATAGCAGTAAAAAATCAAATGATTAATAAAAAACAGAAAATTAGTTTTACATTTATTGATTTATATTTTCTTCCAAAGTTGTTTGAAATAAAAGAAAATATAATTATTTTTTTAAACTCTATCTTTATCATGATAAAATATTAATATAATTTTACAAATTATTCTAAAATGAATTTTAAATATTACAAATAATAAACAAAAATGTTATTTTCTTTATGAAAAAAGTTAATTTTTTACAATCAAAAATATTTGAAAAATAAAATTTATAAAATTTTATGAAGATATTTTTTTTGTTTTTGTTCACTAAAAATATTTTATTTTAAATTTTATTATAAAAAGCAATAAATTAATCAATTTCAATAAAAGAGTTACATTTTGAAATTTAAAAAACTAATCTGTTCAAATATTTTCTTTTTTTATAGAAAATTTCATAAGAAAATAATTTTAAATGTGTTAAATTGAAAACTATTTTTAAATTTTACTAAGTAAAGCATTTAGCAGTTATTTACTGGCTTTTTTGGTTTATAGAAATGCACAAAAAGATTTGAATGATCTTTTCAATATACTACAAACATACATTTTTTAAATTGAAAATTTTTTTTATAAAAAAAGAAGCAATTTCTATCAATATTTCTTAAAATTATTACGATTTTGTTATTATTCAAATTATATTTATTTTTTATTGGAACAAACAAATCTAAAAGTATTACAAATTAAATCTAGATTAAATTTTTGTATAATACAATATAGCCCTAATTTTCAAAAGTATTTTTTAGTAATTGTAATTTAAAATAAAATAAATCAAATGGATTAAGAAGACCTTTAATAAATTGCTTCAGGTTTTAGATTTATTATAGAATTTTATTAGTTAGCATATATCCTTATGGAATATGAAAATTGAACTGTTATAAACATCATTTTTAATTAGAAAGAATTGTAGATTTGACAAAGGCAATTAGCGGAATAGAAGGAAAGAGACTTCAAAGTATTGCTTTTAAAATATATAATGCAAGGTAATTTCTATTTATTGAAATTGTATTTAAATCTTGGTTTTTTCATTTTTTTTGAGTTAAATTCACTCTAAAAACTTTAGAAAAGAGGTTTGGGAGAGAGTGAGAAATAGAAAAACAGAAACTAACAAAAAAGCTATACACACTGAATTACAAAGAAATTTAGAAGAGTTTTTAGACAAAGTAAGTACTTATTTGAATATTAGAATGAAAGAAAGCAGGTGTGAATATTTATATTTTTAACTTAGAAAAAAGAAGAAAAGAAGATAGACATAGAATAAATATAAATTTTTAAAAATAAAGACTAATACACAAAACAAGCACCTTAAGTTGAACTCCACAAAATAGTAAGAATTTTTAATTTATTTTACAAATTAATGAATCTTTATGTGAATAATAGGAAGATAAAATAGATATTATTAGAGGACTGCCTTAGGATATATGCAAACTAAAATCATTGTTTGAGTAAGATGAAGATTTAGATGATTGAAGATTTCATTAAAAGAAAAAAAATAAGGGATTTTATTAATTAAAAAAGAAGAGTGAAAAACACTTTAAAGAATATTAAAAATAAATTTAAAAATTCTAAAAAATTATTTAAAAGCTTTTTATAATTTATTTCTAAAAAATATTTCTTTAATTTCTTGTAAATGCAATTGTGATTTATTTTGTAACTAGCTTGATTCGCATTTATTATAAAGATTAAATTAGCAACCAGCATCGTGCATAATTTGATTTCAAATATTTTTGATTTGGGCACCAATTTATAAATGATGATGAGATTAATATCAAAATTAAATAGATTTTTAAAATTATAAGCATATCATATTTCTATGTTTGTCTCTTTTACATTAGAAACATTTGTAGCTTGAAAAAACAAATATTATATAATTTAAAGCAATAAAAAATCATTTGGATACGAAATAGAAGATATAAAGGAGTTAAATAATTCTTTATCATCAAAAATTAGTTTAATTATAATTATTATTAACAGTAAGCATCATAAGCGAATAAAGATAATAGTAAAGCAATCAAATATATTCAATATCAATTATTACAATATTCAAAATTACCAATTATTTAAATGATGGAGAGCGAACCTGATAAAAAGCTTAAAGATGCAAATTAATCAAATTAAGAAAATGATAAAAATGGACATGAAATGTAAATGTTATTAATAGAGTTATAATGAATTCATTTTATTTAAAAGTGAGGAATAAATACCTTACGTAGGCTTAAGAAATTAAGGAAATACATGCTACATGAACAGCTATTTGCAGACGCTTTACCATTTGGGAGATTTTACAAGATTAGTGTTATAGATACCAACTCATGGAGAACCTTTGGTTTTTCCAGACTCGATGCAAATCCTCTTTAATGGTCTGCTAAAAGAAAGTCGAGCTGTATAAACTCAATAATAATTTACAAAAAGCTTTTATATATTAAAAGTGATTAATTATACTTTTATAAAAATTAGTAAAGCACTGTGGAACTTTGCAAGAGTTTTGGCTGGGATAGAGAAGACGCATTCAATTAGTAGGATGTACAGGAATTTAGTTGTAAAATAAACAGAAACAATATATTTATTTATTTATTTATTTGTTTTAAACAAAATGGTTTTATTAAACATAAATTAGGCAACATAATTGAAGCTTTAGAAAGAAAAGTGGACAAATATGAAAAATTAAAAGGAAGCATTTAAAATCTGTTTTAAGGAGTAGCAAAAAACTATATAAGATGCAAAAACGTTGAGTTTTGTTCAGAAAGAAAAGAAACATTTTTTGACATTTAGTTATAGGTTAAAGGTACTTTATAAAAAGTATAGTTATTAAAGAAAACATTTAACCTCAAATAAAATATTTATTTTATAGGTAAAAAAGATATCTACGAATCACTGATGGAATACACTTCTGAAGAGCTCATGACTGGTGATAATTAAGTACAAATAAATGCTAAAAATATTCATTATTAAAAGATAATTATTTAAAATAGTATGACACTGAAGATCCAAAGTTTGGTAGACAAGATGCAATCAAAGGAATAAAATTTTAAAGTTTGCCTCCCATTTTACAAATTACTCTAAAGAGGTTTGATTTCGACTACCAGAAGGTACAAAACAATTTGCTTATATATAATATACTAACAAAATTTAGCTGATTTATTTAATAATATACATAGATGAGACTTGTAAAAATTTTAGATAAATACAACTACCCTTTAGAATTAAACTTGTATGACTTTATGGATAATTCAGCCAAGGAAAATGATTTGTCAAAAGTAATGAATGCTTAAAAGTTTTAATTAATTATTATTGAATTGAATTAATTTCTGTTAATTAAAAGGAAAATTGCTTGTATACTTTATATGCAGTATTGATTCATAGTGGTAAATAAAGTGGCTCAGGTCACTATTATGTCTATATAAATAAACTTAACAAATGGTATAAATTTAATGACTCTCGTGTTGATATAATTTCTGAAGAAGAAGTTCTTACTGGTGGCGAAGGAGGTGAATTTACTGAAAAAAAATATATTTAGGTACTGCAATTTTTAAGATAAAATTTAAAAAAACTTTGTTTAAATTTTAAAAAGTAAACAGAAAAAATAGAGGAAACTACAATACAAAAAAAAGAAACAGCTTATATGCTTGTCTATGTATAAAAAAATAAAGCAAATTAAATTCTCAAAGATATAACTGATGCTGACATCCCTCAATAAATAAAAACTATATATCTGGAAAAGAAGAAAAGAGAAGAAGCAGAAAGAAGAAACAGAGAGTATTTCTAAGTAAAGCTTTTGACTTTTTAAGATTTATAGCAAACAAATGGTATTATTTTTTCATTTAAATACATTTTTTACTAAATTTTAAAATTTAAAACATTTAAAAAAGTTTTTTTTTTAATTCTCAAGTAAAGTTTTTTTTTTTTTTAAATTTATTGATTTAATAAAAAAGGGAATTCTTTATTTTTCCATAAAAACCATAAAAATGAATATGTCTCTACTGAAAATTTTGATCATATTGGAAAAAATATCTCCTTAAAAAATATGATAACTTTAGATTATTTTCTAAAATAGCTGGCAAATTAGTTAAAATGCAATGAAAAAGATATTTTATTATTCAAAATTACTTATGGAGTTTAACTAGAAAAAGTTGCTAATTTATCTCATTTACTTTAATTAAATATGGGAAATTTTAAAGTTAAGTAGATATTTTAAAGTAAGATTTTTTCCTGTTAGGATTATGCTTTGCTTGTCCTTGCTTTAAACCCAAATAGGCTTAATTTATCATTAGAAAATATTACAGATGAATATTAAAATGAAGAAGACGATGACAATGTCATGGCTAAATAATCTATCGAAATTACAATCGATGCTGAAGTAATAAATAATTAACTTTGTTAATATAAAGTTCTTAAATAAACTTTCAAGTTTAATATTTTTGAATCAAAAATTAATTATTTTAAGTTAAAGCTTCATTTTAAAATTAGGAAAAATAAACGAAAGATGAACTATTAAAATAGTAGAAACTAGTGATTTTTTATAAACTAATACATATAGCAGATAAACCAGGATAGCTATTATTGGATTCAAATAATAGTTTGTAAATTAAATTGACTAATTACATTTACGTCAGAGTTTGGGATAACTTTGAATTAGCAGTTTAAAAAATAGCAAAATAATAAAATATAAGTGAGTCGAAACTGTGCTAAAACTTTGAATTTTATTAAGAGAAAAATCACTTAGCCTATCCTTTAGATATTAATGATATTTATAATAAAAAAGTATATGAAGTTCTTCATAATCGTTATTATGGTGTTTTGGTGCTTAAAGACACAAACTTAGATAAATTATCAAATGAAGTAAGATTTTTAAGTATTTAAACAAGATTTAAAAGAATCAATTGACTTAATTATAAAGAAAATTGATATAGAAGATATCTATAAATAAAAAGAGAACACATATCGAGTTACATTTGATCCTGTAATAAATATTATTTTTTAAATGTTTATTTCATTTTAATAATATTCATTTATTTATTTATTTTAAAAGACTGAATCATCTTGTCTTATCTAAGAAAAAAAATCATATGAACTTAAAGGGGAGTACACTTTTGATATGGTCTAAAGAAGTATTAATGAAGTAAAAAGTGTTAGTTAAATCTTTTTAAAAATGAAACATATTTATTTTGTATAAAGGATTATTACAATGATGAAAAGGATTATTAAAAAATATACTTTTAATACTATGATTAAGATAAAAAAGTAAACATTTTTTTATTCAATTCACATACTAATTAATTTGTATCTAATTACAATGAATGATCAGAAATAAACTAACTAATCAAATTTATTAACTAAAAATAATTTAATTAATTAATTAATTAGAGATGGGTAGACTTTGCTATCGATGAAAACACATTAATAAGCGATTTAAATGATATTTGTGAATTGAGATTTGGCTATGATGAAAATATGAAAGCATATGATAGAAGTACATGTGTCAACTATAAGTTTTATTTAATGGATCATAGCTAACAGGTATATTTAATAAATAAACCTCAAGAGAAAGCTATCATAATCTATTAATAAACTAAGCTGTAAAATTATATAGAATTAGTGGAAGAAAATCCTGATTAAATGTATTAATTTATTTGAAATATTTTTAAAAAAATTTTTAAATCTATTAAAAAAGATCATATAATCTTAAAGACAATCTAAGAAACTAAATAATCGTTTCAAGAGTGAATAAAAGAAATCCACATTTACTAGTTAGATGTTAAAATCTATCAATTACAATGAATATTGTTTCAACTTAAAATTATAAATATATGCATATTTTGGAAAGACCTTATATTTAAGAAGAAGACTACCTCATAGCAGGCTGCTTTACAGATAGCGAAAATACTTACTTTGGTCATCCTTTTTTGATGGTTGAATCTAAAAATACAAAAATAAGTGATTTTTATGAAAAAATAAATCATCAATTTAAAAATAAAAAAATAAATAAATTCTTTGATTAAGATAGTTAATCTTAGATTACAAAATTTGATGCTGTTCTAACTTATAATTAAAATAATGAAAACAGTAATATTTCAAAAACTATAAATATCACCTAAAACTAAAACTGCACTGATACTATCGAAAGTTTAGGTGTGCATGAGAATTTTGAAGAGTAAGAGTATATGATTTTAAAAATTAAAATATATGGAATAGATCTTTCTTCAAATATAAAAAGGATTTAATCATCTTAAAACTGAAGCTATAAATAATCAAAAGCATATTTTTATAAAAATTTATTTTTATTCAATAAAATTTGTTTTCTATTTTTCTTGAAAAATAATTTTATATTTTCGTAATTATATTTCTTTGTTTTAAAATTAATTCAAAAACGGAGATAAATTTTTATTTTATCCTATGTCTATGTATAAAAAAGTAAAGTTCCATATATTAAAAAAAATGTTTAATTAAAAATTATTTCAAAAAACTATCTAAAATTGGATTACTTCTGTTGAAGTATTATTTAAAAGTATTTTAAATAATTCAATATTTATTATTAATTTAAGAACTTTTGTTTATGAGATTTTAAATTGACTGATTTATTAAATTTAGATCTTATTCTAATCAATATAATGTTAATATTATTTCATCATTAACAAAATATAATATAAAATATAAATTTTTACTTTATTTAAATATTTTGTTAAAATTATTATTAAAGTGTTTTTATTTTTTGAAATAACTAAAATTTATTTCATTTTATAACAAAATTTAATTAAAAAAATTAATATTAAATATAAATTATTACTTTATTTTTTTTAGAATAAATTATTAAACTTTTGTTCAAAATTAATTTTTTGAAAAGAAAAATATGAATGAATGGGGTTGGGGTTGGGGTTGGGGTTGGGGTTGGGGTTGGGGTTGGGGTTGGGGTTGGGGTTGGGGTTGGGGTTGGGGTTGGGGTTGGGGTTGGGGTTGGGGTTGGGGTTGGGGTTGGGGTTGGGGTTGGGGTTGGGGTTGGGGTTGGGGTTGGGGTTGGGGTTGGGGTTGGGGTTGGGGTTGGGGTTGGGGTTGGGGTTGGGGTTGGGGTTGGGGTTGGGGTTGGGGTTGGGGTTGGGGTTGGGGTTGGGGTTGGGGTTGGGGTTGGGGTTGGGGTTGGGGTTGGGGTTGGGGTTGGGGT